AAAGGAGCGGGCGGGCGGGGTGGGCGAGGAGGGCTCGGTCTTGATGACCGGCTCCTCCTTCTTGATGGTGGGTGAGCCCGGGGGCTCCGTCTTCACGCGCGTCAGCGCGCCGAGCCTCTCTTCCGCGATCTGGGCGACCGCGTGGGTGAAGTCGCGTGCGACTTCACCACCGAGAGACCGAGGCACGCTGAGCGTGCAGGTGATGACTTCACCCCCGTCTCCGACGGGGATCTCGAGGGTGGATTTGTATGCGGCCACTGCGCGGAGGGGAATATCGTTAGCTGAGATCTCAAACGGGGTGTTGTCGCTCCCACTTACTGTCAAGGGCAGCCGCGCGCCACAGAGGTGATGTGAAAATAAATTTGATGGCCGAAGCCAGGTCTTTCTCCAGGGAAGAGGGAGGGGCCGAGGGACGGAGGCAGAGAGCAAGACCACGGTAAGCCTTGGGGTGGTTGGGAGAAGAAGGAGAGAAATGGCGATGTGATGTTTACGAGCTAGCAAATAGCCCGGCTCAACGTCAGGTATTCTCCCATAGCCCCCTAAACGCGCTGTCGCCTCTCGCCAGCAGCTTCTCCGGCGCGCCACTCTCTACAACACGTCCGTCATCCATCACGACGACGCAGTCAAACTCCACAATCGTGCTCAACCTATGCGCGACCGCGATAACCGTGCTCTCCTGGAATTCCTCTCTGATCAGGCGCGTCATGTTCTCCTCTGTCACTGCGTCTACAGCGCTGGACATTTCATCCAGGACCAAGAGTTTCGAGTCGCGTAGAAGCGCACGCGCGACCGCAAACAGCTGCAGCTGGCCCTGCGAGAGCCCGAGTGAGGTGATATCGACATCAAGACCGCCGCGCTGGGTGATAAGATCTAACAGATCGACTTTCTGGAGGACTCTCTCCACTCTCTCCACTCTCTCCCTGCCTACAGGGTCGAGATTGGAGAGTACAGTGCCAGGGAAGATCAATGATTCCTGGGGAAGAGCTGCAAAGCGCTCGCGGATCACCTGGCGGGGTACGGTGGCGAGGTCCACGCTGTCTACGGTGATACCGCCAGAAGCGCTGTCGAGCAGCCTGAAGAGCGCCAGCAGCAGAGACCTCTTCCCACTTCCAGATCGGCCACAGATCCCTACTTTCTCTCCAGCTTTGATTGACAGAGAGATGTCCTTGAGTACCTGCTTGCCATCGTCGTTGTAAGAAGCACGGAGATCTTTGATGATAACTTCACCATTAGCAGGCCACAAAGGATCAGGAACGTGGCTCTCCTCAGGGCGATCCTCAGACTTGGTAGAAGCCTCAAAGTTCTTACACCTCGCTACTGCACCGAAGGAGGTCTCCAGCGCCGTCCACGCATTGATTGTGAAGGTCATGTAGAAGCTGAAGCTCAACACGCTCAGCAGGGACACGCCGATGGATCCAGCGCTCGAGGATTGAGGCAACGTCATGGCCATGGTAACAACAACAACTGCTACAGCAGCGGTCACAAGTCCCAACACCAGCCCTAGCCATCTCTGAATGCAAAGCATCAGGTAGTACGCCCGTTGAGCTTTGTCAAGGAGCGTCATGCACTTATGGTGAGACTGGCGCTGCCAACCAAACGCACGGATCGTCGTAACGCCAGCCAAAGTCTCCGAGCAATGCGTAAGGAGAGGCGCCTGAGCTTCCAGATCAAGGAACCTCAGCTGCCGCGACGTACGGAGGTAGAACCTCTGGATCCCATACAGTACAAGCAAGATGAGAGGCATTGTCGCAGCAGCGTAGCTAGCTCCAGACACAATGATAGCCCCAGAAGCGGCGAGCATGCCTATGGCAGCCGAGAACTGCATGAAAGCACCAGCTAACTCGATTTCAATCAAGCTCATATCGTTCGAGAAACGGTTGAGCGTGACGCCCGAGTCTGTGTTGACGAAAAATGAGTATGTGGCGTGCATGACGGTATGAAGCAGCTGCTTGTGAAGATGAGCACTGCTCTTAGGCACAGCATGAACGAGCATCGTCCAGATCTGGGCGCCGCAGCCAATGCATGATATCACAGCGAGGAGAAACGCGACTCCGACCCACATGCCGAGCGGACGAGGGTTGTTCGAGGTCTCAGCTTCGCTCCAGAACTTGACCCAGATCTCGGGAAACTTGTTGCCGAAGATGAACAAGACAGTGGAGATTGTCAGGATCACGTTCAGTCTGGTGCCGATGGACTTGAAGTAGTACTTGTATACTGATGTGTCTCCGGTCTTGCGTGCGAGATCCTGCTGAGCGGCCTCGACTTTATCTGGGGCGGAGGATCGAATGGCAGCATCGGCAGCAACTTCTTCGATGTCAGCGGAACCTTCCTGTCGAGTGCCACTGAGTCCGAGCTCATGAACGTATCCTCCTGGAACATCCAGGGCGTTGTACGTCCCCTGCTCGACGATGTTTCCCTCCTTTCCAAGAGCGATGATGAAGTCTGCAGACGGAAGATACTGTGTAGAATGTGTCGCCAATATTACCGTCATGCCATGCTGTTTGCAGAGTCCGCGGGCACCGAAAAGTTGAGTGAAGACTTGCCTTGAGGTCCCTGAGTCAAGTCCACTTAGCACATCATCTGCAACAATGATCTGCTTCCGAGCATATACAGCTCTAGCAAGGGCTATCCGCTGACGTTGACCGCCGCTAAGAGAAACGCCCTTTGTCCCAACTAGCGTATCATCTCCATCGGGGAACGTAGCGATGTCTCGGCGGAGAGCGCAAGCAGAAGTGACGGTGGCATACCATTCTGGATCAAAGTCTGAGTGGCCGAGGATTAGGTTCTGGACAGTGTCATTGGGAAGCCATGGATCCTGAGAGCAAAACGCAAACATGTTGATTCCAGGTGCAATAACACGGCGACCAGCAAATAGGGACAGGTCGCCAATGATCGTCTTGAGAAGTGTCGATTTGCCGCTTCCGACGGGACCGATCAGCAGATGGATGTGGCCTTTGGTAAGTCGAATATCGACATCCTTGAGGACTTGTTTATTGTCAGAACTGAGCGCCACGGTGCCTTGCTCTATCTGTACCAGGTGTAGAGCGTCGCTTGATGGAGCTTTGGCTGGTGCCATCACGCTCAGCTCGACGGCATCGTCCCTGCGATCCGGTGCGGATGTTGTGGCCGCCTTATCAATTCTCACTCCGAAAGTCGTGTTTCGTTCAATGCCCTCGATCAGCAGAAACTTCTGTACCCTTTCCAAACTGGCAAGGGCTATGAAAAGTTGCGGTACGTTATGAAGTAGTTCTGCAATTGGGCTAGAAAGCAGGGCGACAAGTGACAGTGCCGTGAATGCGGTCGTGGGGTCCAGAGACTCTTGCCCGTAGACCAATGTGAACATCATCAACGTGAACGTTGGGGCAAATGCCTCCGGGATGTGGCCATAGACATTGCGCCAGGTAACGTACTTCCTGTATGCGGCGTATTTGTTGAGTTCATCAACACGCATGCCTTGAATGCGATCGGTGAAGTACGTTGTCAGCCCAAGCATCTTGAACCCTTTGGGGAAGCCCAAGACAGATGATGTGAAAGCGACTCTGTCCGAAACAGCCTTAAGCCAAGCCTTCTGCATGGGTATGGCAGTGTTGACGTTGAAGAAGTTGGCTGTAGTCACGGCAAGAGTGACTGCTATAGGTGCCACACAAGCAACACCGATTTGCCGCTGAAGCAACAACATTGCTGCCCCAACCTCAATAGGCGAGGCAAACAATTGGTCGATCTCTTTGAGTGACAAGCATATCCTGTTGACATCCGCGCTGATGAGGGTCAAAGCAGCGTTATCTGCAAGTTTCGAGGAGTCCAACGTCAAAATTTTGCTGTGGACGGTGGAGATGATGATTCCTCGGATCTTTGTGACCATACGATGCATAGCACGCTGATATAAAGCAGTGCTGATGGCCATGCCAGTGTACACCAATGCGGCAGCTCCGATCAGGCCACGTCCGTAGTTGGCATTCTCATGGCTAACCCCCTCGCTCAGGAGCGATGTCACCCGCGAAATAAGTAATGGTTGGCACAGCTTCAGAGCGCTGAGGCAGAATCGCGGAAAGATCATGGCGAAGAATGTGGCCTTCACGGTGTGGAACACTGCCCAGAACATGGCCCATTTTCCCGGCTTCTGCTGTGCTTTACGTTTCGCCCATGCTTGCTGGAATTTGGCCTCTACCTTCTCGGAGCTGAGATCAAAATCGACCGCATAAAGCTTCTCGATCGACAAATAGCCATTGTAGCCGGTCCAGAACAGAGGATTGAGCCACCACAGAGCAGTCCTGTCGTAGAGGCTCACGAGAGACTCCGGGGCATAGAGTCTATAAGGCGGAAATAGAGCTCTTCTTTTGCTTTTAGCCTCCAGACAAAGCACAACGGCCTTCGCAGCGACACCAGCCGTGAACAAAGCAGGGAGAGCTCGAGGTCCTGGACGAAGCCATAGCGTTCTCGTTTGGGGAATGTCGAATAACAGCGAGAAGAAAACGTAGACGTTGATGAGTGAGCTGGGCCGGATTGAGCGGGCGTGTTCTATACCTGACAGGTAGAGTAGCGACAAAGACGCCAGGAAGGAGAGTACTGCCGCTGGAATCGAAGCCTTCGTACGATACATCGGTGTTAAAGCCCACAGAACGAGTAGTGCCAGCTGGGTGGAGGCCAGGACCACAATGGCCAATTGCTTGATGATTTGCATGCCATTGCGGAGGACTTTTACGTTTTGCTTTCGCAGTTGAGTCGCGCGGATAGGGACCAAGAGCAAAAGCAAGGCACAAGGGGCGATCTGGAAGAACGACTGCTCAAATAGGAGGGTGAAGTCGAAATCATCTCGACAGCCTCTACCCACGGCTGGGCCAAAGGCATTGTCGGCATCGAGAGGACAAGCCATGCCTGACCATGTCGCTGCTGTCGCGTGGTGATGGAAGCCATCTTGTACCGTCTACCGCTTGGTCACACGGCATTGCAGTGCATTGAGAGATCCTGGAGGATGAAGTCCGATATCCGACCCGGCCTCCTGCCAGAATTTGATTAGTGTCAATGAATTCCATTGGCTGGCCTTAACCGTGTCAGAAGCCGTTACGTTGAGATAAGCAAAAGCGAGATGGCTGTTATCTTGGACCTTGGCCATGACGGCCAAGCAACAACAACAAGCAACATGTTTGCCCGAAGAAAGGACGATGCTAGCGATTTCGACCTCAAAACACCGTGAAATACCGGTGGAGGAAGGAAGAAGTTTGTGATGGAGCAAGGATCGTCAAATGAGGCGATCGCGACCAATTGCTCGACACATACAAATAGCGGCCGCCCGCGTCGATGGCGCCATGCCGACTCTTCCTCCTCTTCACCGTCTTCGTCTCCAACATGAGGGCCTTCGCATATACGCTGTCAGCATTCCTACTACCACAGCTGTCTCTCGCGGACCCAGCATGGATCAATCCCGACTACAGCGTCTCCAACACGCTTCTGGATCCTGAGGGCAACAAGCTGGGTGCCGTGGCGTCGGAGAGTTCGATATGCAGCGATATTGGCGGCGACATCTTGAAGAGAGGCGGCAATGCGGCGGATAGCACGGTAGCGACGGTGTTTTGCGTTGGTGTGATTGGGATGTATCACTCTGGTGTTGCTGGCGGAGGTTTCATGCTTGTGCGGTCCAGCAATGGCAGCTATGAGTTTATCGATTTCCGCGAGAGTGCTCCAGCTGCAGCATTCCAGGATATGTACAACAACGACACCGATTTATCGATTTACGGTGGATTAGCTAGTGGTGTTCCCGGAGAACTGCGTGGTCTGGAGCACCTCCACAACAACTATGGCCGTCTTCACTGGAAGGATCTTGTGTTGCCCGCTGTCAAAGTGGCCAGAGAAGGATTCCCAGTCACTCCCGATCTCGTCCGATACATGGACTCTGCAACAACAAGCAACAATTTCCTGGTCAACGATCCGAACTGGGCGATTGACTTTGCCCCCAATGGAACTCGTTTAGGGCTCGGCGACACCATCACCCGCAAGAGATATGCGGCAACTCTGGAGCAAATAGCAGAGCGAGGTGTAGAAGCCTTCTACTCAGGACCCATTGCCCAGACCATGATCAACACGCTCCAGGCTGCGAACGGTACCATGACCCTCGAGGACCTCAAGAACTACACTGTCGCCATCCGACCACCAGCGGAAATCACGTACAGGGATTACAGGATTCGAAGTTGCAGTGCGCCATCCAGCGGTACGGTCGCCATGAGCGTGATGAAGATAATTGAGGGATACACGGACATTGGCCAGGCAGCGACTCTCAATCTCAGCACGCATTTCTTCGACGAAGCTCTTCGATTTGCATATGGCCAGCGCAGCGAATTGGGCGATCCATTCTTCGTCGAGGGCATGGATGAGTACCAGGCTGATATGCTCAACGAAACGACGGCGGCTGCTGTTCGTGCGAAGATCAGCCCTCTTCATACATTGAACGTGTCAGCATACGACCCCTCTGGCTTTGAATCCCTCGAAACTCCAGGTACTTCTGCCGTTGTGGCCAGCGACGTCAGCGGCCTCTCCATCGCCCTAACGACAACCATCAACCTCCTCTTCGGCTCCCGAATCCTCGTCCCAGAAACCGGCATCATCATGAACAACGAAATGAACGACTTCAGCGTCCCAGGTGCCTCGAACTCCTTCGGCTATATCCCGTCCCCATCCAACTACATCCGCCCTGGCAAGCGCCCTTTGAGCTCCATCACGCCCACAATCGTCGAGCACGCCAACGGAACCCTCTACTTCGTCACAAGCGCCGCAGGCGGAAGTCGAATTATCACCGCGACCCTCCAGAACCTGTGGCATGTGCTGGACCAGAACATGACAGCCGTTGAAGCTCTTGCCCAGCCGAGACTGCACGACCAGCTCGTGCCCAATCAAGTCTCATTCGAGTACCCGTACAACAACGAAACGGTAGCATTCATGAAATCGAGAGGCCACAACGTGACTTGGATCGCTCCAGGCCAGAGCACCGCGCAGCAGCTCCGGAGACTTGGAAACGGGACGTTCGAGGCGGCGGGCGAGCCAAGGCAGATCAACAGTGGTGGTATTGCCGTGTAGAAATGTGCTCACGACAGATCAACGATCAGGATAGCTGTAAATGAAATGTGAGATGTCTGGTATGGCAAGACGTGTCGTCGACCTCTTGTCAGCCGGCACGGGAATCCCAATCCCAAAGTCATATCCTTCAAAACTCAAATCTCCTGCATGAAGTCTTTTCACGTGGCATCGCTCTCTCTACTCGTTTTGACGTCTCTTCCTTTCAGGTACGGATTCGCGATAACATCTAGAACTCCAGGCATCTCGAATGCAATCAGCTGTCTGCCACGAGTAGAGACTCGATCCGACGGCGCAGCCTTTACTTCAAAACTCCAGGATGTCTCTGCAGCGCACTCTACAGCACCTGCATAACAGTCCGTTCAGGGAAACGTGTTACAGGAGGGGCACCTTTGCCGATTCGTCCCCTGGATCGCTGAGTTTGGAAGAGAAGGGCTTGCAATAATGTACTCTGCCTCCGCTCACATATCTCTACCCATCAGCAACCACGCCTCTATAGCCATCAAGCCAACGACCAGCTTACATCATCGTCCACCCATGCACAGAAGCAACACATGTCTCCAGCCCCAAAACCGTTTTTCCCATCCCACGCTCCCAGCCGGATCCCCAAGCAATATCTTACCAAACCCCAAACCACCATGCATATCCCCCATCAAACCACCACAACATCTACAGTCTAGCCTCTAGAGCCCACAAATCTCTTGCCTCACCCTCGCCCTCCCTCGATATCTCCCTCTCCCTAGGATCACCAAACTGACCCTCCCTCATAATCCACAAATCTCCGTAACAGCTCTAGTGTCCTGCCAACAGGATCAATAACCTCATACTATGGAATATAGGAGTCCCAGGTCGTTGGTTAGGGCCGCGGTTATTTTCTTGGCTGATGGAGGGCGCAGTGTGGGGATTGAGGGTTCGAGGGGTGTTGGATGTTGGATGGTGGGTCTTGGCGAGGGGGAGTGCGAGGGAGTGCGAGAGCTTGAGGGGATTGGGTTTGAAGAGTCATTATGATCGGTATGGGTTCGGGGGCGAAAGGTGTCGGCGTGTGGGATATGGGTTCTAGGGTAGGTGGATTAGTCGAAGCGTTGACAGGCATGGAGAGCGAGTGCGTGGTTGACGTTTCGGAAACGAATTAGAATGATACTAACATGAGCTCGAACGCTGCAAAAACGCCTGCACGCTTGCGATGTAAACATTCGTTCATTCGACCTCCATTCCCCTCGCGCTCATATGGCTCGTCAGTTTCCATTCGCCTTGTATTCGCCTCCACTGGAAGCGTCCAACACTGTGCCTTACAACGCCTTCGGGTACGCCTGTCAACATCGGTTAGCTGGAGGACTTTCCTGAAAGCGAACAGCCTCCAACAAACAGCAGGCCATTCGTGTCAATAGAAATGAAGTAACTCACCAACCGTCCTAAAAGTCGTAAAACTCGCCGCCCTCCCATGCCTAACATCCACATCCGTCACCACATCCACAATCTCCGTCTGCATCGCCGGCAACACACTCCGACACATCTTGATATACTCCTCCAAATCACAAAGGCCCTGACTGATATCCTGATCCGTCGCGCAAGGCCGAAAGACCGGTTCGCAGGTGAATTCCGGTGCGATGTATCTCCGGACGGGGTCCCATTCGCCGGTGTTGATGGCGAGTTTGATGTCCGCGAGGATGGATTCGAGGTAGAGGGCGATGTCGCGTTCGAGGGGGTTGGTGTTGTTTGGGCCGGACATGGTGGTTTTGGTTTTGGGGAGGAGGACGTGTGTTGTTGTAGAGGCCATTTTGGGAGATGTCGTTGGTGGAGAGTGTTTTTTATGTCTGTTCGCTGTCTCGTGGTGAAATGTAGTACGGGTAATCCTTTCGAAAAGTGATCGGAATACTGCTAAGCGTTTGCGCTTGAGTAGTACCGAATCGTCATATCCGGGTGTGAATAGCCTGGGACGGACGACACGGGCGCGAGGTCGGGCTTTGCAGAAGGGTGCGCGAAACGGAGCTGGCGTCCGTGGAGCGTGTCAGACTTTTGGATCCTAAAGTTTCTGCTGACAACAGCGCCGCAGGTACAACGCAGGGAGCTCGGCGTGCGTACGCCAATGGTGTTGCCAATAGGATTCTTGGCTAGAACTGCCTCATTCATAGCTTTGTCTGTCTGACAAGACAATTCTCACTTTCCCAATCAATACCGAACCTTCTTCCCTCCCGTCTCGTTGCTCGTCATCTTGAAATCAACCTGGAGACCTTGCTTCCTCGCCCAGTCGATCGCATCTCTTCCAATCTTGTCGCAGTCATAGGCCACGAGCTTCTTCACCCCTCCCGACTGTACGATAGCTTTGACCGCCACGCCAGTGATGGAAGTGCATCTCAAGTCCAAGATCTGAAGTTTCTTGCCATGCTCTAGCAGAATGTCGACGTGCTCATCTTTCAAAGACAAACAATGCGTGATGCCCAGCTCTTGCAGCTGCGAAAGGCGGCCGCGGAGTTCGAAGGGATCAGAAATGCCCTCGACAACCGCGTTGTGAATGTAGAACGCCTTCAACTTCGACAACTGTTTCTTGTCGTTCGAGACGTCGTTGTCTAGTAGCGCAGTGGCGTGGTGGAAAGGAACCCCTGGTATATCAAGATGGACTTCTTCCAGATGTGGAGTATCTGGCATTCGCAAGCCCTGGTTCGGAATTGGCAATTTGCTTTCTTGAAAGAAGAGCTCGCCGATACGATTGCCGAGAGTTGTCGCAAGCTTGAGCACGCGCAGAGAGCTAGGCAGCGTCAAGTTCAGCGATGAAAGCAGTGGAATGCGCAAGTCGAGATGGGTCAGCATGGTGCAGTCGTGAAAATTGACCGCCGTCCTGGGAGCAACGTAAGGGCCAGGCCGGTTCTCGTTGGCGCGAAACCTCAACGACTGCAACTTCGGCGAGTGAGTGACAAGTTGTGTGAGTACTTCCCAGTACGGGATCACCTCTGGCACGTCGAAGTCGAATGTCGTGAGGACAGGCAATTTGAGAGCGTCTAACCTCTGTGGGAAGAATAGCTTCGTTTGCTTCGATGAGAACTTCAGCACTTCAAGAGTGGATCCGCGGCACTCCAGTATGAGCTGGAGTGTCTTGTCGCCAATGTCAGTCCCGGTTTGGCTAGCAAATTCCCTCAACTTGGTCGCCTTCTTCAGAGCATCAACCAGATTCTGACCCTGAAAGCCCGTATTCGCAAGCCCCAGTGACTCCAACGGGCAATGCTTGATGAGCGCAGCGAGAGTCTTATCAAAATCCCAAAGCTGGTTCAGCGTCGCAGTAGTAATCTTCGACCTCCCAGCATTGATAGCGGTACTGATGAACGACGTTCGAACTTTCTTCCTCGCACCCGAGAAGTCCAAGTGCGCCCAGAGTGTAGGCTCTGATTTGATGAAACTCTTCCAGCCTTTCGACACTCGGGAAATGGCGATCCGTTGGCGGAAGTTGAGGTATTCCAGGATGAATATCGCCAGCTCTCGTGGTAGCACACTCAATGGGTCGATACTCTTCTGGGGCGCCAGTTGCTGCTGGAGATCATCGTGCGCCTTCTTCAACTTCTCAAAGCCAACGCCGACGTGCTTGATGCTCTTCAATCCGTAGGCGTAAATCTCCAAAGCAGTGCTCTCCTTCTCCATCTTGAGGAGAACTTGTCCAGCCCGTAGGTAACCAGTGGCATCTTCGCGGTATGTCTGGATAGTCTTCTTGGCTGCGGCGAGTGCTGCTTCAAGAGCTCCCAATCTGTAGTGAGTCGCTGCAACGCTGTCGAGGAGTTTCGTGCTCGGATTTCCTCTGCCAACGGCGCGATTGTAGTATTCCAGCGCCTTAGAGAATTCGCCTTTATCATAGGCAGCGCGTCCCTCGCGCTGTAAGGATTCCGCGCTCATTTTGTGTCGTGGTTCATGTTTGTGAAGGGGACGACGGACTGCTAGCACGACACGAGGTGAAGACACGCTTTGGAGAAGGCAAGATTAGCCGAGAGCAGTCTCCCGAATGTCACGTGATCCAGATTCACTTGATGCATACGAAGATGAGCAACAGGAGAAGCGCACAAAGAGCGGCGAAGTAGAGGTGCTGATGAGACCAAATGCCATTCAGAACTCGCTAGAACGCTACCACCCAAAATGCCAAAGGCGTTCTCCTCGAACACCAAAATCTGAAATTCTCTATGCCTGACCAAAGGCATGCAATCGAGCAGGTGGAACTGTACAGAACCCGCTCTTTCCTGTCGTCACGTCCGTGTTGAGACAGATTCTATCATCTAATATGCCGAGCAGCCAATCTCTGCTCGTCTGAATGCCACCCCAAAGAAGCTCTGCATGGCAGTGTAGTGGAACAGAATGCCACCAAGGACAGCGAAATGCCAGATGTTGTGGGAACATCCAGCGTAGTCGAACCAGCCTGGGAGGAATCGCTCGGGGATCTTTGCAGCATAGAGGATCGCGCCGCCGAGATAGACGAAGATGGACTTCATAATCGGGGCGTAGAAGTAGCTGGTCTCCGCCCAGCTGCGCTCGTAGGTGAGCTGCGCGATGGGGAAGAAGCCAGTCGCCGCAAGCGAGACAAAGAAGCCCACTCTAGCCCAAGACATATCGGCGCGGTTGAAAGTCGGGTGCCACGGCAGGATGGTGCCTGCAACGCCCAGCACAAAGGTCAACGTCATGTAGATCCAGCGACTCCAGGGTTCGCAGTAGAAGGCAGTGTATTCTGTCGTCATGATGCTAGCCGCGACGAGGAGAGAGATGCCAGTGTAATCAACGCATGCGAAGCGCTCCATCAGGGTCTGGTTCGAGATCGAGGACATGGCATGCCACATGGTACTGCAGACCAGGCACTTGCATGCGGCGAAGAAGAAACAGCCGGCAATGAAGATATCGAAGCGTGTCGCCGATGCAAAGGCCGGAGTAGATGGATAGACGTAGAAAGCCAGAGCCAAGACAATGACAAGACCGATGGCATGGGACCAGATGTTGACGAACTCGTTCGAGATCCTGAAGCACGAACGAATGCAGTCGATCTTAGTCTCCGAGAAGCGATAGCCGTTCTTGATGTGTGGGTTGACGCGCCATGGTTCTGGAAGCATGTCGTAGGTGATCAGGCCGTGTTTGCGGGCGTTGGCAATCGCCGTCTCAATCTTGACCTTCATGCGCTCCTTTGCTCGTCTTGCGGCATCTGCACCCTCGTGCACTATCTCTGCGGCCTTGGTCGATGTCCTGTCCATGTAGGCGATACTGGTGTCCAACATCTCGTGTGCTGTCGCTGCGAGACCGACCTCCTTCATCTTGTAAGCCCGTTGCTCGAGTGCAGTCAGGTTCATCTCCAGCATTTTGACACCCTCCTGCACTTTCTGTTCGAATGTCTCTCTTCTCGCCAATGCATCGCGGTAGCTCGCTTCCAACGTCTCAACAATGATCTTGTGTCTCCTCCGTCCGGCATCTATTATGTCGTCTGAAACTTTGTTGCATCTCTCATGTACAGCTGTAAGTGTATCGTGTATGCTCTTCACTCCCTCGTCAAATTTCAAGTGCCCATAGGTCTCGAGCATGTCCAGTCTGCGTCCAAGATCGTTCAAGAAGCGGTCGACCATGACCTGGGCGTTCTCCTCCAGATTCCATTGCTGAGGGTTGTAGGAGGAGTGTCTGCGGCGCTTCATCGCTCGGTCTTGGTCCACGTCGAAATCGGTGCCAGACGACGCTCCCACCGTAGGCTCCTCTCGCGCCTCCGACATCTTGGTGCATGTTGTCATGGTCGCGTATGAAGGCATGTTTGCCAAGTATCTCTCCGAACGCGCGGCAAAATAGGCGCAGTTGCTCCTGACTCGCTGTTTGTTGTGTCTCTGTCTCTTTCAGTGAAGTAGCTGTGAGGCCTGTCTACCCCAGCTTCACTACGTCAAGTCGTTGGAGGAGGAGGTCGCGTGGGCGGGCGGACTCCTTTTGCTTTTGAGCCGGTAGAAAGCTTAACAAATGAGTATGGCCGTTGGGTGGTGGTCGGTCTGTTGCCGGGGTTTTCAAGGGGGAATTCAGTAGGGACCGAGAGTGAGAGCAAGAGCAGAAAAGATGTAAACAAGAGTAAAGCAGAGACTTGGACTGTGCCGACGGTCAATCACATGTGAAGGGAGGAGAGGGACAACGTGCTGCGTTGGGTGGTGTTGGAAGCGGCGGGGGCGCTTTTTGCCATCGAGACCAGTCGGCCCAGCCATTGGCCACGTCAAATTGTGGAGAATTTGATGCAGGGCAAGCAAGGGTCATCAAAGAGCCGAGACTCGAGGCACGGCGTGTCATGTTCCTTTCACATGCAAGCCTTTTCATACGCATGCTTCCTCTTCATCATGACATAATTATATACCTGGCTACGTAGCAGCATACTTCAGAAGCGCAAGATTGCCCATTCGCGATAGCAATCCTCTAAGATTCCAAGAAATGTCCGTCGAAGAAGATGCCGACCACGAACAGCAAGATCGTTCTCAGAAATCCGAGGCCATCGACTTAGAGAAAGGAACCTTTCTGTGCGTACCCATCTGGAGTCTCCTGTCTCGAACTTCGACGAGCCATTCATACACATCTGCAAGACTTGAGCTGGACTCAAATCCTTTCCTCGTCGACCAACCCTTGTGCTTCGAGCTCAGATGCACGTCAACCGCAACGCCTGGCGGACATAGTGGTATCATGCGCCAAAACTCAGCTGACGGGGTGCTTCGCCATGCATAAATCTCAGACCGTGGAGATTCATCGAGTGGCCCAATCGTGTGCTGAAATACGATAGCAACAACATGAGAGCGGCTTTCGGATTTCGGGGCGTTGAGAATGGTTTCCGTCCTGAAGAGCCGTACATCTGGCTGAGATGCCAGACCAGAATCGAAATCAAGGTACGTCTTGGCCGGCAGTGAGACTGAATAGGAATCTTCTCCCTTGTCGTCGTCAACTGTAGGGAGCCAAGATTGGCGGGCCACAGCTTTGCGAATCTCGTTCGAGAATATGATGACATCTCTGAACGTTCTGCAGACCCTCTGCGCCCGAGCAATCTCAAACATCGATAGTTTGGAAATTGTGATTTCCACCAGCTCGTATGTCGACAGGAACTTATGGACCGCCTGGTTGCGACTTGCTGCATCGATGGAAATGCGTGGAAAAGGTCGCTGCTTCTTCTGGATCTTACGCAGCTTCATGTTGAATGATTTGCCTTGGTGAGGTAGCGCTCTGGTGAGATGAGTAGATGGCTCTATTTGACATCAATATACAAGCAGTGAGTGATGAGAAAGGGAGGAGGGTTGGAGTTGGGGCATCGTGAATGAAGGTCTTACTCGTGCAGATAATGGCATCAGTCAGATGTTGAATAGACCGTTGCTTCTCTGATGAAGCTGATGTGTTGCGTTTGCACGTACTTGTGCAGAAGAAGTGATGTCGTAAAGTCGAAGGAAAAGATCCAAAACCTTGAAGTTCCATAGACTATGCTTACATAATCCGTTCGCGTCAATATCGCGTCGACGCGACTTCCCTGGACTTCTTCACATGCACTTTTCCAACACTCACTCACCATGGCGATATCCAACGGCGTGAGCGACGGCGCTCTGCTATCGAAACCCTCCAACGAAGAACCGCCAACCCTCGAGCGAACACAATGCGTATACAACCCTCTCCACACCTATCTCCTACCCCGCGGCGAGGCGAAGCATTACCAGCAGCAATATGCCGATATGTACTTTGCCCGACTAGCCCAGCTCAAGCCCGCCGTGGAGCGAATAGCATCCGAAGCATTCTCTGAGTTCGAGATTGCGGGTCAGGCGGCAAAGAAGGTGGACAGAGTGCTGGATGTTCGTCAAGGGAATTTGTGCTGGGTGATCGGCACGGTGTACATGGAGATGCCATTGAAGCCGAATGTTTTGGAAGACATCGGCAAAGAGCATTGGATTGCTGCCCCTCCACCACGGGAGAAGTATGCGGGAGAGGGAGAGCAGGTCATGCTGGAAGACGAAAGTGGACGACTGCGGTTGACTGGATCTTCGTTGAAGGATTGGTTGCTGGTGACGGGTGCTATCATATCAGTATTAGGGACTGAGAACTCTGATGGCGACTTCGAGGTCTTGGACATGAGAGTGCCAGACCTGCCAAGACAGCCACAGAGGTGGGAGAGGGACGATGGAGAGGCCGCGAAGAAAGGCAAGAGCGTACTGAACCAGACGAGGTCAAGCGGCGGCAAGGTTGCCATAGTATCTGGCTTGAATATCAGTGGCGAAGCTGGAGATACGCTGTCTCTCGATCTTCTGCTGGAGTGGCTCCTGGGTGAAGCAACAGGATCGGCTGACCAGACCGAGGCCGCGAGTGTTTCAAGACTGATCATTGCTGGAAACTCGCTCTCGCATGCCCAGCCCATCCCCTCGCGAGAAGAAGTCGCTGCGGCGAAGAAGACGGGCAAAAGGACCTACGGCTACGACGCCTCATCCTACAACGCTGCACCGACCGACCGACTGGACACTTGGCTAGCATCTCTGCTGCCGTCGATACCCATTACACTTCTACCTGGCCCCACGGATCCCACATCGACCTCATTGCCTCAGCAGCCGATCCATGCTGCCATGTTTTCTCACTCAAGAGCCTACATTGAGAACATTCAACCCAGCAAAACAGATCCACCCAACTGGTTCGATACATCGACAAATCCGTGCGAGGTCGATATCGACGGCTGGCGATTCGTTGGTGCAGGAGGGCAGACGCTCGACGACGTATACAAATACGTCAATGGCGAGGAGAGACTGGATATGATGGAAGCCATGCTGCGGTGGCGATTGACTGCACCGACAGCACCTGATACTCTCTGGTGCTACCCATTCCAGAACGGTGATCGCTTCGTCATGAAGGAGTGCCCGCACGTCTACTTCGTTGGGAATCAGCCACGTTATGAGACAGCAACCATCGAAGGACCCCAAGGCCAGCAGGTCAGGCTCGTTGCGGTACCGAAATTCAAGGAGACTGGCGAGGTCATCTTGATGGATCTGGAGACCCTCACACCTGAGGTGGTCAAAATTGAGCTGTTCGACAGCGGAGCTGGTTGATGACTGTCGACGTCTCTGATGATGGATCATGAAGTAATTGCTTTGAGCGTGGCGCTGGAGGGAGGGTTATGTCCGCATGAGTAAGTATGATCATATTACAATGAACGAGGCATGCATTTATCGCTCAACGGATTCCCATATCACAATGTTGCGGCATCGAAGGTTTGCTCTTGTTGGCACACCCATCACTCCCGGCCAAAACGACAACAACGCAACATTCCCAAGGTCCCGTGCTACTCACTCTCGACCATTCCACTGGTCAAGGACTCGGTCATGCTGTGGACAACTCAGCTGGTCACACCTCTGGGCCGGCCAGCACACTCTCACAATCAGGCTCACAACCAGCAACAGGTCATGTCGACTCAACGATACACGTCAGAGCAAACCTACGAAGAACTATTTGAACGCCTCTCTTGGTCTCCCTCTCGCTCACATTCCTGCATCGATCAATCACTGCCCGACACCAAAGACATACGATCAAAACTTTCGGCCGCCTCTTGATCATCTTTTGGCGTTGATCGACCCTTACCGACCCTTACCAGGCTCTCAACCCATCATCCAACGATTGTCAAGAGCTTGACGTTTCTCGATATGGCTGCCAATGTCCCGTCTGGGAGCGGCCCTGGATTGGGGGCTCCTGGTGGACAGGTTGCTCCTAGTGGACAGGCTGCTCCCAGTGGCCAGGCTGCTCCCAGTGGCCAGGCTGCTCCCAGTGGACAGGCTGTTCCTCATCGGCGACCCGCTAGTCAAGAACAGACTGATGGCTCAAATCCTGACGAGCCACAGAACTACGTCGAGTCCATTCCGCACGTTAGCGACGATCAGTGGAACGTTGGAAGCATCCGCTCGAGAGAATCCCCGCCATCAGGAGCGTCTTCTCCCCCCTATGCTCCCATTCGTCCTCCCCAACGCATCGACCATGATGTTTTCCGACATTATGCTTCCAACGGCAAGCGGCTGTATAAGTGGATGTCAGAGACGAATACCGACCAGTTGACCCAGACGATGAGGACGTCGATTCCTCCCAAATTAGAGGTTGGCGAGAAGTCCCAGAGCAAGTTCAACGAGTACAAGGATATCGAGGACAACGGCTGGTCCAAAAATCCCCGCGAATGCCCGTATCATCTTCCTGACGTCAATCTGAAGACCTTCACGCCCGTTCACACCATTCTGAAAGATCTTGGTATCTCCCCGGAAGTGCCTTCAGCAGACATGGAAGACGCCCCTAATATGCCGGTCATTTTCCAGCAAGACAACATAATGTTCAATGGCAAGGAACATGACAGAGTAAGTCACCCAATCCAGTGATCTGTCCGTATAGGCAGCTGAATCTATTTGTCAGCCATCAGAGGGGAACTTGACATGCACGTGCAACCCAAAGGACGGCCTCGTCGTCATATGCGAGGCCCTATCGCCTGTCAATTCTCTCCAAGAGAGTATCTTCTCGGAAGATCCCTACATCGATGAGTTCGAATTCGGATTACGACTCCGCCAAAATTTGCCCGCGCTCAACCGCATCTCCGACGTGCTCTTTCTCGAATGGCAGCAACAATGCAGGGACAAGGGAGTCGACCCCCGGAACCTCCGCATCAGCATCGTGAACGAAGTCGACACAAAAGTGACGATCCAGATCATCGAACACATCTTGTCCGCGAGAGGGTATGGAAAGGTCATGACGCCGCAGGTAGGCTTGTACGAGCCTCCGCCTTGGGAGAAACGCCTCACTCTGACGGCCAATTCCGACGCCTTCTACGCCGTGCTCGGTACTCCCGACGCCGCGATGTTCGCCTATTTGCTCCTGCAGCATAAAGAGCAACTGGGCCTCAAGCGCATCAATGCGATCCACATCTCACTGGACTCGGAGCAGACCCCGAAATGCCTGGCTCCATTCGACGGCCCTACCCTGACGTTCGAATTCGAGGATTTGAACGAGAAGGGAAAATCTATCGCGTCTGGGTCTGTCAGTGGAAGCCGTGCCGGTGGCCGCGCTGGCAGTGTTGTTGGTGACGATCCACAAGCTGGGAGTTCCAAGCAGGGTGATAATAGTCCTGAGAAGGGCAGGCTGTCACGGATCAAGGACAAGACCGTAGACGCGGCCAAATCTGCCTTTGGTAAGGGGAAGAAGAAAGGCGAATGATGGGCTGTGAGGGAGGATGCACATCACCACCTGGACGGACTGATCTTTTCCTTCTCACGATACTCCGCGGGCTTGGACGGAGGAGACCTTTTCATTTCATGCTCGGATGCTGACTATCTTAGCCTGCTCATGGAAACCTGTTGTTCATGGAGAAAATGTTGCTGATATTCCTGGTTTAACCTGGTTTCACTCGAGTTTGCGATTGAATCGACATGCATGTCTTTATGATTGGTTTGAAATGCGAGATACGAGACATGGTATTTTAGAAAGTTTATGGCTATTAGATAGCTTTGATTGAATATCTCTAATCTACATTTCCAGCTTTCTAGACAATCTTGCTGGTAGTCCGATATGTGGCTTCTGAAAAGACTCGCAGCACACGCACCACTTCTCGAACATGTGCAAGCCCAGGCACGGCCCCTCCCACTCAGAGCAGTTACGTCCACCTACCCCCCATCTTTCTCCACCCCTCCCCTCCCCCTCCTCTCCCCTCTCCTCGAAAACCAATACTTCCCCGCAACCGCCACCTCACTCCTCCCCATCTCGACCGCCACATCCCCCCAACACAACCCCTCCACCTCCCTCAACCACCTCAACCTCTCCACCTCCCCCACCCCCCACTTCCGCCTCTCCTTCCTCCCCCCACAAGCCCCATAAACCTCCATCCGCCGCACCTTCCCCTTCATCGCCGACTCCGTCCGCTGCGGCAGCTCCCGCAGCCGGATCTCCGTCCAGGTGAGGCCGCGCTCCAGGGCGGTTTGGAGGGTCGCGGTTTCGGCGGCGGTCCAGGGGGGCGGTTTTGAGCGGGTTTTTAGGCCTAGGCGGTGTCGTTGGAGGGCGATGGCTTCGAGGGTGCGGTGCGGGAGGTGGTGTTCGCGGATGGTGCGGTTGGTTGTGCCGGTTGTGCTTAGGGTTTGGAGGGTTTGGAGTTCGGTGGGGGTCCATTTTTGGCCTTCGTGGAGGTGGGGGTAGTGCGTGAAGGGGCGGGTTTGGGGGCCGGGAAGGTTGTATATGTTGGGGGATGTTCTGAGGACTCCGCCATGGTATATAAGCGTGAGTCTTGTTTTCCAGATCGCCATTAAAGATGGATCCGGTCATTCGCTTGTATGTCGTTTCCCGATTTCACATTTGGAGTTGTCGCGCAGGGTTCTTTGTCATCGGGCGATTCTTGACATGTTCATCATATACAGCTTCATAAAGTAGCAGAAGACTGTATAAAGATCCCAAGCGCCGATAGACAGTTCGGTCTGAAGATACGTCGATAGTAGATACTTTAGTTGGAGTAGAAAACAAAGTGAAGTCGGCTTGCTATATACAGAGTTTGCGCTAATACATGACTGCCTCAGGCCATAAAAACATTGTATAGCGCGCATGGCTGTATGATGTGTGATACTGGTGGTTTGTGTCCATATCAACGAGAGGATGATGGATAGCCACACTGCTGCAAGGCAAACGATAATGGTGTGGGTGAACATGTGACAGCTGGAAGGACATAGTAAAGTCAACGCGAGATGAAGAGCAACGTCGACGGGGCACGAACAGTATCCGTACTTGCATCAAGGAAACATTGCAAACAGGTATGGGCAGTTCCATTGATCATGAGATATGCCGCCTCGACTCAGCCGATATCAAACGAACCACAAAAGTATATCTACCAACTCAACACCCCATCACCACCATCACCACCTCTCTCACGCTCCATCAACAACCCCAACCCCAACCCCAACAACCCCAACCCCAACAACCCCGACGCGCGCCCCTCCCTTCCTTCAACCAAGCATGTCCTCACGACTTTAGTCCGCCTCCCATAAATCTCTAGGGCAAAAACAAGCACGGGTCTGAAAGCCTGAGATCTTACCCCCCTCCCAAAGACAAACCGCCCGCTCCCCTTGCAGGGTTCAGTGCAGCATTGTCCAGAAGGAAAGGTGTTTCTTATTCTTGCGCCGTGTTAAAAGTGACCTCACACGCAGTGCGATGAAAGTGCGGTGGGCGTTTAATCTGTTCTGAGCGCGTGTGTTTGTGTTTGGAAGGAAGTTGGAGAGGTGCAAGGGGACTGGAAGTTTTGGGGTTGGTGCCAAGACTTGCCATGTGGGGATGAGTCAGCGAGATCTTGAAATGTTTGGTTGGTGAAGGGGGTTGTTTATGTTGACGGGATGGGAAGTGGTGGGTGAGAGTCTTGGAGAACACTTGCTGTACATTTGGCGAATCAATCAGGTTGGTGGTCGCGGGTAGTCAAACGATTGCGCCGCGTATGTGTGTGTATGCGGACGCCGCAAAGCAATGAATGTACAAGTTACAAGCCTTCTTCCGCTTTCCCCTTTAGCCACCGATCAATGCCTTGCGCCATTGACTCCATTGACTTGCGGTGCTTGAGGCGTAGATTGAGGAGCCGGCTGTTGTTGTGGCGCCTTTGCTTTGCCGTTGGGTAGTGTCTCCTGCGGAGGAGGCGGTGGCGGCGGACCATAGGTTCTCGGCTGCACGTCGAGGACTTCTTCCTCCGTATCGTCGTCGTACTCGCCCTCTTCATCTTCGTCGTACTCCTCATCCTCGTATTCACTTTCCGTCTCACCCTCTAGTCCCTCGTCAAACTCGCCCGTATCGACGGCCGCGCTCTGGGCGCCAGCCGCAGCTGCATGCGCGCTGCCATACCCTTGCGTCTGCATCGCTCGACAGAGTTTCTTCAACTTCTCGTTCTCCCTCGTCAAACGATCGATGGTCTGCTGACTTTGACTTCGCTCCTCGGCCATCTGGAATATATTCTTGTTGGTGGCTTCTTGCTTTCTTGTCAGGTTCAAATTCTCCTTCTCCAGCCGCTTCGTCTTCTTGGACATCTCTTCCATCTCCTTTCGAAAAGTCAAGAACAGGTCATTGCTATTGTTGAGCGTGTCTTCTACCTGCTGGAAGGTCAGTCAGTTACCAAGCAAGAAAACCATACGTTCAGCGGTACGACAAGTCCCAAAAGCCGCTGCTGGTAATGTAGTTGGAAACATACCTGCTTGAACTTTTCTACGTAGACGTTGAGCTGCCCTCGAAGTTCGTTCTCCGTCTGGCTGAAAGTGCTCACTTGTCTTGTCAACTGGTGGCTCTTGGTAAGCTCGTTCTCCTGCGCTCTCTTCAGCTGCTCGTGTCTAGCAAGCTGAAATTGTATTTCAAGTTCCTTAGTCCTGAGCACACTCTGAAAGTGTAGTTCCCGCAGCTCGTACTGATGTAGAAAAGAAGTAAACTTCTCTCTAAACAGCTTGTCCTGCTCCAGCTCTTGACTTTGCCGCTCGGGTGCTCTTCGTTCTGATACCACTTCATTCATGTCTAGTACCATGCTCTCGAGCTTTCGATGGAGCTCATCGTTGCGATTGGCAGAATTCTCCTTGAGTTCGCGAAAGTCGTCCTTCAACTTTTTGTTCTCTCTCGTAAGTTCTCTGCTCAATTTCTCCAGCTTCTCCTTCATAGCCTTCTCTTTCGTCCGCTCCTTGCCTATCTCCTCTTTCTCTTTCTGCAGCTGGTCACCTCGCTTCTTGGCCTTGACATGATCACGTTCCGTCTTTTTCATCTCACTCAGCAGGTCGGTATATCTCTTCTGAAGAATATCCAGTTTGCTGTGTTGCGGTTCGAGATTTGCAAGTACTTGAGACAAGTCGCGGTTGGCCTTTTTAACCTCTGCTTCAATCTCTGCATTCTGCTGAGCATCTTCGGTGCTCGTGGCTTCCAGCTGAGAGATCTTGGAGAGCAAAGCTTTATGCGCATCGTTGGGATCAGTCGAGTTGCTGCTCCCTTTCTTCCCCTTTGCTTTTCCTTTGGCCGGCGCAGGGGCATTGGTGGGAGGCGGTGGAGGCGCGGGGATGGAACCATCGGAGGCGGAAGCATCGCGCGAGTAGTCGGCAGAGGCAGGTGATCCACGAGCATTGCTGGCCGGGAGCGGCTGCTGGTGGTGAGCAGCGACCTGAGCCATGTGAGATGCACGCGATCGGCGATACTATCTAAAAGCCCTGCTGGCCCACGCGTAATAGCGTTGTCTCCTGCCGGTCTCCGTGGTGCAAGAGTCTGCCGGCGATTGGTCGCAAGGCTAGAATGACCGACTTGAAGAGAGCGTCGCCGTCGGTCTGGTGGTGAAGTCCGACGGCAGGGTTTGCACTCGCTCCGCCCTTGGCATCTGCGGTGCGCGGCCCCAATGTTGACAGCTCGAACGGTGAGGTGGAGGTCGTTCCAGCGGCGGCGAAGGTCTCGTGAGGTGTGACTCGATGGGGGAGGGTGGCACGACGGGGAATGGTCTCGCGGCCGGTTAAGGGTGCGGTGGCTCCTCGGGGCGGAATTGGTGGCGAGAGGATATGGTGTTGACCGTGGGCGGTATCAATAGCGCATTGGATATGCCGTAGGCGTCAGAGCTGCGCGGGGAGGGGTGTTGGCGGCGATATCGATGTGCAGATGTCGGTTACGCTCTGGATGCAGGATGAAGTGAGTGTCGAATCGAAGGCTAGTCCCAAACGAGCAGCAGCTGAGATGAGATAATCGACGTCAGTCTTGGCTTGCCATCTGCCAGGGTAAACATCTGCACCTGCAACATCACTTCTTCTCTCTTTAATCAAATCGGCCATCAATGTTGAGCTCACTGCGCACTGCCGCGCGGTCACCTCGCATTTTCGCCCCATATCACCGCCTGTTGACCCGCAACACGAGAAGAAACTACGCCTCCGCTACCGATCTCAACTCTCTACCCAAGCCGGGAGACCATCTCCATGGCTTCACCCTCAATCGAGCAGAACATGTTCCTGAGTTAGAGCTGTCTGCGTTACACTTCACGCACGACAAGACGGGCGCAGACTATCTGCATTTGGCAAGAGACGATATCAACAATGCTTTTCTCATCGGTTTCAAGACGAACCCTCCGGACGCCACTGGTGTTCCCCATATTCTTGAACACACGACTTTATGCGGGTCAGAAAAGTAGGTCCATATGGATAAGAGGTGTATATAAGGCGCAGGCTGATAGATGAGGTAGGTATCCTGTTCGAGATCCCTTCTTCAAGATGATTCCGCGCTCTCTCCAAAGTTTCATGAACGCCATGACTTCCACCGATCATACTATGTACCCCTTCGCCACCACGAACGCTCAAGACTTTCGTAATCTGATGAGTGTCTACCTCGATTCTACCCTCCACCCACTCCTCAAACATTCCGATTTCGTGCAAGAAGGATGGCGAATCGGGCCAGAGAATCCAGAAGAGACCGTGCAGAAAGAGGATGGAAGCGATCTCGTGTTCAAGGGCGTCGTATACAACGAGATGAAGGGCCAGATGAGCGATGCCACATATCTGTACTTCATACGCTTCTTTGAGCATGTCGTACCTTCTCTCAACAACTACGGCGGTGACCCGGCCAAGATGACGGACCTTACATACGAGCAACTGAGGAACTTCCACAGAGACCACTACCATCCAAGCAACAGCAAGATTCTTACATACGGAGACCAACCCGTGCAGCACCACTTGCAATTACTTGGAGAGCAGCTGTCAGCTTTCAACAACACCAACGTTGACCAAGAATTGAAAGCGCCAATCACTCTTGAAGGTCCACGAGAGATCGTTTTGAAGGGACCGATCGATCCATTGACGCCCATCGAATCCCAATACAAGACATCCGTCACATGGATTATTGGCGACCCTCGCGATGTTGTCGAATTCACCGCTTTGAACCTGGCACTGAACGTTCTGATGGATGGGTACGGTTCACCAATGTATCGCGCACTCATTGAATCTGGGCTTGGCACGGACTTTTCTCCAAACACTGGAATCCTGGACACCGAACCCACCGCGATCTTCTCGATTGGCCTAAACGGAGTTACGAAGGAGAATGTGCCTAAAGTGAAGAAAGTCATCGCGGCCACGATCATGGAGACTATAGCTAAAGGTCTTGATAAGCAGAAGATCGAGGGGAACTTACACCAGACTGAACTCTCCCTCAAGCACAAGTCTGCGAAGTTCGGACTTGGGACCGTGCAGCGCCTGGTAGGCAAGTGGTTCAATGGTCTGGACCCATATAAGGCTTTGGCTGTGAAAGCTACACTGGACCAGTTCAAGGCAAACTATGCTCAAGAAGGATATCTGGAGGGCCTACTCAAAAAGTATCTTCTCGTGGATAACACGATGACTTTCACCATGGAGCCCAGCGCCGACTTTGCTGCTGAGCTTGCTGCCGAGGAAGCCAGCAGGCTGAAGACGAAGATCAACGAAGCAGTGAAAGCGTATCCCAGCGAGCAAGATGCTTACAAGGGATTGAGAGACCGGGAATTGGAGCTTGTCAAAGAACAAGATGCAGGTCGCACGCAATCACTTGACAGTCTTCCTACGCTGCGCGTATCTGACATCTCGCGGGTGCAGAAGCAGACTCAAGTGCGGGACAGCACTGTTGACAATGTCAAAGTCCAGTGGCATGAGGCCGCTACCAATGGCCTGACATACTTCCGCGCTCTGTCCCTCTTCAAGGACCTGCCCGGCGAACTTCGCATGCTCGTACCGCTATTCTGCGACAGCTTGATGCGTATCGGCACGAAAGATAAGCCGATGGAGGTGATCGAGGACCTGATCAAGCTGAAGACTGGAGGCATTGCATTTGGCACACACACTACAGCGAGCCCATTCGACATTCAGCAAGCCGAGGAAGGGCTAGCAATAAGTGGACACGCTTTCGACAATAACATCCCAGCCATGTTTGAACTTATCCAGACAGTGCTGCTGGGTACCGACTTCGATTCACCTCAAGCACACCGCATGATTCGCGAACTACTTCAGACGGCTGCCAGCGGCGCTGTCGACGCAGTCGCTTCGAGCGGCCACAGCTACGCAATGCGGTACTCAGAAGCAGGCGTAAGCCCCGTAGGTCGCTTGAGCGAGCAGTACGCAGGTCTGTCGCAGGTCAAGATGACCGCTACTCTGGCTGCAGCTGAGGAGAACGAAGCGGCAATGAATGAACTCATCCAGAAGCTCAAAACCATCCAAGCAATCGCAGTCTCCAATATGCGCGGCGGTTCAATGCGAGTTGCCCTGACCTGCGGCTCTGAATCTGTCAGCGCCAACGAGGCAGCCTTGCAAAGCTTCCTCGCAGCGACATCGCGAGCCAACCTCTCGGCACCTACATCATCACCACCCAGCCAGTCTCCACCGTTCGACTTCACCTCCCGCCACACCCTGTTCAACCTCCCCTACCAAGTCTCCTACTCCGGCCTCTCCCTCCCCACAGGCCCCTACACCTCCTCCAAATCCGCCCCCTTCGCCATCCTCGCCAAACTCCTCACCCACAAACACCTCCACCACGAGATCCGCGAAAAGGGCGGCGCCTACGGCGGCGGAGCCTACAGCAAAGGCATCCCCGGCATCTTCGGCATGTACTCCTACCGCGACCCAAACCCCACCAACACCCTCAAAATCTACAGCGAGACGGGTCGGTGGGCCGCCGAGCGAGACTGGAGTGATCGAGAACTCGAAGAGGCGAAGTTGGGTGTTTTCCAGGGTCTCGATGCGCCCGTTAGCGTGAATCAGGAGGGGATGGTGAGGTTTCTGAGTGGCGTTGATGGGGAGATGGAGCAGCGACGGAGGGAGTGGTTGTTAGATGTTGATGCGAAGCAGGTAAGGGAGGCGGCGGAGGAGGTTGTGAAGGGTGTTCAGGGGAAGGCGCATATCACTGTGCTAGGGGATAAGGAGAAGACGGCGTTTTGGAAGGAGGGCAGTTGGAAGGTGGAGGATCTGGGGATGGGGAAGGTTCAGGAGGTGGAGGTTTGAGAGAGATTGTTTGTCTGTGTTGTATACCACTCTGCTCTGAGAAAATTGTATAGATATGTATTGTAGAAAAGTGTATATAGCACTTCTGTGAAAAAGTGCTCAATGTGGCCGGCCCCCTTTCTTTTGTTTCTTTCTCTGTCTTCAATCCGCAATCCACCATTGCTCAAAATAGACAAAAAGTGAGGGAGAGTAAAAGTAGCCGCCAATCCAACAATTGAGACTGATCTTCAACTGCGTCGATCTAACGTCGCCCAAGATGTGATGCCCAAACAAAAAAGTGTTTGCCGATCGCGAGGGTCGAACCCGCATCACCCGCGTAACAAGCTGGTATCATACCTTAGACCAGATCGGCCGATAGTGCAAGGGAAATAAAGGGTTATAGAGGTTAGTAGCGACGTTGGAGGAGAGATGATGGGATCTTGATATTTGCGGTTCACGGAGCGTACTTGAGAGCATGTGACGAGGCAAGGCCAAAAAGGGCCATGTCCAACCCACGAACAAAACTAAATTCAATCGACTTGCCGACCCCGAGAATTGAACTCGGATCCCTCATTTCAAGAGCCTGTGACAGCGTCTTGTGGATTGCACAAACCCGTTTCAGAGCCTGGGTGTGTGTGGGCGGCACTCGCCGATTGGGAGCACACACGGGGTGAAGTGTGCGTTGAGAGTCTTACCATTGGACCAGATCAGCCGAGAGGGGTGGATTTGAGATTGGTTATAGAGGTTAGATGGCTGACGTTGGCATGTGAAGGGTCTTAGAAGTTTGTGTCGCAAGCGAAGAAGTGAGGAGTTCAAGTATGGCGGAAAGAAGCCGGGCCCGGAAGAGACGATTGAGCAGCTGGCAAAAAGATCAAAAAGAGTATTTTGCTCACCGCGAGAGTCGAACTCACATCCCCCAAGAGCGCACTCATCGAAAGTGAACTGTCAACCTTCCATGAGGCTTCCTGGATATCTGACCATTAGACCAGATGAGCCAAAGGTGTCGAGTCAAGCATCACATATATGGGATTTATCTTAGCGGCTTCGTTGAACACCGAGAAGTCGGCCAGCATTCAGCAGGGGTCCTTGAATTGAGTAAATGTACGGATAAGTTTCAAATTTGCCTCATTGCCAATTTTCTAAGTGGTCTTGTTTGCTCGAGTAAACGCTGTCAGGTGTGGCAAATAAGGGGCTGCAGCGGAAGCACACCACAAAAGGTAACAGGAACGTCAAAAAGATTGACCGACCCCAAGCATCAAATCTGGATCCCTCGTCTGGTCAGCCTTTGTGTAGGGGACGTGCTAGCTTCGTTTTACTTCTTGGAAGAACATCATCTTGAATACTCGTCCACAGCTGAGAATTAATCCTCAGACTTGGCCCTCAGAGGATCTTGCCATTGGGCCAGATCAGCCGAGAGAGTTAGAGCGTGAGTTGATGATGCAGGTTGATGGTCGAGACAGGGAGTGGCATGTGATGAGGTTGAGAGAAATGAAACGGCAAGGTGGTTATATTGGGCATGTGAAAGCCACGGCAGAGAGCATGGATTTGGAATAGGGACTTCTTGTCTTCCGCCAAAATGAAGTGGAAATGGAGAAGAAAGAAAGTCGAATGATCTGGCGTGAAGCTGCAGAGCATGGAAAAGGGGCATCGGCCGAAGCACAGCAAGGGTCTCATAAACAACACTAAAAAGCTGATCGATGAGAGGACCGAACTTGCCAAGGGCCAAAAATTGAACAAAAAGATTGATCGAACCCCGGGACTCGAACCCGAATCCCTCTTCAAGGGCTAGCGGGGAGCCACACGCCACTCTCACATCCCACCAGCAGGACTGATAGCCGATGATACCGGATATGAGAGCTGACGCCCGGACCAATGGAGCAGTTCCGGATCAACTTCAGCTAGATTTGGAGTTCGAAGCCGGACCCTTGACATTGGTCTGCCATCCAAGGATCTTACCACCATTGGACCAGATTGATCGAGAGTAGGAGATTGAAAGCTGTTTATGAAGATGGAATTTTAAGCCAGTTCGTGAATGGGTGACGTCGGCGGGAAGGGGTGGTCGGGGCTGTGGGTGGTTGTGCCTGCCATTCACGACTTCCGTGTTCGATCGCTTTCCTGGTCTTCAGCTTTCACGTCCACAGTCAGCACACAAATTCGCTGAAAGTCGACCAAAAATTTAAAAATTCCGCAAGTCTCGCACACAGGCCTCTAGCAGATCAAATTTGAGCGGCAACACGGCCATTATTGTTGAGGCCGGAACAGCTGAGCATCCGGCATTTCGAGCCTGCGGATTAATCTTCATCGGTGCTCGATCAAAACATGAAAAAGCAAGACCAACTGTAACATTCGAACTTGCATCCCTCCAAGCCTCGCCAAAGGGGCCCAGTACCGAATATGAGATCTCTGCTGGGCCCTTCTGGCGCGCTTGAAAGATTCTACCAATTGAACCAGATTGGTCGAGAGCAACAGTTTCCAAACGACACATAAGGCTTGAACCTATACACATCCAAAAACCACAGCAGTCGAAAGAAAAAGAAACAACATGACCAACCCCTGGAGTCGAACCAGGATCCTTCCGAGACGTGGTGTCGAGTATGCCCATGACAATCTCGTGTTCCGCCTGGATGGGAGAAGCTGGAGCTCTTTGCGAGGCTCGGAGGATTCTACCGCTTGAACCAGATTGGCCGGCAGTATCAAAATCTTTGTGGGCTATTATCGTTGCTGTTCAAACGGCTTAAGGTTTCGTGCACCGGGACAGGGAAGCTGGTTGTTTGCTGTGCTCTTGTCTTGCAGGTTCTGGAATCTTTGGAATGCGGGTACCCGTCTCTCGCAGTCGGCTACGAGATATCATTGGACCGTCGTCATGTCATCAAGGCAGATTTGAATTGGAGGCTCTTAGGACCGGTGGTTCCAGATGTTGTTCAAAGACTGGAGCAGTAATGGAGCAAGAGATTGAACCCCAGCATGAGGAGTTGGTCAACGAGGCTGTGAAAGCCGGGGGAAACAACCGAACGTTCCAGACACCAGTCTACGGTCTTGCCGCAATGATGCCGACGCGAAAGCGTAATCGGCTTCAGCGGCCCACTTGGAACGCAGCCACAACCAACATTCCCCTCCAATGCTCGCTTGCAATCTGCATACGTTGAACGAGAAGTGTGGTGGGACGTGTGGGCGGCTTTACCTAATCTAATCAGATCATCAGAGATTTCACCCTTAGCGACAAAGCCAGACGCCTCTCGCCTACAACGGACATTTGTCTAATCCTTCGAAGGTAGTATTACCGCGGACATAGGCGATGGTCTCGTGCAACTCGCAAATGGAAGACTGCAAACCATGCGATCTCGGATGCGATCTCGGCGGAACGTCCCCCATGTTGAGAAGACATGGTCAAGACTTGCTTGTCAAGGCTTGGTGGCCTATTATCTTATCTTGATCTCGATCAGCGCTGTTCTGTTTTGTTGCTCACTTGGCCACAGCACTCTGGTGATATTGCTCTTGCAGTCGAGATGACTTTCATTAACCATTTGCGACACAAATTCGAGACTACCCCTCCGGAGACCGCAGACGTCGATTGCACTTCAGGCCAGACTTCTCCTCCAGCGGAGAAAAGCCATGTCGACTCCAAGGCACCTGGTGATCCTGAGGTCGCAGAGCGTTCAGATACCGGAGTATCTGACAGTGATAAGCTTCCAAGTGAAGATGTTCAAGATGGAGTACGGCAGGTTGAGGCCTTGACATTGGTCTGGACCAAGACGTCGCTGGGAGCAGCGTACATTCTGTGAGTCTTGCAGTTGGAAGCATCTAGAGCCATTGAAAGACACTGATCGCAACCAGTATGTTTCTCCTCTATTTCGTCAATGGGTTTCAGTCTTCCATCACTGGCAATCTTTCGGCCTACATCACGAGCGACTTCGAATCGCATTCGCTTCTGCCTGTCATCTCGATCGTAACATCTGTGATGGGTGCGGCAACATATATGCCATTGGCCAAAATCCTCAATCTGTGGGATCGATCTATCGGCTTCACGATCATGGCATGCTTTGCTACTCTCGGACTGATTCTGAGCGCAACATGCACCGGCATTGAGACATACTGTGCAGCACAGGTCAGTCAAGATTCAGGACAAGCCTGGTCGTTGAGCTGACAATAAGCAAAGGTCTTCTACACGATCGGGTTCACCGGCATGACTTTCTCGATCGATGTCATTACGGCAGACACTTCATCTTTACGCGATCGAGGTCTAGCCTACGCATTCACTTCTTCGCCTTACATCATTGTGGCTTTTGCTGGACCAGCCGCATCCGAGAAGTTCTACCAGACCAATTGGCGATGGGGTTATGGCTGTTTTGCCATCGTTCTCCCTGTTGTCGCCATACCATACATTGCGCTTCTGAGATATAATCGCCACTTGGCGAAGAAGCGAGGCCTGCTCATCGAGAAAGAGAGCAGCGGAAGATCTTTTGGCCAGAGTGTTTGGTATTACATCGTGCAGTTTGACCGTGAGTACTTGGAAAGTCTCATGTTTGTTCGTACTAATAGGACTCAGTCGTTGGCACGTTCCTCCTGGCAGCAGGTCTCGTTCTTTTCTTGCTTCCGTTCAATATTGCAGAATCTGCCGAAAGTGGCTGGAAGCAAGGCTATATCATTGCCATGCTGGTCCTCGGAATTGTCTGTCTCGTTGCTTTCGCTCTGGCAGAGCGATTTATCGCCCCGGTGCCGTTCCTCCCATGGAACATTCTGATCTCACGGACTGTCCTGGGAGCCTGCCTGGTTGACGCAATGTACCAGATCTCCTACTACTGCTGGAATGACTACTACACTTCCTACCTCCAGGTCGTATTTGGAACCAGTATACAAGTAGCGGGATACATCAGCAGCATCTTCGATGTGGTATCCGGAATCTGGCTGTTTGTTGTCGGCTTTGCGATAATGAAGACAGGCCGTTATCGCTGGCTGCTCTACATTGCAGTTCCAGTGTACATCCTGTTTGAAGGGCTGATGATCTACTTCCGACAACCAGGATGGAACCTTGGCTACCAAATCATGTGCCAGGTCTTCATTGCCTTTGCTGGCGGTACCATGATCATTGTCCAGCAGGTCGCGGTCCAAGCTGTTGCTGATCACAACAATGTCGCTACAGCCCTTGCTGTTCTCAATGTCTTTGGGAACATTGGTAGTGCCGTCGGAAGCAGTGTCAGTGGAGGCATTTGGACTCATACTCTGCCTGGAGCTCTGCAGAGGCTGCTGCCCGATTCCACCAAATCTGATTGGGAGACAATATACGACTCTTTGGACGTCCAGCTGAGCTATGCCAGAGGCACGCCAATCCGACATGCGATAAGCATGGCATATGCTGTTGCACAGAGCAGAATGTTGATTGCTGGAACCTGCATCATGGGTTTGTCGTTGGTATGGATGTTCGTGATGCGGGATATCAAGTTGAGCAAGACACAGACCAAGGGTGTCCTGTTCTAAAAGCAGGATCAAAGGAGCCTCAGGGGTACGGGACTGGGGCGGTCTGAGACTGATCCTGTACAGATGGTGCGAGAATGAAGCTGGAAGTAGCTTTGGACAGACAGGACAATTGTATTTCAGCGGATCCGACTGCTTCGAGTCGAAAAGATGGCTTCAGGAAGACAGTTCTTGGCGTGAGTGTACCGAAGGATGATGCGCTCAGTTTATGACGCGACTCTTAAGAAGGTCGCGATGGAGACCAATTTTGAGTAATGCTGCGCCGAGCCCTAACTCACTGCATGGTTCTAGCCCCTTGTCATCAGGGGCGTCAGATGTAGTCGGCTGTACGTTCCAATTTAGGCATGACGTGAAACCATCAACCAAGGACATGAACCGCTGTCGATCTTACGGGTTGCTTCGAAGACTGCTTGACTGTGAACTTGAAGGTCCCTAAGTTCTCTGTCTACATATGATCAGCGATGGAGAGCACTACGCGCCGAAGTACCGTCAGACGGAGGAAGCACTTGAATATGCCACCAAGGCCATCTTGAAGTCGAAGCCTGGTGACAAGTGTTCTGGGCTCAGTCTCAATTCTCAACTATGAGTTGTCAATGATGTGACACCACCTGAAGTTGCATTGTATTTGGTTACTTTCCGACATCGCTACTAGCTCGTGTTCCTGTCGCGCTACGTGTCTTAGCCCTCCGTCATGGTGCCCGCCAAGCGTTCGCGCTGGTTCGGAATCGGTTTCGTACATTTCGCCAAGTCGATGCAACAAGGATACCAGACTGAGGACACCGAGCACGGTTTAATTGCCTAATCCCAACATCCCACGAGGCGTGGTCAAAGTCTTACAAATTACTAGATGGCGAAATTTAGACTTTGCTAGTGCTCGTGTAGGTGAATGAACGGAACGAACAGTGGATTCGCGGAAAATACTTCGGCCGAGTCTGATAATCTTTTCGGCGCTAGCGAAAGCTACGCCTGAGCTTGCTTCAACGTCAGCTCTTATGCATTGCTGACTTTATTACCGGCCATGAAATATCGACATCGCGGAGACTAGTGGCATTCTTGGCTGGTGTGTGATGAACTGCCAAGGACTGTCTGTTTTTGAGCAAGCGACGAGAATCTCATCGCATGGGTCCCGTTTGGGACAGGACACTGCCCTAGCTTTTTGCAAGGCATGCTTTCAACTTTCCAAAGGCTCGGATGCCGTGTCGCTTAATTCAGTATCCGAAAGCCGGTAGCACGGTCCTTGCTCGTCTCCGAGATGGGATCACCCATACGAGCAGCTCGTTATAAACTATTCTGTTTCATCTCTACAGTTTGGCGTTCCACGCTGCTCTGTCCGCCGACTCCAATGGCTTATCCCGTCCATCCCAGAACAGGGGACAGAGCTGGAACCACTTCTCTCTGCTGCAGACTGAATGCACCGATCTCTTGTGACCAAGGTCCACATACTGCCCAATCGTGAGACCTTGGGAGTTCTCGTATGACAAAATTGTCGAACCTGTTGCCCTGGGCTCGCCGACAATATTTGCGGTACGTGGGTCATCGAGGAAGCAGTAGTGGATGCAGGAAGAGTACCATGCGTTGACTCTGTGCGCGCCACGGAATGAAGCATCGCCAACGAGAGAGTGTCGACCGCGATCGTAATGGTGGGTGTCGTAGTGAGCGCCGTAGTGGTCCTCCTGCAGCGACATGTCAGCTCACCTCCAGCCGGGACGCGCGCGCACCTTTGATGTTACCTTTGCCCAGTACAGCTCGAAATACGCGAACCTGGTCTCGTTGAAGCGCCCAAACAAGCACAACACATGAGGGTCGTGGTGGAGTTTGCTCAGATACTCCCGATGCTGATCAAGCGTCCCGTTCTCATTCCAGCCTTTCGCAACACGGGGGTCATTCTGCCAGCTGTTGAAGAGTTGGAGATGCTCGTCCTCCTGGTAGTTGACTGCTTCCAGTGAGAAGTGCTCGTCGATCTCTGGAATATAGCGACTATACACAATGGAGCCAGGGCAAGGCTTTGGCCGGCGTGTAGGATAGCGAGTATACACGGCTTCTTCTGGAAATTTCATTGTCATCTGGTACCCCTCTGGCATGACTGGGTACTGGCTGAGTGCCAATCGCAAGTGTTCGTCTGTTCCTTCGCCGATGGCCCAGATAGGGCGTGAGCCAAACGGAGAAGCTGCACCTTGCCAAAACGCGCTGCGCAGAATCAAAAGTTCTTCAGCTTCCGCAAAATTGTTAATCTTGTTCTTGAGGTGCCATGGCTTGGGATGCTTGACTGCGAGGCCTGTGGCTAGCAGCTCGTTCCACAGGACCTCGTGCTCAGCATTGTCGCAGAGTAGTGTGAAGTATTCTCGCGTTGGATGAGTGAGGAATATTGCATGGATCAAATTCCAGACCTCCGCCAGGGAGGGCATTTCCTTCTCTTGCCAACGCAGAACAGTCTGCGGACTTCGGCACGCTCGTGCCCAAGCGCTGTTGTCCGACTCGGCAGGGACATCGCCTTCAGGCTTGGAATGAAGATCAAGCCAGCTCAGAGACTCGTTGTGCAAGTGTTTTGTTGGCGGCGTCCCGGCTTGTGGTTGATCGTGAAGTCTCAACGCGAGCCGAGCAGGTGCGCTGTCCGAGATCACATGGATTCGGTAGGTGGTCAAAAATGGATGCGGCAGTTTGACCCACGGATACTCTGTGTGAACAGCAACGCTCTCGAGAGCGACATTGGTGTTCTCCATGATGGGTATGGGCGCTGGTGATAATTCGAACCGCAGGAGATCGAAACGGGAAGACAAGGTTAAAACAAGGCGAGTGATAACCTACCGAGAGCTGAGAGCTCGCGATTCGCAAAGACCAAACGTCAGCGAGCAAACGCCTTTGACGCCATTCCTGAATTCTTCGGTAAAGGGTACGATGTCCTTGCGGAATAGACTCCCGAACAGGTTGGATTCACCTTGGCATCTGCAGCAGGCGTAAAGCCGAATCGCAGCCTTTCTTCCTGGGCCGGCGCGGTTTCGGGTTTTCGGTACTATAAGCATCTGCCAGAAGCTCACGCTTGTAGACAAAAAGACCCAAACACTCAATGGCGACACCCCAACAGCATGAGCACTTCCAGGTGTCTTTTCCAGCAGAACATGTCATCCAAGTCACGCTGGATCGACCCGACAAGCTGAATTGCATCAACAAAGCCACGAGTCGAGAGATTGCCCAAGTATGGAACCTACTCGACCACGACGAGAGCCTTTGGATCGGCATCATTACAGGATCTGGTAGAGCTTTCTGCACTGGAGCAGACTTGGAGGGTTCGTTGTTCCGGAAACCTGTGGGAAGTGGCTGACCGCTCAATCTCGTACAGAGTGGAACGAGATGGCAAGACGCGGCATCGTCAACGACATGTCTGCTCCAGGTCTGGCAGGTCTCCCACGTCGATCGGGCAAGAAACCCATCATTGCTGCCATCAACGGCATCACAATGGGCGGTGGCTTTGAGATGGTCGCGAACTGCGACCTGATCGTAGCATTGTCCTCAGCAGTGTTCGCGTTGCCAGAAGTCAAGCGAGGCATCGCCCCTGTCGCTGGTTGCCTGCCGAGACTTACACGAACGCTTGGCCTTCAAAGGACAACCGACCTCGTTCTCACCGGCAGGAGCGTGAGCGCAGAGGTCCTGTATAACTGGGGCTTTGTCAACCGGCTGGTAGAGCAATCATCCAATGTCGCTGCGGCTGCTGTAGAACTTGCTCAGGAGCTCTGCAAGAATAGCCCGGACTCACTGATTGTGGGTCGGCAGGGTATTCGACTGAGTTGGGAGACGGGCAATGTGGAAGAGGCCGTGTCGAAGCTGGAAAAGGAGTGGTATCCGAGGCTCATGGCCGGTTTGAACTTCACGGAGGGCATTCGGGCATTTGTCGAGAAAAGGTCGCGGAGATGGACGAGTTCGAAGCTCTGAATTAGAGAGGAAGAGGACGAGGTCACTTCACGTTAGTTGTTGTTACTCGCTGCTATCTCCCACGCTAGACCGGTTGTTGTGCATTCGACCTTTCGAGCGAGGAGCTCGGACGAGGCCGGACGGACTTACCTACCCGAATTCAGCAGGGGTATGCAGCGAAAGAAGGAGCGTCTGATTCACGGGAGAGACTCGCCAATTAGTTAGCTAGTATGTTGTGAGCGTCTCCTAGTGCTTGGGCAACACTCGGATCTAATAAGTCTCAATCGCGCCGGGGCGCGCGGAAATCGAATATTGAACCGAGCATGTGCCGAAACGAGAGTGTACTGTAGCATGTGAGCGCACTTTTGTCCATTTCCTTTCACTCCCGATGCAAGGCTACATTGTTGCCAAGAGTGTCAAAGACCTCGAAGCGACTGAGCCAGGCACCGACATTGCCAAAGTTGGGACCACCGCTGAAACCTTCTAGTGCCTCTGCAACCTTCGCCAGTGTACCGTCCTTCTGAAGGTTGCGTTTGCAAGGCACTATCTGCATTAGTCCAAGCTAACAATGGTCTCCAGCACGCGAACAACGCTCTCTCGATCAACGACAGTGCACTCGAGATACTCGACTGCACCAATCTCCCCCGCGACTCGCTGGCCATCCTCATACGTCGTGGGTGCCATGCCATTCTCGCGCAATGCCTCCTTGGTTGTCCAATCGTCGCGGTACTCGGCCTTCCCTCCCAACAACACGATCTTCGCTTCGGGAGCGTGACGCTGGATTTCGGGATACCACTGCAAGCATGGCTGTATTAGCAGGTGACGAACTATTCGGGAACGCAAAGTCATGCAGGGGTAACAATTGCCTTCTTCTGGACATTTGCAAGTGAAGTCGGACACGAGATGGAGAAGCATAGTAGGATGAAAGCAGCGCGAGGATATACCTCAGCCCGCTTGTTCTCTCGAGCGGCTGTTTCCTCCTCGGTCCAACCATCAATGCACGGAGTGTCCCATATTTGCAGAGTGATTTTCTCTTGGCGGGTGACACCGTCGAAAAGGTACTCGACGCATTCGTTGCTGCAGCAGCGTTCAGTACAGATTACCATGGCAGTATCGAAGTATCGTACGTTGGTATGTACTCCCCCAGCAGTTCATCAGGGACACTTTGCTTTGAAATGACGTTCCTAGGCTTTCCACCAAGCATAATGGTGTGTGCAGACTCGGCGCCCTCTTTTCTGTGCCTCGACGTCAGCAAAGCTTTTCGAACGGTTCATACGGACGCCGACCTAGGGTAGTACACATCTTGCGGGTGACATCTTGCGAAAGCTTTCACGAGAATGGTCTGCTCATATCAGCTCTTTTTTCATCCGCGGACGACTGCAACGATGCGTACTTTGCCGACAGCTTGGTCTCCCACGATGACACCCTACAAAGCTCAAGTCAGGCTTGTTCCGTGGGTCAACGAGTTGGACGCATACTTTGCATGTCTTCGCATTGGCGACAGTCGTAGAACTTGCATCGAGTGGTCGTTGCCGTCTAACCATCACGAAGGCCAATGATAAATGTTGGCGACAGTTGTGGCAGTCCCAGTTGCGTTGTTGGGTGCGTGATTCTGTGGTGTTGGAGAGAGCTCGACCGACTAAAGTGATGGAGGATCTATATCAGGCGCCAGCATATTGTATGTGAAGCACATATTTGGCCTCGCACCGCGTTCGGAAAGGTTTGCGATGATAGGCGCAGTAGGGCTCCTTGCATGAATTTGAAACACAGCCAGATCAATTCGCAGCCAATCGCGAAGTTTCAAACCGAGGCCGGTGAAGAGGGCGTGGAATGGTACTGGATTGAAGTATTTGAATGGAACAACTTCGGACAAGACCCTTTGCGAAGCCCTTGGGCGAAGTTTCGGATCTGGTGAGCCAGTCGGGCTGCCGAAAGATTGTCACATGCTCTCTGACCGAGAGCGACTGGCACGAAGGTGTTTGAGAAGCCTGCATATTGCACCCTGTGCGGCCTTTCACTCGCACACCGTGCTTTTTCTGCCCCCAAGTTCAGGTGGAACCCAACATTCATATTCTTGAGCTATTGCCACCGAAGCCGCCATCGATTCGATCGATGAACTTCACCACTCTGGTGACGAGGTCCTGAACTACGGAACCTGGGTTGTTGTTGAGGTTGTGACTCGCCCCAACGACAATGCCGCCGTTCTTGTCATCGATGTTACCGCCACTCTCCTTCACTAAACTAGTCCATTGCTCCAGAAGGGCGGTGGCATTGACTTGTGGTACACTGGCATCGCTACCGCTGTAGAGAACCAGAAGCGGCGAGCTTGGTGGAAGCTTGCCGAATGTTCCCTTCAGTCTCTCGACAGGCAGATCGCTCGAGAAGTAGTCGTCTGCCCCAGAATGATCAGGTCCAGGAGACGAGACATCGACCCAACGCCTCGCCGAGATCGCAACCCTGCCAAACACTGGCCCTGTGAGCCTATTCGGCATTGCGTCTTTGTCTTGACCTTCTTGACACATCTTCAATGCCAGCTGATCCACTTCATGCTTGAAAGCCTGCGGTAGCTCATTCTCCAAAGCCTCTCGATCAGAGACAGGTGCTTGTAATATCACCCCATCCACTGACGGTCTCTTATCCGCTCCCGTGCCCACAGTATACTCCATGCAATCTTGACATCCAGTGCTATGGCCCATGATCACAACCTTTCCTCCCGGTCTCCGCTCTTTCAGATGTGAAATTATGCTCGCCATATCTTCTGCATCTGTTGCCAAACTCCTCACGCCCCACGCCGGACCTGCTGAACGCAGCGAGCATGTCACCAAACTCCACTTCGGTCCCAGAGATTGTGCAATCGTGAACGGGTACGCCACAGAGCCGACTGTGTCACCCATTCCTCCAACCCATACTAGCGTGTTGATATCGAGGGAGCGGACTAGAGGTTTGCTCGGTTCGAAGGCGAAGACATTGTTTGGTAGGGTATGTAGCGTGCCGGGGTAGTTGTTGGCGGGGAGAGTATTTTCGGTGGCCATTGTATCATTGCAACTCGCTGTATAGGCTTCTGCAGGTAGTAGTTGGAAGAAGAAGAAGAGTAGGATCACCAGCAAGGTAGCAAGTGAGGTCACTGGCATGTGGGGCGACTGGAGGCTTGAGCTTCAGCTTTTGTGAGACGACAACAACATCGACCCTTTCTCTCATCACATCTACTTATTATATATCAACGGTTCCCATCTACCTCCCCAAGGGAAACGACATGACATATATAGAAGTTTGCGGTATTCCATGAGGCGACCGCTCTTCATCGTCCGAGATTCGTACCAGTCGATCTCCTTGGCCGTAACGTGGGCTTCTCAACGACACACAGAAAATCATCACTTCTTGCTGAGCAGCGAGGAGGAATCTGCGTCGTGCGCGGTGCTCTCTTGAATCTGACCTACGCTACTTGGTCATGCCCCAAACGCTCAACGTCGAGACACAGTGTGGCGTCTTGCTTCCGTCTGGAAATCCATGTTCTCGAAGTCTCGCCTGCAAACGTCATGGCATGAGCTCGAAACGTGCAGTCGCTGGGAGAAGCGCTCCGTTTGATCAATTGCTTGAGAGATACCAGCAGCACAGGCAAGTAGAGTTGGTGAGGGCGCAGCAGTAAGGTTTTGACCTTCGCGCAGCAGGGCGGCCTCAAACCTTCAGCTGAAGCCACTGGAACACATCTTCCCTCCAGCGGTGTCACAAGGGCTGAGTTCCGGTGCCATTGAAATTTCTCTGGGAGCATCTCTTGCACTGCAACCCAACCACCACGATCAGCATGCGCCTCGTCAATGTAAAGACCCTCCAACTTCACCATTTCATGGATGAACGCCAAGCCCCTAAGTATGCGATACTTTCCCATACCTGGTCGGATCGGGAAGTCCTATACAATGATATGGAGGGCCTCACCAAGAGCCAGACAGAGCTCAACCGCGACCGCGGAGATCTCTTCGTGTCTACCTGGCCATGGGTTCAGAATCCCGCACTCGACTGGAAGAAAGTTCGGTTGTCCTGCCGCCAGGCGCTCGCCGATTCTATTGACTACATTTGGATCGATACCTGTTGCATCGACAAGGCTAGTAGTGCTGAGCTATCCGAGGCAATCAACTCCATGTTTCGGTGGTACGAGAAGGCTGCAGTGTGTTATGCATATATGTCCGATGTTCTGAAACCACCTGATGGAGTCGATGGGGCGAGTCGCCAGCCTTTCGAGCAGAGTCGATGGTTCACACGTGGCTGGACTTTGCAAGAGCTCATTGCCCCTTCCAAAGTCATGTTCTACGATTGCCATTGGAACTGTCTGGGTGAGAAGAGCGCTCTTGCTGACAGCATCTACAAGATCACCAACATCCCTCTTTCGATCTTGAGGCAAAATCAACCTCTCAACGACGCCAGCATAGCAATGAGGATGTCTTGGGCGGCAAAGAGGCAAACCACTCGTATCGAGGACGAAGCCTACTGCCTTCTTGGCATATTCGATGTGAACATGCCGATGCTCTATGGCGAAGGCTCGAAGGCATTCTCTAGACTACAATACGAGATTCTTCAGAGTTCAGATGACCAGACAATATTCGCCTGGGACGGCATGGAACAGAGACTGCTCGCTCTGTCTTCCAAACGATTTAACCATGCCTCGAGGATCGTGCAAGTCCAGCATACTTTGCGCAGTCAGTATGAGGTCAACAAACGTGGCATCCGCATCGCACTCAAGTTGGGCGAATTTAATCGCTGGAATGATACCGCACTTGCGATTCTGGATTGTGTGGATCTGGATAGTCCGGATGATTTCCTTGCCTTGCGTCTCCAAGTCAAAAGCAAGAATGAGGAAGGCGTTACGGAGGCCACACTTGCTGAGCAACATCCTCTATATTTCGTAAGTGGAGCCAAGAATGTATGGCCGCACACTTCAACCAAGACGGAGCTGTTGATTCTGCATCCGTCGTCTTTGTCGACTCCTCGCTCTACCGTGGATGAGACTCCTGTCAAGTTGGTTGTCGACGCTGACCTCTGCCACCTGCCTGTACGCATGCTTCCCTCTGAGCAGCGGGACACCACTTACTCCACCTGCGTTCTTCCACACCGCAGTAGTTCCGACAACGAAGAGCTTAGGGTCGTCGATATCAGTGGCGTAACTACAGCCTCAGGCGTGAACGACGGTCAGCTGCATTCGCACCTAGTCATCACTTTTGGCTACAGTTACGACATGAGTACTACACCATGGAGCCGCCGTCCCATCCTCAGAGCCGGCTGCTGTATAGCCTCGAGACTCGACGAAACCATTACTAGGGCATTTGAATCGAGTCTAGGAGTGTATCATCCGCCGGGTCCGGCTGGATCGAGGCCCAAGGACTGGTCTGCATTGCCGATCGAGATCTCTCTCAAATGCAAATGGACTTCGCCGAAAGGGACTGTGGAGAGCTCTCAGATTCGAATTATTCTGCAGCGAACTTCTATTGGATCAAATGGGAATGGTTCGGCGTTGATCATTACCCATGACAAGACCTGATCAGAGCAGGGCGTGACGGACCAGCATGTCGATATATCGAATCGCACATACAGGAGCGGTAGTTTCCTGCGTAAAGGGTCAAACGGCGTAGTTGACAATGATGCATGTGACGCGATGTTGCATAAATAGCTGGATTCTGAATGCACCAGGACAGTCAAGAGCCTGACTTTGCACGACTCGAACTCATCCATCCACTACACTCAACCTCACCACGCTTCCCATTCCACTCCAACTCACACGCTCTCCTACCGTCATCCCTCTCCTCCAGCCACTTAGCCGCGACTTCCCCCATCCTCATCCTCATCCCCTCCACACCCCCCTTCTCCCTCAAACTCATCCCATGATCCGCCCCTTTCACCACCAAAACCCAACTCCTCGCCTTCATCCCCCTCCTCACCTCCTCAAACAACCCCATCTCACACTGCACATCCCTATCCCCAAGCACGAACAAAACATCAATGCCACTAGGTAAATCCTTCAAAATCTCCTCCCGTCGCTCAGGTTCCCTCTTCCCGTCCTTCCCCGCCGTCAACGGCCAACTGACCAGAACCAACGCCTCGGGTACATCCCCTCCTTCATCAACCATCTCCAAAGCCGTGAGAACAGCCGCCCTCGCGCCCATACTCCGTCCACCCAACACCTTCCCTCCAACCCCTCCCACAGCAGCCCTAAACGCCTTCACCCGATTCACGAGATTCATCGTCCCCTGGAAACAAACCACACTCTCCACACCGCCGAAGCCTCGAGCGAAATCCCTCGTCGCGGGGTTTGCGATCCCGCCGCCGGCGCCGTGCGTGAATATTAGAGATGGAGGGTTTTCATCGTCGCTGCTGTTTGGTGGTTGATGTCTTTCGCAGACGATGAGTTTGTCGTTGAAGGGGAGGGTGAAGTGCGTGATGGCGGAGTCGGGGTCTGGGGGTTCTTCTTTTTCTGTGCCTGTGCCTGAGACGCGGGAGTTGAGGGTGGGGTCTTTGAGACCGCCGAGGATGGGCTTGTCTTTTGCTTCGTTTTGTTGTGGGTTTTGGGTGTTGGTCTTGGAGTCGTTGGTTGGGCGCTTTCGTTTGGGCATTCTGATTGCTCTCCTTGGCTTTCGTGGCTGGTTGTTAGCTGAGCTGATTTATCACAACGCGGTGCTAAGACCAGACGTGAAGTCGCGTCGAATGACGTCAAGATCCTGGCGAAAAAGTTGTAGTTGGGTGGTTCGGTGTTGATAAACAGAGAGAGACCTACGTAGGGTGTGGTGATTCGTTTCCGCTCACAGACGTACGGTTCAAAAGACATGTGCGAGAGGATGACGGCTGTCAATATCGAGAAAGTTGATGTTAAAGGCTCTATTTGCTCTAAAAACAGTGACTGAACTGATAACGCCCTCCATGTGCGCACTGCTTGAAGGGAGGGCGCATCCGCGAGATGTTCGGCGGACTCTCCTTGAAAGCACAGTTGCGCCTTACTGCATGTTCAACGTTGGTTGCTTGGAAAGTGATTGGTGAAGGGAACAAGATCAATTGATCACATGAAGTCGCCACTGCGAATAGTCAGTGCTGTTAGTAAGGTGAATTTCACGAAACTTACTCGTCGAGACCATCATCATCGTATGCCGCCGTGTCTGCGTCGCGTGCCAGGTTCTTGTTCGCATTGAGGGTGGTCTTGGTCTTGGCAGCCTTGGACTTCTTGCCGCCCTTCTCTGCGGCCTTCTCCTCCCTCATCTTCTCGTTGCTGATCGTCGTCAAGACGCTTGCGACGTTCTTGACCTGCTGGCTGTTCAAATCTTTTACTATCTGCTTCGTGAACTCCTTCATGAACAGCTCGTAGTGTGCCTTCTTGCCGTTCTGGTTCAGCAGAGGCACCAACACCTCTCGCAGCTTGTTAAAGTCCTTGGCATTGGTAGGGTTGAAGATCTTGAGTTTAGAGAGGTCGATGGCGTCGTTCGGGTCGTCGCCTTCCTGCACGGTGATGGCTTTGGGAGCGCTACGGCTTGCAGGCACACCACCCACGCCGCCGAACAAGTCCTCGGCGTGCTGCAAGTCGCTTTCCTTCTCAGACGCCCGTAGTCTTGCCCTCTTGTCGGCCTCATCCTCATCTCCGCTCTCCTCTTCGTCATCCTCTACAGCCTTCTGCCGGCGCCGCTGCTCGCGAATCTCCTCTAGTCGCTCGGACTTGCTCTTGTGGGCCGCCTTTGCGGCTGCGTCAGCCTTGGCCTTGGCCTCGGCCGCGTTCTTTGCCTTCTCGCGCTCTTCCTCGCTGTCCTCGGCGGCGTCCCATGATTCCAGGACGTCCTCGTCTTCTTCATCGTCGAACTTGCCTCGTCGGACGGCAACGGCTGGTGGGGAGGATGGAGGGGTGCTGTCTTCTTCCTCGTCGTCCCACGAGGTCTTGGAGGGCGCCATGATTGCGATTGTTCTTTCCGAGATCGGGGCTTTGTTTGCGAGGGGTTGTGAGTGCGTTAACGTTTCGCCGTGAAGGATGCGTCGGAGTCCAAGTATACGGGTTCGGTGAGAGTGAGAGGGTGGTGAAGGCGAGGAATGCAGCGGTAGGGAGGCGGGCGGAAGTGGAGGTTGGGGGAAAGGTTTGGGCACCAAAAGTCGCACCACGTTGGTCGACCCAACAAGTGACTCTTTCTTCGTGGGGCTTGGATTCTTGTCCCGCGATCGTCACGTGATATCGGAGATTGGATTCATATCTGGCCGACGTCACCTTGCCGCCTCCTGCATGTGGATTTCACTTCACGTTGTCCTCAACACCACACGCCTCCTGAAAGATCCCAATTCGGATGAACGTTCCAAACCAGCATGCCAGGACTCAGGTTGGTGATATTGAGAAACGCGGCCAGCCATGCTTCCGACGGTTGATTGAACAGTCAAAATCGAGCTGCGCATATCTGTCCAATTTCTGCTACAATACCCAGCCGAAGACATCCTGCTATCCCACCTATACTCTTGAGCTACGAGTGCGTTCAACACTGGTATACCGCCAGCTGCTGAGAGCCCGTCTACTAAGAGACAACGATCAAGGCTCCCACTTGGCCGACAGCGGGGTAGATAGCAATGGCGTGCGAGGGACAGCTTTCTGCCATGGCTGCTCGTGATGTGAGATTCTTGCAGGCCATACGTACACTGGAATTACAAGAATTCACTTCAAATTACCATGGATATCATCCGCGATCGCATGGTCGCTTTGGCTTATTCCGACTCACCCAAGCCTGAGACTGCAGCACGTAACGGACTGAATACCGCGAAGAACAGGAAGAAACTCATCTTGAACGCCTTCATAGAGTCATGTGAAGCTTCCACGATCCATTGTCAGTGAACGATCGGCCCCTGACATAACGCAGGTAGTGGTCACCAGTCGCCCGGACTGTGGCAGCACCCTGACGATAGATCGTCTGGATTCAATGATATTGAACACTGGGTTGATCTCGCCAAGCTTCTTGAAAAGGCCAAGATTCACGGGATCTTCATCGCCGACGTTCTGGGTGAGAGGCTATGGATTGTAGTCTGACCCGAGGCTGACAGGCTGAAGGTGGCTACGACGTATACGAAGACAGCCTTGACCCAGCCATCAGGTCTGCGGCACAATGGCCCGTCAACGAGCCTTTGGCGGTCGTCGTCGCCATGACCGCCGCCACAAATTCGATTGGTGTTGGCGCCACTGTCGTCCGTCCACCCCGTCGAGATTCCACGTTGACGATCAGTACTAATATATACCTTACGGCAAGGCAACGACCTACGAGCAGCCATACCACCTGGCGAGAAGACTGTCCACAATCGATCACCTTTCCAAGGGAAGGTTTGGGTGGAACATTGTGACAGGTTACCTTGACTCTGCAGCACGTAACCTGATCGGCAAAGAGCAACCTCTACATGCTGATCGGTAAGTCCGTAAACATTCCTATGAATCCACGCTTGTGATGACACTGATTTGTAAAGGTACACCGTTGCGGAAGAATACATGAAAGGCAGGTCGCAGATCTTCGAGGTCTCGAACCAGAAGAACTAACGAGGGGCAAACAAAGTGATGTACAAGCTCTTCCAAGCCTCCTGGCGAGACGATGCCGTGGTCCGCGACGTAAAACGTAGCATGTACAGCGATCCGGCCCGAATCAGAACGATCGACCACGACGGCGAGTTCTACAAAGTGTACGACCTACCATCCCATCCCACAAGCCCTACTAACACCCCAGCGCAAAGCCCCGGCCCACACATCTGCCAACCCTCCCCCCAAAGGACACCCCTCCTCTTACAAGCCGGAACCTCCAAATCAGGTCGGCTATTCGCCGCCCAACACGCCGAAGCCATCTTCGTCCTCGGCCACAGCCCCTCCGTAGCAAAAGACAACATCGCCGAGATCCGCTCGACAGCTAAAGAGCGATTCGGCCGTGATCCCAACAACCTCAAATTCCTCGCTCTGTTCTGTCCCGTGATCGGGCGCACGGAAGAAGAAGCGCAGGCGAAATTTGAAGACTACATTCAGTATGGGAGTAAGGAGGGAGCGTTGGCATTGTTTGGGGGATGGACGGGGATGGATCTGGGGCCTTATGGGGATGACGAGGAGTTGAGGCACACGGAGAGTAATGCAATCAAGGCGGCGGTGGAGTCGCTGAGTAAAGCTGCGCCAGGGGTGGAGAAGTGGACGAAGAGTGAGATTTCGAGATTCGTTCTATGAGAGGCCGAGCGATGCTGACGGGATCTAGACACCGTGGCGCGATTGATCATGATTGGCGGTGAGTGAGAAATACACATCTCATGCATACATATGCTGACTTTGTCTCCGCTACACAGGACTGGGCGCCACAGTCGTCGGCACCCCAGCCCAGGTCGCCGATGAAATGCAACGCTGGGTCGACGAAGCCGACGTCGACGGCTTCAACATGCCGTATGCCATCTTCCCGTCCTCCTTCGAAGACATCTGCAATCTACTCGTTCCCGAGCTACAGTCAAGAGGGATGTTTCATGGAAGTCATCCACCCAACTCTGCAATGTTGAGGAGCAGCGGGCTAATGGTCTTTAGCATGACTACGAAGTCACAGGAGGAACGTATCGAGAGAATTTCTATGGAAAGGCAGGACAGAAGCAGCCGCTTGAGGAGCATGTCGCTGCGAAGTATCGCTGGAGGGCTGGGGTTCCGAAGAGCGAGGCGACGTTTCCTGTTTGACCTGAAGGAGAGCGGCGATTGCTTGGCAGGTGGAAAATACTGGCGATGGAAGATCTTCCTTCACACTCTTCCCACATGTCACATTGACCGGTATCGGAGCCAAGCATTCGCATGTCTATCAACAAGGCGGCGCCACTAATCCAAACGCGCCCTCCATCTTCCGTGCCCTCCGTCTTCTGGGCCATCCCATCCCACGGCACGGCATTTCGCAGTGCCCAAGCCAGAACTGCGTCTGGATCTCTGCATTGATGAAAGGTATTGTAGTCCGGATAAGGCTCCTCATCATCAGCCATGCAATGGAACACGACGATACCGGTCCCTGCATTGCACATGAGGACTTCTCGAGGAGTCTCGATGCAGTGATCTTCCACGTCGTGAACAGTCAGCAATTTCGACATATGGACTCTCATGGGGCCTTCAGAACTTTCACATGGGGAAAGTACGAACCTAGATGGCCTGCTCCCGGTGGGGTGCTGAAGGTCGTCGGAGCCTGGTGTAACAATTCGAATGTGCCGTCGGGACCAGCGCTTGCCCAAATCGTCAGAGGCGTGAGCGGGCCTTGCGAAGTCAACAGAAACGTACTGTCTGTCTCACCGGCGTAACCGTCCACCAAGACCGTTGAACCCCTAACGACAGCCCGAAACCTCTGACTAGCTATTAACAACTGCAACCGCAATCAATTCCAACAATGATTATAACCGGGCACGATCTTTACGGTGTCTTTCCTTGTTGAGCCTGGAGTGCGATGAGGACTATCAAAAAACCCACTGTCCGCCGGCAAGATATTCAATTCAACAGCTAGCTAATAAAACTGGTCTAAACGTACATTGCCACTGCTCCCTGGTCCTCTCCTAACACTGCCGCTTCGACCACCTGGAACAATTTCGAACCAAGAATGTAATCTTCACGAAGATTCTATTCCGGCATCCTTTGTCTCGCCGAAACAGCGTCCACAGACAAGGCTGCTAGTACGTATCCTTGAACTCTTGAAAGATTTCGGGGAGGAAAACTCCGAGATCTATTTGGTGTTAGAGGGCTTGGAAGGACAGCATCAATTTGCGGTTTACTTACGAGTCATCTCGATGTTACAGTGCACTGCAAGGTCGTGGCCGAGCTGAGCAGACCCATGATTACTCTTTGCAATCCAGAAGCGAGACCGTAACTCGCGATACCCATTTGGCATGCGGCGAACTTGATGCATCGAATACGATTCCCTGTCCCAGGCGGTCTCGGTATAATCTAAGAGGCAAGTTGTTAGTCACTATACTTTAAGAGTGTGGAAAGTGCACTCACTCCCGATTAGCACCTGGCCCACGACAATCGTCTCTATGTTAAGCTCTGGCCATCTGCTCTGATCGAATCCAACGCTTTCTGGTTCGATGAAGCCGATGCTCAACTTAGCGGCGTTGCTTCCTACGTACTCGTCCACGTACGACGTTGTGTTGATATATCGGTCCTGGTAAGAAAGGCCAGTCCAGTTACGGGATTGCGGCTCTCGCCACGAGTATTGGTGTGATACTGGATTCCAGAGCTTGTACCTAGGGGCTATTAGTAATGATGCACGCCAGATGTTGGAATAAGCTGGTACATGCCTAGCAGTCTCCACGGAATGCCAGGAGAACCACCAGTCGTAAGCCTGTCCTGTGACTTTGAAAGATCAGCTGAGTACGCAAGCAATGATTGAGCGCAACGCTGACCTTGTGGGATCTCAGATCTCACAGCAATCATTAGCGTGCCATTCTCGGTGATTGACCAGCCGTTCTCGAGCTCGTCATATCCCGGCCGAGTGAAATACTCGTGTGCTTCATGAGCAGTGTACGCTAGCACCACTCATCAGCAAGCAGATTTTGGGCAGTTCATGGTCTCCTTACTCAGGGCATTAGCCCAAGGACTCGACGACAAGCCCTTCTGGAAAGCCTCATTAATTGGCTGCACGTTGGGATTCCAGTACCTGTTCTTTTATAGTTCTATGACACTGGGAGGGCGAAGCGGCGATAGACTTCAATTAGCGCTCGCGTGGAGTTGAAGATTGTCTGGGAGTGCACGAACAGGAACAAAGGCATAGCGTGCTCCGCCGGTCGTGCTGCAGCATGTATCTTCACGAACTTGACGGTCAGAGGGATTGTGCTGTAGGAAGGCCGAACGTCTGATTCTGGTGTCGAACGCGACATGGTGTCGAACCGTTTTGGGCGCAGGCTACACAGCCTATCGGAACTTGACCTTGTTGTAGTTGAGGTGAGCCTTCGATATAAGCATCCGGTTCCGCGGCTACTGCGGATCTCGGCGGGTGCAACGCGGATTTCCGTTTCGTCTTTATCGTCATTCTCGTGTTAAAAAGCAGAAGAAAACGGCATAGTAACAGTTAGGTTCTTATGTTTCTCTTCTATAATACTGTTACTCGACGCTATGGCTACGACTGCTACAATGTCCATTGCATCTGCACTTGACGTGCCTAATGTGGAGATCTGGCCATTGCGGTTAGCTGCATTGCCGGCATTTATTGCAGCAATGGAGGCCTTCATCGAGTACACACTAAGTTTGAACGTGGCTATATGTATTCGAAATCTACATACTCTGTACAAGATGCCATCCATAAGCCTGTGCTGTGTTCTCCAGATTAGATTGCACGAGCGGGCTAATTGCAGCCTGGCAATTTCAGGGGCGACTTGGCGGAATGGAATTCCTACATGTGAGTAATTCAGATTGGCGAATGCTGAGGGTGGTTTGCCCTCTCTCAATCGCCTGCAGTTGGAAACTGCGAATCGGTGTTAATCCTGAGACTTGTCGCATACAGCCATGTCCAAGTTGGATTTGCTGGTCAGCGTACACGATGATTGCTCGTCACCTTCCATGACAGGAACTTGTCATTGGTATGATAATCTGCACTGTTAGGGCATTATCGTTAAGCTGTGCCTTCAGACCAAGTTTTTGAGGCTAGGAACTTAGTTGACGATGCGTTACTCGGACTCATGCATGTTGACAATTAGCCTTGTCAATTTCGGCACTTGTGTCATCTACACGCTTTAGAACATTTATAACAAAGTGCCCATTATCAAAGTGATTGCTTTCAAGTTGCCTCGGTGTCATCAATAGTATCTAAGCTGGGTAGTCTCCCAGGCTGTGACAACGAAGCTTATGCGGAGGCAGCCTGACAAATGTCATCAACAGCGATCAAACCCCACATGTACTGTACCATGCAACTCGCCATCATCCCCAATCAAGCTATCCAACAGCTGATTCAACAATATCTCCGAACAATGCACTGAGTGCGTCGTATGAATGATGGGGTTCTATGTGCCAGCTACTTCTGCCACTGCAGTTACGTTCTCGATGCGCTTAGTGCCGGACTTGTCATAGAAGAAAGGGAAAGCACCAAAGCCGAGTTGAGGCTGCTGAAGCCATTCTTTGAACTCGGTTGCTGTCCGCCAGTCCAGGCAGCGCGCTGGTGTTCAGCTATACGTGAGCATGTTGAAAGTGCAGTCTAGTCTTATGGCTTCTTCAACGCTGCAGCAGCAGCTTAGTCCAAGCAATGGGGGCACGAGGACAGTGTCGAGAAGCTGTCCGTCGACCACGCTACTACTGACCTCGCTGGCTGCGGTGATTGTGACCGAGGCCATCGTAGTTGCCATGATGGGAGAAGATGTTGCAAGTACGATCATAGCCGTCAGGGTGAGTCGAGGAATTCCATAGCTTGCGGTGAGCTCGCTCGTGCATGTGCTTGGGGGAGCATGTTTTTTTGATTATTGCTGGTGGTTGGCTTCGGAGGGGCAGATGTGATGGACCTTATCCGACCTATCAGGGAGAGTGCCGACGGCGGGCACCAAGCGTTGAAGGTTTTAACACATGTCATGAAAAGGGTAAGCAGATACTACATATGTGGCGTGCAAAAATTCCATGCCCGTCCTCCCGAAGTATGCTCTTGCAATATAAATACATCGTCTCAACCATCCAGCGAATCAACCCCATCAACAACCACTCTCCTCTCCCCATCCTCCAAAACCACTTCCCTCAAGAAATACCTCCTCCCCCCACCGCTTCCCACTCCACCATCGCCCTCCAAAACCCTCCCCCCAACAACATAACTCATCATCCCCGCCAAAGTAAACGGCTCCACAACCACCAACTCCTCCCTCCTCCTCCTCCTCAAAACCAAAACCACCCCCAAAACACCCACCATAACCCCCAAAATCCCCAACGACGCATACGCCGAAACCAAAAACTGCAAATGCACCTGCCCCGGCGCGAAAGGGACGCCGCTGATGACGATATTGAGGGCTTCGGCGAGGAGGGCGGCGGTGGCGACGGCGGCGGCGAGGAAGTAGCGGGCGCGGAGGGCGGAGAAGGTTGCGAGGAGGGGCGTTGTGGTGGGATTGAAGGCGATGGTGGTGGGGGAGGGGGAGCGTTGGTGGGAGAGGCGGTGGAAGGGTGCGGTTATGGTTGTGGCTTTGAGGGGGGTTTGTTAGTTTTGTGCGATGGGGTGGGGTTTTGGATGTGGGGTGGGGACGGTACTGTGTGCGATTTGGGTCCAGAAGTGTACGATTATGGTGCCCGTGGCGGTTAGGAGGAAGCGGGGGCCGAAGGTGTTGCTGGGGAAAGGGGGTATTAGTCACTGGCAACACGCTCGCTTCGTCTGGCGTACCTGTTGAAAAATCTGTTGAAGCCGTCGTCTCTGTAGTCAAGGGTGTAGGCTAGGACTACGCCAAAAGCGCCTACGATCATGATCATTAGTGCGATCTCCTGGAACCCCCAGCGTGAAGCTCTGCTCCCATTCGCGGATGGGACATGCAGTGAACCAGGAACGTCGGCTTCTTCGGCGGCGTCAACCTTCGGAACGACCTGGATCGATGCTTGAGAGAAAATATCATCCTCATAAACGCTGACCGGCCGAATACCATAGCACCGCACTCCCGACCGATCCTCCCAGAACCCAAGTCTGTACCTCTTCCCAGCGAAAAATTCCTTAGCGAACCGTTCCCCTTCTCTAAAAGCCGTCTGAAACCCACGAAAATCCCGCTCCAAACTCGGATGACGGACCAAGCAAGCGACACCAGCAATGGAAGCCGGACAGGAGCGAAGACCAGTTGGACGGCTGCGCAGATCGAAGATGACGAGCAGGACTAGGAGAGCACAGAGCGCGAGAAGCACCTGCAACACACGTGCGACGATGACGGAGACGGTCATCCTCGCGGGACAGGGGTTATTCGAGCCGACGTTGGGATTCGAGCAGTCCCAGGTGGTATCGACCCATATCGCCTCGGAGGCGAGAGCGGGCAGGATACAAGTCAGCGCGGCGGCGATCGCGCTACTGCCTAGTCCCCAGCGCCCTCTCCAGATCGCTCGGAAGATGTCGAGAATGCTGACGCGGCTGTGGTAGAAGGAGAAGAGCACCTGGTCGGCGCGCGCCCCGTTTGCGCGGTTCATCTGTCGGAAAGGGTCGATCAGGGCCATGTGGTTGTTTAGGACCGACCATAAGGCGCGATAGAAGACGGCGACCAGCACGGGAAGGTATGTGCCCACGAAGACTTGCGCGGCGGTCCAGGTGTAGACCACCACGCCTCCGCCGGCTTCGTGTTGGCTGGCGAGATTGAAATCGTACGCTGGGCCGGGCGTTGCGCCAACTTTGTGGGTGTTTGTCGTGGTCGACACTGGATCGACGTATGCTGAAGAGGCCGTGGTCGACGACACTGGGTCGACGTACGCTGATGGGGGCGTGGCACTCAATGTGTATGTCTCGCTGGAGGCGAGGTATGCTGCTGGTGACGTCCTGGTTGTAGCTGGGGCGGTGCTCGTGTGTACACTTCTTGTGATGGTTTCAGAAGGCTGTATGTACGCCGATGGCGGTGTTGCGCCCGTGATGGTGGGCGGAGAAATCTCTTGGGATGAGGAAGAGACGCATTCGGGACAGGCGTCGCTCGTGGGGATTGATTGTGCTGGATATATCTCCGAGGACGAAGTAGAAACAAGCTGTACAGCAGTCAGCCTCCCATCTGGTCGACCACAGAGTATATCCTTACCTGGCGGCCCACGAGCGACCCCCATTCATGCTTTACACCATCGCCCGCAATCGGAACGCGAACAGTTCCATGCGGAAGAACTCCAACAGCATACTGCACCAGACCGAACAAGACCGCCGTCAAGATGAGGAGCGTAGTGAGGGCCCAGGTCCGTAGGATGCCTGGTCGGTAGTTGAACTTCTGGCCAGAGGAATCTATGCATGTCCTCTTATCAGCGGGTACAGCCTCTGTGTTATGAGTTTTAAGAATTTGTCACCTGATCTTCTACCATGTAGACTTTCCTCAGAAATCAAAGCCTTCTGCTCGTGAATGGGTTCTTTCGCCATGATGGATAGCCCAGTCGTCGCTGGTGGAGATGGGATGAAAAGCAGGATTAGGACCTCCGTTGCCAGTGGAAGATTAAGGCTGCGTTATGTTCAAGCTCAGTCCCATGGCGTGAACGGCTGAGCACCTGCATGCACTTTTAGCGAGAGGACAGTAGAGCTAGTCGTTGGCTGAGCATGCAGCCTAACGCCACGAAAGCATACCATCCTCGGCCACATCATGCCACCTACCGACCTACCACCTGGACCTCTAATGCTATGGTAGCGGGACGGACTGCAATATCATCTCCCAGATAAATCGTACTACGTCATGTCGAATCGAGGTTTTCATTGCTTGCTGCAGTCTTGATATACTCGTCTGCGGTGTAAAGAGCTAAGACCTGCAGCAGCTATCAGCCTCATTGTCCTTGATTGGGAAGTGGCGTTTGGAGGTCCAGAACCAAGCCCCCAAAAGCTTCGTAACGTCACGCCACGAAAGATACATGTCCAATCCAATCGGTGGTAAACAATCAGGAGATTCAAAGGGTAGCTAGCGAGCATGTGTTCTCACTGTTCATGAGTTTGGTCATCTAACAGACACAGTACTTCCTTTTAGTCAAAGGCGCAACGAAGCGCTGCTCAGTCAGGCAAAGGAGAGACTGTTATTTTCGTCGCGGAGGCTTCCAAGAATGAATGGTGGTAGGTAGTCGTAAGTTTGTGCACGAACGATCGGCTTGTGAGCTATCGCAAACGTACTCTACCCTTTCTCCAACCCTCCCGTCACCTCCTCAGTCTATACAGAGATTGCCAACGAGCCATGGGTAAGAGCCACATTTAGTGTTCGTGCGAGTAGAAGTTGTCTACAAACATGGTCAGCAGGGCACACATATGGAAAACGTTTCGAGACCAGAAACTAGAACGTGCAACGATTGACCCAAATGTCAATTTTCTTCATCTTCCCATACTATCTTACATTCTATTCATGCAAATGCGTTCAGACACAATTGAGTTGCACAGCCCCAGAACCTCCAAAACACACCTTTCCGGTTGCAGAACTTACCGAGGTCTCCGAAGTGCTCTGCTCCGTCGTAGAGGGTGGAGGCGTGGTGGTAGAAGTCTCCAATGTCGTTGGTGTACTCGTCGAGGAAGTGATCGGATCAGGTGTCACCTTCGACTCGTTAGCGGCGATGGCATCTCGTGAGCTGATTTCAGCACCCGTGGAGCTTGGTGGCGGGACCAGTGTAGTCATGGTGACTGTTGGTGGTGGAGCAGTGGACTCGGTCCTGGCATCAGAAACACCCTGCGTGATGACCGTGGTGATGTCGACTGTGCTGCGAGGTGGAGTGTAGGTGACCGTCGCGACGGGAGAGGACGAAGTTGAGCTCGATGAGATAGTCAGACTGCCCAGAATGCCGGCGATGTCAGAGGCAATGGCGGCGGCCTGGGATGTGGTGTCTACCGTGGACGTGCTTGATGAGGTGGTCGACGTGTTGGAGCTTGAGGTGGTCGACATGGTCGGGGTAATGCTGATGGTGACCAGATCAGCGACATGCTCACCACCCTGAGGTAGCACAAAGTTGGGCGCGATGTTGATAGCCGGCTGATGTTCTCCACTGTCGCAGACCGCAGCAGCAGTTCCTTGTCCAGCCCATGGGAAGAGGCGAGAAGGGGCGTTGTTGTAGAGGCCGATGACAGTGTATGCAAACAGGATAGTGCTCTCGAAGAACAAGATCACGGCAAACACGATGAAGAGTGGCATCGGGATGAAGACGCCCGACTTCTTCTCCGGTCGCGGATAGTACTCCTGCACATACTCTCGGGGAGGCTGTGGTGGAGGCGGTGGTGGAGGAGCGACCGGCGCGAAGATGGTTGAGAAACGTGGCGGGTTGTCCTTCTTCTGATGCATCTCGAAGTCCTCATGCTCTGGCTGAGGAAAGTAGCAGCTCTTCTTCTTGTCGGCCTTGCGGTCGGCAGCCTCAGAAGGGGCCGGACCAGGCTGGCTGTCGTCTTGCATGTTCTCGTTGAACTTGCTCTCAAAGTCCTGTCCAAAAGTCATGGCTGATAGTCTGTCGTGGATGAAGGTGTTGCTGGAAGTGATTCGTGGAGTTGAAATAGGCCGTTGCTTTCGTGTGGCTCGTTCGCAATTGCCAGCAATTGCTCGAAAGGGCGTATGTCTCAACGAAAGTCGACAGGCAAACGGTAAATGAGAATTAGACGCGCAGGGCGGCGTGCTGCATTAAAGTATGCCTTGACAGAGGCGTTGTGTGAAGAAAGAAAGCTTGACCAGCAAAGCAATGTACAAGAAAGGAATTGTGTAGAAGGACAAAGGAGAGGGAATACTGCTTTGTTGTGTGTCGCGGATGGTATACGACACGCAGGAAGACCCGTGAAGAGTGGGAGTCTGCGTCGAGGCGTGCGGCCGTGTTGAAGGCCGCTCTGGACAAAACGAGATGGCGCGTCGAGGCAGCATGATGCTTCATGTACACTGCCAGCCAAGCGCGTGGCCAATTACTTTTGTTCGGTAGTGGATGGTCTTTCGTAGGTTGGTTGCACACGGCAGGTTGCGTCAAAGAAGCGCATGTTTCATCGCGAATGTCTCGCTGTGGGTTGAGGTTGCAGAGACGAGCAGAGGTGAGGTCCATCTCGCCCGTTTCAAGACACACTTCGGCGGCAATCCCGTGGTTCCTGATTGGTCATCTATTTCTGGGCCTTGGAGTCGATTCCATCCTCCTTGGCTGCATCTCGACTTCACTTCTCCCTCGGGCCTCCATCGCCGACTGTCTGTTCGCGACCAGCAACGTGGAGCAGTGCGCAGAAATGGACGGGCATACGCAACAGATCACCCCCGACTGCCGCTTTCGCTTCAAAGTCGTCCGACTCAGCTCCGTTCGCGGCTGGCTCGCGTCCTGACTAACCCCAGCCGACGGAACAAGCATCCGCATCGTCTACCATTGACTGACTACCAGCATCATCCTCCGCCAGCGCTGTGAACGTACATCGCTGAAGGGCTGAAGACTGGACCCTAATCCTCTTCGAGTAAGCGATGCGTGAGGTTCAGGTACTCACTTCTCTCTCCTTCCACTTCCATCTTCTGTACAGACTACTACACCATGACAGCACTTCCTGGAGAAACGTACCGCCTCGCTTTTCCCACTCTGCCTGACATTGAGAACCCACCATGGGTCTCATACGGAAGATCGCATCATGAAGCTTGCGCCCATCATGTCAAGAATACTTACAACGCAAAGAGAGCGTACATCATTGCCTCGGGCTCTCTGTCAAGGAATACCGACGAAGTCGAGAAGCTGAAGATTGCGCTGGGCGACAGACTAGCTGGGGTCTACCCTGGCTTCAAACCGCATACTCCCTGGGACGAAGTTCTGGAAGCGTCAAAGGATGCGAAAGAGAAGGGTGCCGACTGCATGATCACCATTGGAGGTGGCAGTCTGGTCGACGGTGCAAAAGCTATGCTCCTGTTCATGGCAAACAACACAACCACAATCCCAGAGATCTACGACATGCATAAGATAGCGCCAGCGGCGTTGAACAAGATGGGCACTTTAGCCAAGGACATCGACATCGTATCTCCCACAATGCCTCTTATCTGCATCCCGACAACCCTCTCAGGCGGCGAATACTCCTGCTACGGCGGTGGCACGCATCCCGAGACCCACCATAAGCTCGTCCTGGGCCATCCTTTCATGGGCCCAAGACTAATCATCAACGACCCCAAGCTCAGCATCACAGCCCCCGAATGGGTTTGGCTGTCCACCGGTGTCCGTGCCATCGATCATTGTGTCGAATCATATTGCCGGATGTTCAAAGAGGACGATACAGATGCTGACGAGGCAACACTTGAGGCGTTCAAGAAGATTGTGCCAAATCTACTCATCACCAAGAAGGACTGGACGAATGAAGAGGCCAGACTGAACACGATGCTCGGGGTTAATTTGGTCCTGATCATTCTGAGAAAGGCCATAATGCCCGGAGCATCGCATGGCATCGGACATCAGCTTGGACCTCTCGGGGTTGGCCACGGCCAGACATCCTGCATCCTGCTACCGAGCGTGATGAAGTATAACGCCAAGGTCAACGGTGCCAAGCAAGAGAAGCTCAAGGCCTTCATGTGGAACGAGCCCGCAGTCGCCAAAGTCCTCGAAAGTAGAGGCCTGTGGAAAGAGAGCAGTGATGCTGGCGATGCTCTCGATGCCATCTTCCGCGAGCTGGGCATGCCTCGTACCCTGAAAGAGGTGAATGTGGGACGGGACAAGTTTGACGCCTTGGCGGTGAATAGCTTGACAGATCCTTGTTGTCATGTCAATCCGATCCCGATGGAGCGAAAAGAGCAGGTGTTGGAGATTCTGGAGATGTGTGCTGGTTAGTTGTGTTTCGTCACGCTTAATATAAAGTATCATATGTCCAGTCTGATGTAGGAGGCCCAAACCTTCAGCTGCCATGCAATTCGCAAACGCGTTCAGCACCAGTCTTTCCACCAACGAATTGTTCAAACCCACTATTGCCAACGATCTCCTCCATCTTGCACTCAAGAACAAGAGCAGTTAGACCACGGCGTTCAAACATTGGCTGGCTTAGCGAGAAGCTAAACCTTGAACTTCCGGAGCCAAATCCGACGACATCATAAAACCGTCCGCACCCTTTCCATCGTCCCGATCCAAACAAACCTCAAAGTCAAAGTTTGATCCGCGTCCATTTCAAATCGCCTTGCACGCGCAGGCTTGAAGATGTAATCATCACATCACCAACGAGTCGAACACCACCAAGACTGCCTACAGACTTTGGTTTTCGCGTCTTTGGTCTGGCTCGGCTCAACCCATCATCGGTACAGCGTCCGCGACATGATGCGGGCGAGCATGTCCTCATTAAAACATGACATCACTGTCGCGCGATGGCCAACATAAACCAGCCAGCCTACCGGTAGTGCCTGCTACGATGCCACCCATCAATCGCCCTCCTCGCCCAAGCCATGAGACTCAACAGCGCCTTGCTGGCATGCATTCTTGCAGCCATCTCTCCCTGCGTGGCTGCGCCCACCTTCCGCAAGCGACAAGGATCACAGATCGTGGGACTGCCAAACGGCCCTGAGATTGACAATTCAGACATTGATTACCATCCAGTCGGCCCTGTTGGAGCATCTGGTAGTCCCTACGGTGGACGGGAACTGCTCGGGAACAGTGGCGATGGCAAGCCAGCGACGGATGTTGGACCAAACGTGCCTGCCAAAACAGGTTCAAATGCTCAGAATGCTGGACAGTACACTTTAGTATCTGGACAGGAAGCTGAGGCTGATCTGGGGTTGTATCTGGATTTATCAGAAGTTGAGAATCCGCAACCCATCCGTGGTGGGAACGGTGCAGCGGACGCTGGGCCTCGCAACGAAGAGGTTCAGAGACAGAACAGCGACCTTCTTGCTCGACCTGGCACTGATATGGGCGACATCCCAAATGCAAAGTGGCCGATGGGACTTTCAAGTGCACGGTCTGGTACTGGTGGTGGTAATCCTGGATGGGCGCGGCAGCAGAATACAAATGAGTTGCCTGTGGCAGCCGCGATGGCGAGTGTGGATATGAATCTTGGGCCCCACGCATGTCGAGAGTTGCATTGGCATTCAGCAAACGAGTGGGCGTATATCCTCTCTGGAGGTGTTCGCATCGCTGCTGTGAATCAGAACGGACAGTCTTACGTTGATGATTTGCAAGCTGGGGATCTTTGGTAAGTCGCCACTTCAAAGGCTTCCGCATCTCAGCACTGACATCGAGCAGGTTCTTCCCAGCAGGCGTCCCGCACTCAATCCAAGCCGATGACCGCGGCGTCGAGTTCCTCCTCGTCTTCAACCAAGGTGATTTCTCCGAAGACGCAACCGATCTCGTCACCGAACTCTTCGCCCGCAACCCGCTCCAAGTCCTCGCCAAAAACTTCCAAACCGACGTCTCAACCTTCAAGAACCTCCCCCGCGACCAGCGCTACATCTTCAACGGCAGTCCCTTCGAGCAGTCTCTTCAAGAAACCAAAGATAGCACCACCGGCCCCGCCGGGTCCCTGCCCCAAAACGAATCCTACAGCTACCACCTCTCCGCACAAGAACCGTACACCGTCCCCGGCGGCAGCGTCAAAATCGTCGACCCCTCCACCTTCCCCATCGCCAACAACTTCAGCGCCGCAATCTTCACTATCGACCCGGGCGCCATGCGCGAAATCCACTGGCACCTGACCTCCGACGAATGGAATTTCTTCCTTCAAGGCCAAGGCCGCGTGACGGTTTTCACAGGCCCGACCAACTCCCGCACTTTCGACTACCAAGCCGGCGACGTGGGCTACATCACCGACGCAAGCTCGCACTACGTCGAAAACACGGGCGACGATCCACTCGTGTATATCGAGGTCTTGCAGGCGCCGCGGTATATCGATATCAGCGCCGCGCAGTGGTTGGCGCTCACGCCGGCGCAGGTCGTGAGGGAGACGTTGAATGTGCCGCAGGGGTTCATTGATAATTTGCCCAAGACGAAGAGGTATATTGTTCCCGGGTCGACGAATCGTACGCAGACGAATTTTACTGTCGCGGAGTATCCCAATGCGAGGTTGAAAGCGAGTGGAAGTACATGATCAAGAACGTTTGCTAAATTTTTCAATTGATCAATCTTGAAAACGTTGCAAGCCACACAAAGCACACGTAGGACTAGACCTGGAAAGAGTAAAACTAAGAGTCTGCGACAACCCCTATCCCACAACTTTCCCCCCAAACTCCTCCTACACAATCGCCCTCCACTCCCTCCTCCTCACCTCCTTATACTCCGCATTATCATTCGGCACAATCCCGGACGCCCCAAACCCAATCGACCGAATCGCCGACACAAACGTCGCCATCCACGCATTCCCCGAAGCATGCAGGGCCTTCTCCCTGTCGAACGACTCCTCCTTGCTGACATACCTTACCGCGAGCTCCGTCTTCGTGACCTGCGCGATGGTGTCGTAGAGCACGGAGAGGGGCATCGTCGAGCCGGAGTACCGCACGATGCGGGGCCCGGAGAGGGAGGTTAGATGGGAGGGGAGGAGGTATGTTACGATTACTTCTGCGACGCTGGATTCGATATTCATCAGCCTCACATCCCACATGGCCTCTCCGAAGGGAAATTTCAGCATGACTTACGTATCGCTATGCGTCGTCGTCACCAACGTCTCCGGCAGGCCGATGAACTCCGCGCTCTTCTTATCCTCGGATACACTCAGGATGTTCTTCTGAAGAAGCAAGTCCGCGAAGATGCCGTTGAGAACGTACGTATACCCGAGCGAAGCGTCTTTCTCCACGAGCGACTCGATATATGCCCGCACGCGCAGTTTCTCGGTGAAATACGGCTCCGTGGGGGCGAGGGGGTGGGTGAGGTCCGCGCCGACTAGAATCACGTTTCTCTATCAGCAAGCGGTTTCCAAATTCTAGGACCTTTTGGGGGAGTTGGGGTTCCTACACTCCGCCGGATAAAAATGCCTCACACCACCCTCTACCGCCGCATCCACAAACTGAATCTGCTTCCCGCAGAGATCATCCCCAACCGCGAAGATCACGATGTCGAAGCCGGTGTACGACGAAGGATCTGTCAGAGAGCCTACGACTCGTTCGAGCGGGACGCTGGCGTATTTCTGTTCTTTCGAGGGGCCGGTGTCGGCGAGGGCTGTGAGGAAGGCGACGCGGGCGAAGTTATTGGCGTGGAGGGAGAGTTGGAGGGAGATTTTTGATCTGATTGTGCCGGTTGCGCCGAGGAGGAGGATGGAGGGGGACATGGTGGTGGAGGGGATGGGTTGGAGTTGGAGGGGAGGGGAGGATGTGGAGATATGGGTCTGGCGTTGTGAGTGCTGGCTCTTATAGATGTACTTAGTTTTCCTCAACTTTCCTAGTACCTGATTTCAAAGGCGACCCGATGTTCAACAGACTACATCGACTTCACGATACGTGTTGCCTTTACTCGGCCGAGTAGAGGCGTAAATACTTGTGTTCTCGGTGCAGGGATGTCACACGAAGTCGTCAGGCTTGGCGCGATAGGTAATCAGGCTTTGGGGCTTCAGCCTCTCAGAAGATGGTGAGCATAGCTTTCGGAGATGGTTGCGAGCTTTTTGACAGTGTTGCTTCAAGTCTCCTTTGGGAGTCGTACCTACGTCGTGTTGGTAAGAGGTAGGGACATCATACGATGTCGAGAAGAAATCTTCTTTCTGCTGTGATGCTTCGGAAACACGATCTTGAAATCCGTCAATGCACAGCCAAGATCTCTTGGTGTACCGTCTGCCCAGGAAACCTCAAGTCGGACGATTTTGATCGGTTCAGCAGGTAGAATAGCCCACAATCAGGCTCTCGGATTCCTCCCCAAAGCAGGCGCCACATCGATCTTCTTCATGTACCTCGGACCCATCCCCGCCTCCGAGCTCACCATCATCGGGAGCATGTGATCGCCCTTGACTCCATCGGGCGCACTTCCATACACCTTCTCCGCCAACATGCGTAGCTTCATCGGCATACGATCGTCCTTCCAGGTCTCGACGATATCGGATTTCTTCTGAGCATCGTAAGGAGAGAAGTCCTCGTCCTGGAGACCGAATTGGATGCAAGCGTCGACTGAGGCGTCATTCCACCTAAGTGGACGGGTCAGCAGAATGTACTCTGACAGGGAAATAAGATGGGTGCTTACCACGCCGGCAAGAACCCCTCCACCCCCTCCGCCTTCCCCAAAACCCCCTCAACGCGCCCTCCGACGACCCCTCCCCCTCATAAATCGTCCCCGCCACCGCCACCTGCTCAACATTATACACATCCTCCTCCCGCAATCTCAACGCATCAATCAGAATCCGGAAAGTCTGCTCCTCAGAGCGCTCTTGCAGAAAAGTGCCTTTGGAAATCGCCGTGAAAGGCTTGTCGTCGGCTCGGGATTGGGTGGTGGCGGATGCGTTGCAGTCTTTCTTGTGGGACTGCCAGTGGGTTTTTTGGCTGGCACGGTTGCAGTAGGCGGTGGTTTTGCATTTGGCGCAGTTTTTGAGATTTGGTGAGGGGGTGGAGCAGGCGCTGCAGGTTATTGGGGTTTCGGCCATGGTTTTGCAGTGTTGGGGCCTGGGATTTGAGATTTGAAGGTACGGTTTGGTTGGAGGTGAGGTGGAAAGGGGCCAGGAGTGAAGTTTTGTGCGAGCGTTTTCTAAGCTGTCAGTTCTCATCTGTTTGTCGGAAAGGTCGAAAGAGGGGTTCGACGGGTGCTTGCAGTAGGCACGTCCGCGCTTGAAAGACGAGGCAAGTGCGTTGGATCTTTGAGCTAGGGGTGTGAATTCGTGTCGTTGCATTAATGCTATGGCACGAGCCACTGCGGGCTGGTGGCAATAGCCAAGGCTTTTGATGGTTTTACAAAGGCCAATAACCAGGAAGCATCTCATTGTGGAATGACGATATTAACTCATGGAAGCTCGTTTGGCGTCGTTCCGTTGACCCCGTTCGTTGCACCACCGTCCCGTGCATACTCGTCAGGCTTGTACTGCCGTACTGATTCCACCCAACCAAATTCGTCCTTGACTTTGCCTTGCTGTAGGCCCTTCAGCTGGCCCAGAAGCTTGATGACAGCGGGTCCTGGCTCATCGCCTCCACCTCGGTACTTGAAGGTGTCGTTCTTGGATCGCATGGTGATGCTCTTGATAGGCACGAGCGCGGCGGCAGTGCCCGCAGCAGCAACTTCTGTGAAACTCGGCAGCTCTTCATACTTGATCTACCGAAGTGTCAGTCATCGCAAGTCACAGTAAAAGGGTCCTTCACTCACTGGTCGCTGCTCAACCTTCCATCCCCAGCTCTTGGCAATCTGGCAGATGCTATCGCTGGTGACAGACTTGATGACGCTCTTGCTGTCTGGTACAACGATCGTGCAACCTTCCTCTGGTGAGCCGTGAATTCCAATGAAGCCAGAAGTCGAGAACTCGTCGATCTCAGTCCGCGTCCTGCTGTCCAAGTGGAGAGTAATGCCGAACCCTTCCTTCTTTGCCTTGCCACTATGTCTCAAGACTGGGGCGTAGTTGCCACCAATCTTGGCACTTCCAGTACCCTCAGGTGCTGCACGATCAAAGTCTTCCAAGATGAGGGCTGCAACCGGATGCACGCCGTGGTAGACACCAGTTGGCATGACATACACAACGAACATGTACTCTTCCGGTGGGTCGAGACCAAGCTGAGCGCAGGATCCGAAGATAAGTGGTCGGATGTACATGCTAGCACCAGTTCGATGTGGTGGCACGAACTCAGCGTTGAGGCTCACAGCCAAGTGAACAGACTGCTTGAACAGCTCGACAGGGACTTCAGGCATGCTGACGAAGGAAGCCGAATGTTGCATGCGTTCAGCATTCTGCTGGGGTCTGAATATGCCAATGGTGTTGTCGCCTGGTCCTCGAGAAGCCTTGAGTCCTTCATAGCATTGCATGCCGTAGTTCAAGCCAGGAGCCATGCCATGAAGTCGGAGGAAAGGGTCTTGAACAAATTTGGGTGGAGTCCATTTTCCAGTCTTCACGGAGTACGATGATTCGATGTGACCGTTGACTGGTAGTCAGTCAGTACACTTGTCTCATACAATACAGAGGAATCGAATCTGTACCTTCACGGACTTTAAATCCAATGTCATCCCAGTCTTGATCCTGCTGTCAGCTTCGTCTATACTTCTGCATTTGGTCGCAGGCTTACCAATGGTGTTGACAGGCGGAGGTGGGAACGAAGAAGCCATTTTGTGTGTGAGTCGTGGTGTGGTGCTGTGTTGTCAGCCAAAAGTAATATCGCCAATGATTCACTTCAATCTCTGTGCCGAATGTCGGTGCGTCCTGACGCAGGAACGAGATGTGGGGCTCCGCGTTTTGCCGAACCGGATCGCTCCCTAGCGCCAACCTTATCTGAATTCCACGTTGTCGTCGTCGTTGTTGTCTTTGTTTCTCCAACACACCTCAATAAGCAGCCGCAAAAGCGGAGGTCAGCTCGACAGTGAGATGCGACTTATAATACATCCTCGCCCCTGAAAGTGTGCCACCGAACCTGGCAATACAACCGCGAGTCCGACATGGCCTAACGCCTCCCTTCGCTCAGTAATCGAGACCACAATGCCCGTCGCAGCAGGTCCATCACGGCGGTATGTGATACTGCTGGTGGTGTTCTCCTCGATTGTCACCTTCATCTTCGTTTCGACATTCCGCAACCAAGCTCAAGGAGTACGCCATCCGGATTACCAAAGAGCGAACCTGCAGGTCCAAGATGCGCCCACGCTCGACAAGAACACCTTGACTGGACACGCAATAGCACCAAAGCTAGGAAACGAGACTGTGAAAGCAGAGCTCGGGCGCGCGGCTTGGAAGCTGTTTCACACCACCATGGCGAGGTTTCCGGACAAGCCAACGGAAGACGAGAGCTCCGCGTTGAAGAGTTACATACACCTGTTCCAAAGACTATATCCGTGTGGGGAGTGTGCAGAGCACTTTGGAGAGCTGCTGAAGAAGTTCCCTCCTCAGGTCTCCTCACGGTCGGCAGCAGCGGCTTGGGCGTGTCATGTGCACAACCAGGTGAACAAGAGGCTTAAGAAAGAGCTGTTTGATTGCGCCAATATTGGCGACTTCTATGACTGCGGATGTGCGGAGGATGAAGATGATAAGAAAGAGGCGGCGAATACTAGGAACAAGCTGGCAAAGCCTGAGATGAGCGATGAGGCGAAAGAGAGGCTCCATACGAATGGGAGGGATTTTGATACGGACCTGCTGCTGGATATTGTGAAGCCGGACAGAGGCTGAGACATGGGATTGGTCTCAAGAATGGTAACTTCCGAGTGATGGGTCGGGACCGCGAAAAGCATTGAAGGGTGAAGCCGAGATCGTGTTCCTCGCCAGGGTGATCAATCTACCGACAAGCCCCAACGATGGTGCAAAGCATGCTCACGCAAAGGTCTGAGGTCAGCTGCGGACTCTCACAGTCGGCGACAAGCTCTGGAGCTTCGAGCAGTCCCTTGATATCATGATTCGTGAACCTGAGCAAGCTTGTCTGGCTTGATGCGGCAAGACAACGTCGGACATTGATATTGACATTCTCTGCAACAAAGGCGCCGAGCTTCTGCTGGTAAAGAGACTATGCGAGCAGACGACCGTGAGATAATTGTCTGAAGCAGGCCTGTGGAGATGACAATATCTTCAAGCTAGTTGGCTGTAGAACTGTTGATCAGACCCAGTCAAAGAGGTAGCCTATGTCGCGTCGACTGCTGCTTGTCTGCGATTTGACTTATCTTCATCCACCTCCTTCTTTCCCACTGCTCCCCTGACTTGACTGCTGAGTCCCAGACCTGTTCGTCACAAGAACATGTATCTTTCGCAAGTAGTCGACGTAATCGATCTAGCTGCATGCACAGAGCTTCTGCTACTGCGATTGGCCGATCCGTGCCTGCCAATCAGCGTCGACGTGAACTAAGGCTTGGCGAACTTCTTCTCCCTAGGTAGCCCGACTCCAAACATCCACTCCCACCCACCACCGCCACCTCGACACCCTCCGCTCCGCCGTAGACCGTCTCAAGTGCTGAGGCCGCCTGCATCGAAATCGCCATGCTGAGCCGGACAGCTGCGCGGGCCTCGCGCGCATTGGGCGCCTCCAAGGGCGCCGCGACCAAGACTGCCACGGTATGTTGAATCCACCCAGCACCGCCGACGAGCTCTTCGTACACCCAAAATCGCCGGCAATATGCTTCGAGAGACGGGTACATCACCCTCAGTACATATCAGAGCTGACAGACATCTCCCCACAGCGCAATGCCTCCTCGCAAAGCTCTTCCGAGCAGGCCGCTTCCTCGTGGAAAAACACGGCCATCCTCACATCGTCCACCGCCCTCGGTTTCGCATCGGTAGCATGGTACTACTATCAATTCGGCCGACCGACGCAGGCCATGACTCCCGCTGAGGAAGGGTAAGTCGCAGAAACAGCCGGAAAGAAGCAATGGCACACGGCGAGATCAGGGCACTAACGGAACTTCACTCAGTCTCCACGCAACCCAATACCCATGGGAGCACGAGAAGTACATCAAGACTTTTGACCATGCCGCGCTCCGCCGTGGTTTCCAAGTCTACCGCGAAGTCTGCGCCTCCTGCCACTCGCTCAGCCGTATTCCCTACCGAACCCTGGTCGGCAACATCATGACCGTTGATGAAGCCAAGGCACTGGCTGAGGAGAACGAATATGACACCGAGCCCAATGATGAGGGAGAGATCGAGAAGCGCCCTGGCAAGCTTTCCGATTATGTCCCAAGCCCCTACAAGAACGACGAGGCCGGTCGTGCTGCGAATAACGGTGCTCTGCCCCCGGATCTCAGCTTGATTGTCAAGGCCCGTCACGGTGGCTGCAACTACATCTTCTCGCTCCTCACCGGATACCCCGAGGAACCCCCGGCTGGTGCCGTTGTCCAATCTGGCTTGAACTTCAACCCATACTTCCCAGGTACTGGTATTGCAATGGCTCGTGTCTTGTACGACGGCTTGGTCGAGTACGAGGATGGCACTCCTGCCACCACCTCGCAGATGGCCAAGGACGTTGTTGAGTTCCTCAACTGGTCGGCCGAGCCCGAGATGGACGACCGCAAGCGCATGGGTTGGAAGGTCATGGTTATTGGAACAACGCTCTTCGTTATGAGTGTTTGGGTCAAGCGGTACATGTTGCCTCGTACTTGGAGTGGAAAGATCACAGTTAACATTTCTCTCACAGATACAAGTGGTCTACGATCAAGACCCGTCACATCGCATACACCCCACCAGCGAACCCGCAGCCAAAGCAGCCAGGCGGTGTCTTCCGAAGATAGCCGTTGCAAGACGATAGAGAGTAGACGGAAGAGGGACGAAGGCGGACATTGGCATGTACAGATGTTTTCTAGCGTGCTTTCCTTGAAATCGTGTACCAAGAGCTCGATCACCACAAAATACACATTTGAAGAACTTGGTTTATTTCAGACAGCTCCAAACTCTTCATTCAACCTGAGGCTGCTTACAACGTACGAGTAGGTACCCGCTAGCATAACGCGCACCCTCCATCACCTGCAGGTATCCATCGAATGACTACTAGGCCTCCCGCAGCAAACCACATCATCGATGTGAACTGAGCCTTCTTACACTGCTTGGAAGGCGGTTCTCCCGGCTGATCTGGTCTAATGGTATGGCGTCCGGGGAGGTGCCCGCCGTGCAGCTAACAACTGTGACAACCTCATCAACTCCTTCTAACCTCATCGACTGCAAACGGGCTGGGCTCACTCAGCCCCCACTGTGTTTGCTGCGGCGGGAGTCGCACACCTCGCCGGGAGATCGGAGTTCGACTCTCGGGATCAGCATAGTCTTTGCTTTTTGGATTGTGGGAAGTGGTGGGTTGGTTTGCCTTTTTGGATGGTTCGTTCCCATTACCCTGTGAGTACTGATATCCAACGCTCGGACATTGCCGAGCTTCGCAGAGAGGACCGGTGAGTGCGGCACGCAGCTGATGCAGTCCTGATTCCTTACAGACGCACCACTCTATCCTTCATGAAATTGTTCGACAATGCATGAGCACAGCCTGGCTCAATCATTGCTACCCAAAATATATACAAGTCCCGCAGGAACAATTGGTATCCTACATTCACTCTCCACATGGCTGCTACCGATGCCGATCAGAAATGCTCTTTGAAAGGGCTCCCGGCGGAGATCAGAAACGACATCTTCGCACTCGCGCTCACAGAAGACCGCCCTCTCGCCGTTTGCACGGACGACTGTCCACGAATGTGGAGTCAGACACCGCGAGAAACCAAACTTTTCTACGCCCTGCCACGTTCAAAGCAAGATTTGAGAGTCCATTACGACAAGTACGGCGCGAGAGACGACATCGGTCTGAAGGGCTTCTGGCTCTTGTGGCTAGCCAAACTCGAGAAGAGGCCTGCCGTGCCGGCTTTAGCCTTGACGTGTCCTCAGTTCTTCCGCGAGGCTATGCCGGTGTTCTATGCGGTCAACGAGTTTGTCTTGAGTCGAGCGTACTCGGAGGTCTGGTCGACGGCGTTGTTTGAGGTTTTGAAGAGGCTTGTGAAGTTGAATGAAATGCCGAAGCAGACGATGCCAGTCAGACGTGTCTGCATCCATGTGGAGAACTGCGACAACGAGAGCGTGCCGTCAACGGAAGACGCAGGCAGGGTCTACATCACGCACGACCTCATTTCCGGACGCCTTCACATATCTCCCGAAGGGATGTTTGAAGGACTGTGCCTTTGCGCAGTGCATAATCTCGCCGCTGGACTTCGAGGCGAGGAGTGTATTGAGGAGTTTGTTCGTTTGTTTGAGGAGCACTTCTACCCACAGCTTGTCAATCACCACAGGAGTGGAATTCTTCTACGGACGAGATGCGAGAGATGCGGCAGTGAAGCGTGGGAGACTTGGGAGACTTTCTGTATACGGACTGGGAGGGGGCATTTGTTAACTTCGACTGTCGCTGTTGCGCAGGGTGAGAGAACACGAGATGACGATCGTGCACTTGTAAGTGAGTCGAGGCAGAGCGATATACGAGACTACTTCGTCAGGCCGTGAAGCGAGGATGTTGGACTCAATGCCAATAGATCACTTCGTGATTAGCACCTCCCCATGCAAACACCCAAAACATCCATCCTCAGCCTCGATCCACTCGTCCCAAGCCTGGGCCATCTTATCCATATCTTCCTCACCCCACCCCAGGCCCCTCTCCAAAGCCACCTTCCGCATCTCCCCCGCCTGAACCCTGTCTCTCATCGTCCCGCCCCAAACCTCTCTCTCCTCCCTCGTACTATAGCACCAAGTCCCCATACTCGCCTGAACCCTCTCCCTCGGAATCCCCGCCTGCATCGCCAGCGACACAAGCCGCGGCCCGATGTTAGGATATCCTCCATTCGCGCCCATGACAAGCGTAATGAGTTTATGGAACTGTTTCAAAGGCTCTGATTCCGGCCAGAAACTCCACATCCGCATATCGACTTCCCGTAACGCGACGACCCCGCCGGGTTTGCAGACGCGGAGCATGGAGCGCAGCGCTTCGAGGGGTTGGTCGAGGTGGCAGAGCACTTGGTGCGCATGCACGACATCGAAACTGTCGTCTTCGAACGGAAGCTCATAAATACTCGCCGCTTGAACTTTGACATTCGTCACGCCTTCCGTTTCGGCTAGCGTGGCCGCTCGCTGGATGACTTCTTCCGAGAGGTCTGTGGCGGTGACTTCGCCTTGGGGGATGTATTTCGCGAGGGAGACGGAGATGCTTCCTGGCCCTGCGCCGCAATCGAGGAGTTTGGTGTTGGGGTTTGTTTGGGCTTTGGATTGCAGGACGGGGATGAGATGTGGGGCGCTGTTTTCTGCGGTTCGCCAGGTGTGGTTTTTGATGTGCGCGGGCTTGTAGCCGGGGACGTAGGCGTTGTGGGGTCTGGGGTCTGTCATGGCTGTCGATGTTGGTGCTTGATGTTGTCTTTGGAGTTGAGACTTTTGGATGTTGTATGTTCTGTTGCTGGTTTGGTAATAGTTCTTCTGTTGAACATGAATTCAAGAAAAAGTCTCGTATGATATACCGCCTACATTGATTCTTAATCGGGCTGGAGACCGTGACTCAATGCTAGAAGAGTGACTCTACGCCAAATAAGGTAATGAGGCTTAATGGTTTTGGCGTGCAATGCATACGATCGGGCGGCAATGGCATGTACGCGTGGAAGAAGTGAAGTGGAACAGCATTTAGCTAGCTGTTCTAAAGATAGCATACCTCGGGATCTTCTCGGCCCGAGTTGGCCGAGTGAATGCTTCCCTTCCCCAGTCTCTTCCCTTCTTTACACTCGTTGTTCTACTCAAAGTGCGACATCTATCCCCGTTATTCCTAAGCCCTCTATATAGCTTAGAGTGTAATCAGCAGCGCTATCTCTTACGAAAAGGCGGAGAGACGGCAGTTCGATACGTTCTACTTTGACCGGACTCAGGTCGGTACTCCTCATCTCATCAGCTTGTCTATAACATGTACGCTCCAATTGCCAAAGCGCGAGCCTCTGCACGCAATGGGTTCTTGCTTCTACCTTGGCACAAGTCGACGGAAGCTGACGGCCTTTCACAGTGTGGTTCATTAGAAGGCGTTATGAAAAGGGGTTGTGTCAATCTTGAAGTTAGTCCATAGTGTTTGCTAACGATACCGTCTGTTGGTATACTTCCTACAGGCCATAAGAATAATCGGTCCTTTGATATACATATGCGCAATGGTAACGAACAACGTGTGCAGAGATCACCTCTCCGGGTTCGGCTCGTTGGTCGTGGTGTTGAATGTCGCAAGTAACGAGACAGGCTTGAACTGAACAGTGCTGTTACCCTCTCTATACTCGCTTCTCGTGGTACCGTTCGTAGAGTAGCTTTGCGTGATATTTATCCGTCCTGTCTCAATATCCCTGCCATTGATGGCTCGCTCGAACATTTCCAGCGCCGCAAGGGGTTGATAGAAGGGTACTAAATGGCCCGACTCATAGATGCGGATGAAAGCAAAGTTGGCAGCCTGCTTCACCTGGCCATGGACCACATCGTCCGTCGTGGAAAGGTTTGCATAACCAGCAGATTGGTATAGCGGCACCGATCCAGCACCGACTTGCTCCGCGATCACTTCGCCGCCTATCCAGCTGCAGTCGTAATCTGCATCGCCTGCGTATTGTACGACGTAGACACCTCGCTTGATGAGATTTTCGACAGCCTCGACAGTACCAGCTTCTCTGCTGTCGTCTCCCGTGCTTGCGAATGCCAGATATGACGTGCCGGACGTCACCGTATAGTTGACAAATACACCCAACGCTCGTTGGACGCTTTCGGTGTTGAGATAGAGCACATAGCGTTCGTACGGGAATGGATCCGGCATCAACTCGCGGATGTCGTCGATATCCCGGTTGCCATAGTTTGAGAGCGAATTGTCGACGGTCTGGATGCAGAAGTTGTCCGAGAAAGCGCAGACATCGTCTCGCTGCGTTCTTCTACAATCCCGTACCAAGTCAAGGCAGGCCCCTGGAGCGTACAGAGCGTCGTACAGCATCTTCTGAGTTGTCTCGTTGAAGGGGGAGAGATCATAGGTGTTGCCGGGAGACACAGTGAAGTTGTAGTATGCCTCACGATGGACGATCGGATCGTACCAACCGTTGCCGATGAGGAGTGTGCGTAGGTTGATAAAGTGTGCACCGGGGAGGTCACCAGACCTGATCAGGTCATTTTGAGCAACGAGATATCTATGATCTGTCAGAATGCTTCGCCTTTCTACTACGGACATGTTGCTACTCACTCCATGAAGATTGGCCCATAATGGCCTCCGTAGCTCTCCGTAGCGAAGTTGAACTTGGAGTTCTGAAACCTCGAGAATGCTCCCAAGAAGCCTTGGAGCGTCTTCCACATCAAGGGCGCGGCGGCTCTGGTGGAATTGGATGTCTCGCTGATGTTCGGGCTCGAGAAGGTGGCACAAGATCCGTAGGGTGCGTAGTCTGGACAACTATTGCCCGGCAGGGGAACGGTTCCATTGTAGTTGTCTCCATCGCCGCTGTCCGCTCCCTCTGCTTGATAGCCGGGCACGGCGACGTTGTAGGAGAAGCCGACTTGCACGGGTTGGTCGATGTACAGCATGTTTGAAACGTTGCTGAGGAATATTAGTGACTACTTCTTGCTTGCTTAAACCAACGGTGAACCTACTCACCTCCAAGAGTACTTGTTGAACACAACATCAGCCCGATCGTTCGGCAGCGAGCAAGGCCCATTTTCCTGGAAAAGACTCTCCATCGAGCTAGAACCAGGTCGACCGTTGATGAAGACCGTCAACGGGGCGACTCTGGGCTTCCATTGCGCGCTTCGAAGAACCAGAAATATACGTGGTCTCGCTCGGAAACATCAACGTAGCCGCTGTAGGACTTCACGCCCTGCGTGAGCTCGCAGATGCCTGGTGGGACCTCTGTCCAACGCACGGGTATGTCCAGAAAACCCTTTGAGACGCTGAGGTTCGTAGGCGGTGAGACAAATTGGCTGGTGACGAGAGATGCGAAGGAGATGGCGGCGGCCGCCTGGGAATGTAAAAATCTCATGGTGGTGCTGGTTGCTAATCATTGAAGGGGTGGATTTGGAGGCCGCTTCACCACTGAATTTATATTGATAACGATGACTTGAGCCTTGAGGCAGTGTTTGAGACGATGACAAGGCTGTACGCCATCCCATTGAAGGCATGACGACGTACGAAGGTACACACAATATTGAGCACCTTGATCAGCGGTTCAGCCAGTCTCAAGACAATTACGTCGCGACCCGCTCTTTTCTTGAGCAATGTTGAAGCTGTGTCGCTGACTTTGGTCTGATCGACCGACGTCAGAGCTGTTGTTAGCTCGGTGATCTTTAACGTCGGCACACATTCGGGCGCAACATAGTCCCGAAATGGAAATAAGGGGTGTGACTAAACACAACGAGCGCGCAGGGCTGTGTTATCACCATGAAAGCAACAGCGACAGGCCGCAAGCATTGCTGCTTCATATTCGGACGGGCTAACAGCTTCCAAGTGACGCGCCCTCGCATATCTACATTATCCGACAGTCGTGCATTGACAGCAGTGCTTGGCCCCATGAACACACTCTACTTGCAAAGCCAAACAGAGCAAATGCCTTCCTCCCCAAATCTACTCGAACTCGCTTCCGAACTTCGCCTCCAAATTCTGGAACACCTCTTCAACTCTTGTCTCTCCCGCGTTGAAGATCAGCCTCTCCCTGCCGACAACTCACAGTGGTCTCCGGTGAGCAGCAGTCCTCGATTCTTTCGAGACTTTGCGGCCCCCTTTCACTCTGCTCCCAATCCCTGGCTGCGGAGAATCCGTCTTTATATCGACCAAGAACGGGTGACCGACCGCCCAATCGCTGGAGGAAAGCCTCTGCTGCCAGAATCTGAGGCCAAGATTCGGGATAGCCTCGATGAACTCCAACCGAGTCCTATATGCTACCGAGGAATCTTTAGCACGTGTAAAACTTTCCGCTGGGAGGCACTAGATGTCTGGTTTGACGGGTATGTCGTATTTGAATTCAAGGAAAACTCGCGACGAGCAGCGTGGTTTGAGGCACAGATAGAGCATCGGCGCGCGAGCAAGAGGCTTCGGAGAGAAAGGATATTTGGTAGGGCTCCGGCGATGGCAGTACTTGCCCTACCAACTTCAATCGCGGCTGGTGACGATTTTGGATATTATGGGGGAAATCTTGGGCAGGGTCAGGAATTGTGAGGTCTACTTTGATGTGGACAGTGAAGAGGACATGCAGCAAACACCAGGTCGTCTAAGATTGCTCATGGAGAGCTTGAACATGGACAAAACGAAGTAATTCAGGGTTTCTTTTAGATTCATGAGGACGAACTTTTCTACGAGATCGGTGAAGAGTTTCGGACGGAGACAGTGGATGAGTGGAGTGGGCCAACAGCCCGTCGCGGACGAGACGTGGAGAGTTTTCTTGGAAGAGGTCGGGCGGCTGAAATTGAGGCAGTTTTGTGGAGAGAAAAAGGGCAGAGCAGAGCACTGGCAAGGCCAAGAATGGAATGTCATCTATGTTGACGATCCGTGGAACGGCGGGGAGGGAGGATTTGCTCGGTTTCAGGAGTTGGCGGACTTGATTGGAGCGGTAGTAGAGACAGAGGACGGGAGGCTCGTACATGGGCTTTCTCTGTAGTAGTTGAGTCTCTGATTTCACAACAGATAAGAACAATATAATGTCTATATGCTACGTCGTCTGTGAATTGTGTCTGTTGGGCGTGTCAGATTTTACTTAGTTATATCTTTAGATGCTCGCTATAGCAATATCGAATTTGAACAGCATAATCAAATACTAATAGTAGCTTTCTCCTATTGAGTGAGTGACGCTACAGCATTTTGCTGGATGTTCTAAAGATAGTAACATTCGGAATTTGGTCGGGCCGAGCTCTTTAAGTGAATGTTTTCTTTCCCAGCCTCTTCCTTTCTTGTCAACTTCACTCCCCAACATCAACCCAATCTTATCGATAACATGTGATCATGTAACTATGCTTGTGCTCAAAATACTTTCGGAGAATAGTGTATCAAATAATCCATGGCACAGATAATCCGCATAAGCTGGCGGTCTCCCACATTGCAGGGTTTATTGACAGGGTTTTGGAAGGGGTGAGTCACAGATTCGCATGTGTCACATGAAGACGACAGCAATAGTTTACCTTCATTGTTGGATTGCAAGGGCCCGCCTTCCAATCAGAAATCATCCGATGTGGTGTAACGGTTAGCATTTGCGGCTCTCAGAGATGAATCCCATCTGCAGGTCCTGCAAGATCGGGGGTGAGTCCCAGGCTATATAATCATCAGTTCTTTGGCAGTCCGCTAACTTAAGACCAGTTCAATTCCCCGCATCGGAATCCAATTCTTTTGCTCTTGTGGCTTACTTAGTCTTCTTGGACTTCGCTTGGACAGTATGCTGATTCACCATCGTAGGATTTCGACGACGAGACCTGTGAGGGAGTCTGGAACGGAGTTCGAGGCCTATGGAGGTCGCCAAGATCGCCAAACATCCCATCACCTCTGCCTTCACTTTTGCGGTCCTCTACGTCAATCATAGCAGGCTGTCGTGTGCCAAAGCGCTACCCTGCAAGCAGATCTTGGAGCTTAGTATCAAGACCGGACTTTGGACGTTTTCAAAGACTGTCCAGCTGAGAAATCAGAATACTGGAAATATCATGACCCTCTCATGAGTGTAAGCCAAGAATGCCAGTCTTGGTGTGGCGCTCGTATAGAATCGGACGGAGGCCCCACAAAGCCTATATGGGTCTACTAACGCTACCAAATCGCCCAAAGCACTGGGTGAGAGGCCCAGAAACGAGATATTCGTACTCACACTGAGCTCAACGAAGGCTGGGTGTGCTTGGTCTCATCGGACGGTACAGAGCACCTCCTGCGTATCTCCGACGACGTGCATGATGCCCGCTCACAGTGTAACGCTCGGGGCAATTGCAGAGAGACTATATATTCGTCTATCTACTCTCGGCCATGGCGACCAGAAAGTCGATCAAATCACACGATATCATTCACTCTCAATTCCAATAGCAGGAGGGTGAAAAAACCGAAGCATTCGAAACCAAGCCAGACCAACATGCCACCCTCCAACAATCCATATCAACCATACGCGGATGCACACAAGAATCCCAAGGGACCAGGAGATGCGAGACCCACCGCCCTTCAGATCATTGGAGACTGCAACGCCGCTGGGAAGCTCGTCGGAAAGACTGTCGTTATCACTGGCTGCTCCGGAGGCATTGGCCAGCACGTTGCAGCTGCCATGTACGAGACAGGCGCTCAGCTTTACTTGATTGCACGCAACATGCCAAAACTGGAGAAGGTTATAAACGACATTGTGTCGCATTCTTCTTCCAAGGGTTACCCACGTCCTATCGCTATTGAGATGCACCTCGACAATCTGGTCAGCGTGAAAGCGGGAGCACAAGTAATCAAATCTCTGACGGACAAAGTTGACGTCTTGATCAACAACGCGGGAATGTCTGGTGCTCCTCTCAGCAAGACTGTCGACGGCTTTGAGATACACATGGGGACCAATCACTTCGCACACTTCTTGCTCTTCCACGAACTCCAACCCTTTCTGGAACACACAGCTAAGAAATCGGGCACAACGTCTCGAATTGTCACTGTGGCCTCATCTTCTCATATGCTTAGCGGGATCCGCAGGGACGACTACAACTATGAAAAGCACCCGGAAGAGTACACCAAGATGGAAGCCTACGGCCAATCCAAGACTGCAAACATCTACATGAGCAACGCCATTGCAAGACACTTCTCTACTCAGGGTCTGACAGGTCTGGCTGTACACCCTGGTAGCGTCTTCGAAGGCTCGGAGTTTGCTCGCAATCTGACTGAAGAGGGCTTCGCAGCTTTTGGTGGAGAGGAGGTCTTGCAGAAGCTCAAACCCTTGTTCAAAAACGCAGAGCAGGGAGCTGCTACAGTTGTTTGGGCTGCTGTCAGCTTCTACTTCGACGATGTGACTAAGGGAGGAAAGTATTTGGCAGACGTGGGAGAGGGTATACCACAGGCTGCTGGCGCCACTGATGAGGGTCCTGGGTATGCGCCGCATGCTTTTGACAAAGAGGGCGAAGATTGGTTGTGGAAAGAGAGTGTAAAGGCTCTAGAATTGAGAGGATATACTTCTGCCGCTCAATAAGACTTATATCAGTATGTGGTACAGACGTAAGAGAAACAGACCTCCGAACACCAATTACTTCAAACGTCAAGCGAGGCTGACGGATGGTCTTTAACACGACGTAGTAGTTCGTCTAGCGCTGACAAGCAGACCTGGGTAAACCCCTCAGCTTACTTGTAATTACTTGTAAGGAGAAGCAACGGCTTCTTGCCGGTGCAAGTAATCAAGTACGACCAGAATCAAGCCCATGGTGAACGCGAGGTAAGCGACGCTACCGAGAGCTGTTTCACTACATGTCCAGCATAACACTACTTACAAACGTATAGAAGACAGAGCTTAGAAATCAAAAGGTTCGTCCTGGGCCTGTGTAACACGAGACGAGGTTCTTCAAGAAAACCAGGAACAGCACGAGTGGAAAATTTCTGTTTGAAACCCACCAGCTGTATGCAGACTCAGGCTTCAAGACAATATGGCCGACATCAAATTCTACTACCTCAATGGAACCTGCGCCACTTCAGTCCACGCAACTCTACTAGAGCTCGGTATCCTCTTCAAGCCTATCGAGATGGTTCGGAGTCCCAATGGCTTCGTTCCTGGCGATGGAAGTATGACCCGCGAGGATTACATTGAGAAAGTCCACCCACTGGGCTACGTTCCAGCATTGGTCGTCCACGGCCAGCCCCTGACAGAAGCTATTGCAATCTTGTCATACCTGGCGAGCCTCGACCCCGAGAGAGGCTTGCTTGGTAAAACACCCTGGGAGAAGGCAAAGGTCCAGGAATGGCTGGTATGGTTGTCCGGGACGCTGCATTCAACTGGTTATGCAGCGCTGTGGAGACCAAGCAGATTCACAGACGATGAAGCCTTATTTGATGCCATCAAGACCGGTGCGAAGGAGAAGATCAAGTATTGCTACGGTCGCATTGAGGAGAAGATCGATGGGACATATGCAGTGGGCGATCACTTGACAGTCGTTGACTTCTTCCTGAATGTATTCTGGAGATGGGGAGGACAGGGTCAGATTGGAGCTTTGGACGCGAGTGGACTTGATATGGGGCGGTGCCCGAGATTCAGGGAGTTGGTGAAGAATGTGGAGAGATTTGAGGGTTTGAGAGAGGCGTTGAGGACCGAAAAGAAGGAGCTGGAGTTTCCTGATCAGAAATTGTAAGGCATCGGCATGTAGTGAGAATACGTTTTGAAATAGCTGTGAGAAGCTGTATTGCGAAATGAAAGATCCACAGATTGCAGGTACTCTATTATGAGTGGTATTTTAACCTACAAGCTCGAAGTAAAGCTCGACTAGCCCCGTGGACTTGAATCAAAAACGTTTGACTTCAATGGACCACAGGGAGAAAAGCAAAGTCTTCAACTACTATTGAGATACTACAGATTTGACTGCTTCCCTTCATGCTCTAATGCCGTTGCCGAGCGCTCTAGAACAGGCCGCACTCCACGTAAGATTTCTTCCACAATGCTCGCAGCCGGCTGAATGTTCTTGATCAGACCAACCCCAGTGCCCGAGTATGCCACCATTCGTCCATCATTTTCCCAAGCATTAACATCGCTGGCCTTCTTCATCTCTTCTTTGTAACGTTTGATGTTCTCCATTTCAGGCATTCCCGCATCCTCGTCGTCGTGGCCCTTGTTCCTTAATTGTCGCCCATCGTACTCAACTGGCCATTCGGGTCTCGTCTCCTTGATTCGATCACAGAGCGTTGATCGAACCGTGGCAACGCCGCCATCCTTTGTACGCAGCAACGCCTGCTTCCAACCTTGTGCGATACCGGCTTCTTCAGCTACCAGGAACCGCGTGCCCATTACTATCCCTGAAGCACCCAATGCCAAAGCGGCAGCAGCAGCTCGCGGCTCGACGATGCCTCCAGCGGCAAGAACAAAAATGTCCTCTTTTCCAGCCTCTTGTAAAGAGTCCAACACTTCCGGGACCAGGCTGATCAAACTTGCCGCTTGTCGTCTTCCGTGACCGCCAGCGTCTGCTCCTTGCAGAATAAGCAGATCAGGATTCGCAAGTTTAATACTTTCCATTGCTTCAGCTTGGTTCGCCACTTGGATCCAAATATGCGTCTTGTTCTCAGTCTCGCTCCGAATCCGTTTTGACCATTGTTGAAGATCAACGTTTTCCTTGGGGGCGAATAGCCACACGACTGCAGGTACATACTTCTTGATTACGGCTGCGATGGAGTCGAGAGATTGAGTGGAGTTAAACAGTTGGAACCCGACGCCGATTGGAAGGATTCCAGGTCGTGATTGTAAACCTGTGCCTGAAGTGCTTCCCAATATGGTCTTGACCTCCTGTAATAGGCGATCCAAAGTCCCTGCGTTAGAGCCTCCAGGTAGAAATCCCACTCCCCCGGCATTCGTCACTGCAGCGGCCAGTCGAGGAGTCGATGCTCCTAGCATAGGTGCTGAAGCAACCAAAGGAAGCTTGATCCATGGGTATGCTGCTTTGAGACTGGCCATCTTCGAAGTCGATGCTTCCTTAGCTTCGTCGAGTATGAGGCAACTCAATGACTTATATAGACCGTGTGTTGGGTACACGAGGAAGAAGAGGGTGCAACTCGGGAATAACGAAATCTCGGTGCTAAGCACTGAATGGGAAGTCAAAATGCCAAATTTTTCAGCCTAGCCCTTGCAAAATGCGAGTTTCTGCGGCGTGAGGTCGATGAGGTCTTTACTTGAACTTTAAAGTCATCAATGCTTTGTACCTAAGCTTTTGGCTCCGGCATCGGACGCTAATTCTACTGCTAGCGGCAAGGTCAATGTCTGGATGAGGCTCGCAGCCTTGCGCCAAGAAAGGGATCGAAATGGCAGAGAAGGCGTCTTGACAAGCATAGACTATTCACGCCTGGGGACACTTCGCATGAAATATAATCTCCAATATAAGAAATTCGAAGATCTCGAAAATTTTGGAGAACTGATGAGTTCACACTGTTCTATAAGAAAGACCACGGCACCAGAGACGAGCCTACTCCCGAACCTCCACCATCAACTGCCACTTCCCCTTCCGTTGCTCATAAAGCTGCACAGCCTTCTCCGCAATATTCGTCGGATTGAGATGTTTCTTCGTCGGGTTCACAATCCCACAAGCCTTGACGACCCCGAAATGCACCTCCTTCCCGAAAGCCTTATTCAGCGATATGAACAAATTCTGCTGACTTGCTTTCGACATCCCCAAAGAGAGAACTTCTGGCAATGGGTCCTCTGGGAAGTGGCTGTTGGTCACGAAGAAAGAGGGCGAGGGATGGTCGCTGCGCTTGAGGAGAGGAATGGCCCATTGTGCGATTACGTAGAGGGAGAGATTGCCAGTCTGAATGTGGTCAGCGCGGATTGTGTGTATGCAGACATCCTGAATAGTCCGAACATACTCTGAAGTCTTCTTCAACTTCCTCCGCTGACATAGTCAATACCTCCGCTCGTCTGATTCTCGCGGCATTATGGTAAACGAGTCCCAGCGGACCAAGCTGTTCGATTTCGTTCAGCGTGCGGCGGAGATTGTCGATGTTACTGAGATCAGTCTGGAAAGTGAAGACCTCGACGGCTCGACCATGTTTCTTTGCAGCTTCTTGGACCTCGATTCTCTCAGACGCTAGCCTTTCTCCGTTCCGGGAGCATAAAACGATTCTGTCGAAATGTTTCTGAGCAAAGGCTGTGGCGACTGCAATGCCAATTCCAGGCCTGCAAAAAAGATATCAGTCTCGTTGTTGTCCACTATGGGATATAAAGCGCTTCACTCGCCCGCTGCCGAAGAGGACGAAAGTCGGAGACAGCATTGCTTTCATGCAATCGATTTGAAGTTGCAGATGATGAATACGCCTAATCGATAATCGAAATTCGTGGCCTTTAGTACACCGATCCAGAACCATGGCGCCCGCTATTTGAGTGAAGGCATGCATTCATCACGAGGCTGCTACCCGTAGCACCATGCAAGAACTAAGCCTAGACGACCAAGGCGAGGTAAGCGACTGACGCGACGTTGGAGGACTCATTGCGGCTTCGGAACCTCTCCTTGTCAAGATTTGATATCTTGTTGTTACGTTTCGGGGCGTCCATGGACTAGAATCAAGGCTGTCGTGCTAGACTATCAACTTTCAATGCACACCCACGCAACGCTGCCCAGGTGATGTTGGGTTGGTCGCACGCTCTCTTCAGGACGACACGTATGGAAGCAGCTGCTCGACAGCGATTTGGAGCATATACATGAGATCAATACCCGCTGACCACAGTGCTCAATTGGCCTCTCGTCGACATCTTCAAGTGTGATTTACCAACGCACCACAATGTCCCAACTCCTCAAAGTGGCCGCAGCCCAATGCCACACGCTCGACACTACAGCCAACACCCTCAAACAACTCGAACAAAAAGTCAAAGAAGCCGCCTCTCAAAACGTCGACCTCGTTCTCTTCCCCGAAGTCTACCTAGGAGGCTACCCCCGCTCAGCGACCTTCGGTGCCAGCGTTGGTGAACGAAGCGCTCATGGGTACCATCAATTCCTGAAATACTTCCAGGGAGCTGTGGATCTTGGAGACACGCCGATTGGAGCGGAAGAAGATTGGGTAGAGCGAAGGATACCGACTCGTGAAGGGGAAGTTCGTGGTGATGGTACGAGGGAGGAGTTGGAGAGAAGTGCGAGTGAGACTGGCGTCTTCATCGTCACTGGTGTCCTTGAGCGGTCCGGCGGGACCTTGTACTGCGCCGTGGTCTACATCGATCCAGTCAAAGGTGCCGCGGGAAAACGTCGCGAGGTCCTCCCGACCGGCAGCGAGAGACTCGTCTGGGGCCAAGGTCATCCTCGAACACTCAAAGCCATCACTACCACTATCAAAGGTGTCAAGATCTGTCTCGCGGCTGCAATTTGCTGGGAGAACTACATGCCACTTCTTCGCCAGGCGCTCTACCAGCAAAATGTGAATCTCTATCTTGCACCGACTGCGGACGGACGTCCGACTTGGCTGCCTCTCATGCAGACGATAGGATTTGAGGGACGGACGTTTGTCGTGAGTGCGAATCAAGCTGTTCGTGATGATGAGCTGCCAGAGTGAATCAATGAGACGAAACGAGAGGGCAAGTTTATCAGCGGTGGAGGATCTTGTATCATCTCGCCGTTCGGCAAGGTATTGGCTCGCCCCATCTGGGACGCGGATGGTGAGCTTCTCATCCAGGAGCTTGATTTTGAGGGCTGTGAGAAGGGGCAGCTTGACTTGGACGTGTCTGGGTCGTACTCTCGCAACGACTCATTTCATTTATCTGTAGATGGCCTGGATCTGGTGCCGCCACCTTGAATTGGAAACGCAGATGGACGAATATGCAAGTGTCACCCATCATTCCGCACCTTGGCCGTGTGTTGATGACAAGGGACGACTGCCATCGATGTGATTTCGTAGAGCTCGACATAAATCGAATTCAGAGTCCATTGACCAATCCAGCCATTCACGAGCGACTTGCTTGCGTAGCAGCCAGTCTTTCGTGAAACGCTCATCGGCATGATCAGCGCTGTACACCTTCACTTCAGGCTTGGTCTTGTCGTCGCTGCTAGACGAGTTCGACCAGCGTCCATGGCCAATGGGCTCGTACACACGAGCCTGGCCTCGACTTCGTTTTGCATCGCCAGAGGACATCGGTCGTGCGTAGTAGCAAAGATAGTTACGCCCGTTCGTCTCCGGAATCAGGACCATTATGACACGCTCAGCAGGCGGCGGATAATCCTGGACAGAGAGTTGGACTCCGCTGCATGTCTCAAAGGCTTGAAGAAAGATCAAGCTGATAGCTAGAGGCTCTCCACAAACAAGGCCCTCGTACCCGACCCGACGGATCATGTCGACAATAGCTTGAAACCAGGACGACCGGGGAGAGCATTGAGCAATGATATGCATCATAGCCAGTAAGCCAGGTTTAAGACCTTCGCTGGGAATGTATCGATCGGATGCCTGTGGGTTGCCGCTTGTCGTCTCGCCATCGTTTAAGGCGATGCCGTGAAGCTGAGTCGCTACGAACCGCAAACATTCGTAGAAGTAGAAATACGCCGACGTCTCATACGACTCAGATTCGTCTGTCTCCAGTAAAGCGAGAGACCACATGGCCCTCCCCATGTAGAAGTTGTAGAGTGCTGCAACGACGAGGCATGCGGACGAGGTAGACGAGCCGGTGTATGGAGGAGGCGGCATGGGTAAGGCGTCAGACTCAAGCTCATCTCGAAAGTCGGGGAGAGTATTGAGATCTGATTCTACCAATTGCTGCGGAAGATGCTTGATGTACTTTGTTCGCCAGCCTTGAAGTCGCTGCTTGAGCCTCAGGATATCGTTTGCGGGTGCAGCAGGGCGTTCATGCGCTGCCCATGGGTCCCAAATGAGTGCTTCCATATCTAGGTCCTTCACCACACTGTCGAGACTACGCTGAAGCATCACTGATAGCGGCATACCTGAGTCATGGCTAATGGCGTCAACGATGTTCGTCGCACTGTCCGCGTGGGCCGAAGGAGTAACCTTTTGTAGAGGCTCAATCGGGCGAAACAACGGTAAGACCATGCGCCGGATTTGACAAAGTTCTTGCAAGCACGAACCGATGGCATCCAGGCTTGTTTGTGTAGCTGGCCAGTATCGATCCCCTGACTTGGTAGTCGTGGCACATTGTACGCCAATCTGAGAATGATAGTGGGCGGCAATCTGAATGTGTCCCAAAGCTGCAGGGACGTTGCCCGCAAAGCACTAGAGAGCGATATGTTAGTGAGTTAATTCAGGACCGACAATGCTGATCCACATACTTCGAAATAAGCGAGTAGCTCTAGAACAGCTACCAGAATACTAGGTCGAGCTTTGGCTTCTTCTATATGGCTGGACAGAGACTCCAAAGCCCGAGTGTATGTTTGGAAAGCGATGACTTTAGTATCGAGACCACGGCTCCGATCGTTCTCCCCTGGCATGGGCAGAAGTAAAGCAGCGCGATGCATGTTGCCTAGCGCGGTCAAGCCGAGGAAAACGTATTCACAACCCCAAGCCTCGTGGCAAAGCTCATCTCGCCAAAACCCCACGTGCTCAGGAGGAAAGAGCACAGGGATTGTCCGAAAGAGAAACTGGTGATAGGCCAGCACCCAACGGGCATCCGCACAAGGCCGCTGAGAGGAGTGCGGGTTACTGAGCAGTGCAGTGAGAGGGGCGCCGTCGTCTCGAACACTGATCGGCACCGGTATGAGTGTCTGTCGCTTGGGTCCGCCCGGCATGCATGGTGGGCTGCGAGCATTGAGGTCCTGATCGCTGGTCTCGAATGCTCGCTGGATTGATTCTCCAATTGCGCGAGTAGTAGTGCCTTGTACAGTCGGTGACTTCGACTCGGAACCTGAAGGCTTGCTAGATGAGTATCCACACCTGCTCTGACTGCCTTTTCGTGCAGTGTTCCGAGCCTGTGGTCGAGGGGCAACCTGGCGTCTGCTCTCGTAGCCGGCGCAGTCGATGTTCGCATTGTCGCAACGCTCACAGGTCGGCTTGCGCTCATCGCATCTCACACGTCTAGCTCTACACGACAAGCATCCTGTGCGTTTTCGCTTTCGCTTGGCCTTCTCTGCACCTTCCATATCCGAGTCTGTCACGAGGCTGTGGCGTGTTAGAGGATTCGTATTGTCCTTGCGGTCCGGGCAATGGCGGTCATTCAGGAGGCATCGAGGCCGAGCTCGCAACAAGGGGAGAGATCAGGAGCATGTTCAAGCGAGGCAGGCGAAGGAGGCAGACGAGACTGAAATACATAAGAAGAATGTACACGGCTGAGACTTCGAAGGACGTGACGTCGCTGAGCTCGCTTACCTCGCTTATCTCGCTTCGATCGCTTGTCCCGCTAAAGTCTTCCGTAGCTCCAGTTTCGCTACGGGCGCCTAAAAGGATACAATCTTCACGACCACCTTCGAAGCCTCTTTCTTAGCCCTACTTTCTTCCAACACACATGCATGCCATCTTGCACGGCCCACAATGCGCCATCAACGACACTCCCGCCAATAGCAGTCGTGACCTCATGGCTGGAGGATGGCGAGATCGGAACCGCGACGAGGAGCTGGTGTTCCTTGATTAACATTTAGTGTGCCCCTTTTTCTGTCGTAGCTTTGCTTCATCAGTGTCCTGATCGCTAGCTCTCCATCCATTGCGTACTACTCACATAGCAGATCTTCAATCGAGACATGTCCTGCTCCCATATCCGCACGACTGACCGGAAATATCCTCTGCGTCAACCCGCGGACTGGATAGTCAAGTTTCCTCGATATATGCTGGAGCTACCAGAGGATGTCAACGAAGTCAGCATCACCTATATAGGGCTTCAGCCTCGGCATGAAGAGAGCCTTGCTAGAGCATCACATACAGATCTCCATAGACATGTGACAACAGCCGCTCAGAGACATCTCGCAGCGAAGATCGACAATTGGATTGGCCGTGCGTCTACTTCTCTAGCGCCAGCGTTGTGGGAGAAACTTTACGTTGAGACCGGCTATGATGTTCCTGACACGGAGATGTACATCCTCTACTGGGCGGATAAGGACGTTGCGAGACGGGCAATCCGAGACCTTGATATCAAGAAACTTCACAACTCACTTCCCTCTCAAGATCAACAAAACATCGGCATCTGGCATGAGTCCTTTAAAGTTCCCAAGTCAAGACTGGAAACTGTTTACTCTGGCAACGACTATCAGCCAGGTATAGCTTCACTGCCAGGCGCCAAGCAAGTCAGCCACGCTTTCACAGGCTACTGGGGAGCAGCACGGGACCGAATCCCTTCATCAGCAGACGACTCCTTCGAGCCAGAGGCATCGCTACCACCGCCTGATTTTGCAAAGGATATTAAGCGCCGTGATATCTGTGGTAGCAATAATACTTCCATGATCCATATCCGATCGGGACAGTACTGGGAACGATGTGAGGAAAACGAGCGAGAGGCGTATGAGCGGACGCTCGAACCTGTGCTAAGAGAGGGAATGGCGTATCTGGAAAACAACGCCGCGGAAACAGGTGACTGCGGGCTGCGATTTTCGCGAAACCTCACTACAAATCGACTATTACAAGATGAAGAGAACGCCAAGGAGTTCTACAGTGCCGTCGTTGATAGCGCTGTAGACGTTCGATATGGATCCGACACGACCTCTGCCGGCGCCTCGTCAACAATCGAGACATCAAACACTGGCCATGGACAAGACCCCAACATCATCCCCAACCCCCAACGCCCCCGACGAGAAACCTGCAGCAGTGGCTTCTTTCGCTCCCTCAAAGACCTCGAAAACTGGGCGGCCAAACACCCCACGCACCACAAGATCTTCCACGGCGCACACGCTCACTCGACCAAGTTCGGCAAGACGACGTTCAAGATGCGGACGTGGCATGAGGTCGCGGCGTTGAAGCCCGGGGAGGTGCAGTTTGAGTATGTGAATTGTCAGCCTTGGACGGGGTTGTTGGGGTTTGTGGAGATATGATGAAGGGGTCTCGTCTTGCTCTATGATTTCAAAAATCAGACGTTTGTTGACGTATGATCTCTTCCAGATTCCAAACCTCCCAACCCTCACTCACCATCCCCTCCCCTCCCCTCCCACCCGGGCAACGCCATCCCCCTCTCCCCCTCCCCCCACCCCTCCGGCCACCAAACCATAACCGCCACCCCCTCAACACAAACAAACCCCTCCCTCTCATAAACCCTCCTCGCCACCTCCGTCGCATCCGCCCACCCAGGCACACCCAGCTCCCTACACCTCTGCACGCCCCACCTCACTAGCGCGCTGCCCGCCCCCCGTCTCTCCCAAACAGGATCCACGCAGAGGAAATGCAACTCCCCGAACGCCCGACCGCCCATCCACTTAACCTGCCTGTCGAGCATCCCCCTCACAAAAGCGCGGGCTTGAGCCCGCTGCGTAGCATCCGCCACCCACTCCGCAGAGAAGATATAACTCCACTCCGCAAACTCCCTCTCCGCCATCTCCCTCTCATGGAAAATCCAATTCGCCATACCCACGATGACCTCCTCCCCACTCTCGGGATTTTTATAAACACACTTAAGCGTCATAGGCGTGCTGAATTTCTGGGAGTGGAGGGCCCAGGCTCTAAGGGTGTTGGTTGTGAAGAGGGCGTGGCCTGCTGAGTCGGGGGTGTAGCCGACTAGGCGCAGCCAGGGGATGTGCGAGAAGGCTGTTGTGAAGATGTGGGCGAGGCGGGGGAGGTCGTGTTCTTGCGCCGGTTCTATGCGCATATTTGTTGCAGACATTGTAGTGGGTTTTAATAGTCTGTTGGTCGGTGGATGGGGGAAGTGGGTTGAGGATGGCTGCGGCTGGGTCTTCTTGCTAGACAGCAGCAGGAGCAGCAGCAGTAGTTGTGGTAGTTGAAAATGGAAATGAAGCAGATGTTATCTCTCGAAGGATGCTTTAACTATCGTTTCCTCGTCTCCACTAGGTAATGAGTGATCCCCCCCTCACAATAGGGCGATTCTGCGACCCCTCCGCGTGGACAGCCTAAGCTCGGAACTCGTTTCCGGGAAGGTCTTTTTCTTTACTCAATCGCCCTATGCGATTTCTCTCATGCCTCAGATTGGGCCAGTCCTTTGACGTCTTGATACTATTTACTCCTTATCACACCCCGGCGTGGGATATATACATCTCAAATCGCCTGTCCATGATTTTGCTTTTCCCTTCGCTTTGCCGATGAGCTGGGCGGGAGTTGGGGATTTTTCTTCGCTTGTTGTGCTTGGCGAGGTAGCTATTGTTTTCGTTGAGGGGATTGAGGACTCTGAAACTTGGCGAGAGGTCGATGAGATGGTGGTTGTTTTGCTTGCAGCCTTGTTTGATGAAGATGAAGTGGGTGTGGATGAAGGCTTGGCGGTGTCGCTCGCCGACTTTCTGCTGGACGCAGGGGTGGAGGCAGAAGCCTGTTCCGTCCCCATTGTTTGCGTCTCTTCACCAGAAGCTCTCTCTGTCGGCCTCGCACTTCCCTCGCCAACAAAAGCCGTCTCGCTCACTCCAGACTGCCCACTCTTCGCCATACCAGTAGACGTCTTACTCGCCCCCGGCCCAACCTCCACAAACCCCAACAAACTCTCACTATACCCGGGCAACATAGTCCTGCTCACACTCCCTGTCGCCATGCCCGTGGACAACTTCTCCGTAAAACTCGTCAACCTCCCACTAACGCTCGTCCTGTGCACCAACTCGCTCGCCGCGCTATACGTATACAGCCGACTCGGACTGACGAACTGGAACGCTGTCGTCGGCGCCTTGGTGACGTACGCGGAGCTCAGGTTCGTGCCCGTGAAAGATTGGAGGACGTAGGCCGTGCCGCCGTTGACGAGGGTTGGGACGATGGGGAGAGGTTTGAGGGCGTTTGGGTTGGTGGTTGGGGCGGGTGGGAGGAGGTCGATTGTGGAGAGGCTGGAGGGGAGGGCTTGGATTGGGATTAGGCTTGGGAGGGAGTTTTGGGCGTTGATGCTCGTCATGCGGAGGAGGGCGGCGGCTATGGCCGCGTCGTCGTCGTCGTCGTCGTGAGTGGATTTGGTTTTAGTGGCTGACGGTGTTGGAGCAGGGGCGTTGGGGTGCAGGAGAGATGTGATCTTGAGGCTCGTGAGAGGCTTTGTTCGGAATGCTGAGGGCACTGCGGTTGGATTGGGTGGCGGTGGCGTGTTCGTGTCCAGGGAGGTAGTCTTGACGTTTGGCTGTTGCTTCGTGCTGAATGAAGAGGACCTTGCCGTTGTAGCTGGTGGTGCTGGCGGGTTTGGATCAAGGATGGACGTGATCCTAAGGCTTGTAAGAGGCTTCGTCCTGAACGCAGAGGGAATTGCTGTTGGATTCGGTGGCGGTGGCGTGTTCGTATCGAGGATTGAGGTGCTTTCGATACTCGACTGAGGCTTCGTTTGGAATGCAGAAGTACTCGCGGAGGTATCTGGTGATGCTGGAGCATTCGGATCGAGAGTAAATGTGATATCAAGACTGGTAAGTGGCCTGGTCCGGAACGCAGAAAGTATGGCGGTAGGGTTGGGTGGAGGGTGAGAGAGTGTCCCGTTGTCTCGTTCACTAGAATGGAACCGTTAGCTCAAGTTCGAAGAACGGCTCTCTCAAGAGGTTACTCACATCAAATTCGTCAGTATATTAGTCTCCCCAGTCTCGGCTCGTTTCTCATGTGGATCATAGCTGAAAGATCGTGTTGGATCGTACGTGAACGATGGCTCCGAATCGTACGTAAATGAACGCAGCGGATCGTATGTGTATAGCGGGGAAGGATCGTATGTGAAGTGCGGAGTGGAGGTTTCCGATACGACTCGAACTTCTGTAATAACAGATTCGATCTCGTCGTCGTGGCTGTTATCTGCGTCGCGTTCGTCAGATTGAGCGGGAAGCGGTATATAAGCTCCTGTGGCGAGTCGGCTGGCCAGCAGCAGCGCGAAGAACGCTTCGTTATAAGTCATTATATGCGTCTGGTGAAGTTGCTGTCTTGTCGACGTATAGGTAGATCTAGTGAAATGCGGGAAGACACATGGGAATCTCGTGGTCGGGGGATGGCGAAACCGTCCATATAGGTTCCATTGTCCCAACAAACAAGGCAAGCCGGGCGTACGAGGAATCTTGAAATGAGCTTCCTCATTGCACAACAAAGAAGTCGAGGTTCAAGAATTTCCAAGAATAGCGACATCGTGTGATCTCGACGGTTGATCAGACAGTCTAGAATACAGTTAAACAGACCACCAATGTACACATGGTGCCATACTTCACATCTCAATTACTTCCAAGCAGGTACCTTCGCTTTTCCAACAGTCCAGCTGCATAACTTTTCGTGACCAACGTCAATCTTACAAGTCTTCTCTCATCTGATCGTAATTCGACCCGCCTCCCAGAGGGTCGCCACCGGGCACACAAAGACCAAGTCTCCAGAAGTAGTCTCGATGGGCAAAGAGCAATTCCCACAGTTTGTACCTCGATGGGATACCCCATGGCTCATGCACAACATCGTGGATCTCGCCTTTAACAGACTCGAGCAGATCTCGCTTCTGCTTTGACGACTCTGGATCAGAAGGTACGGTGGTGTCCTGGCCAGCAATGCATTTGGGGTCGAAGTCGCCCGTGCAATGCTCTATATCTTTAAGATCCGGCGAAAAGCTAGGCTTGGAGATGAAGATCTCGCCTGCGTGCATAGCGTAGCCCCATTCTGTGAGCGGTAACTGGGGAACTGGATCGTCGATGTGCGTGACTCTTCGATACTCTGAAAGTGTGTCGTTCTCCGGAGCTTTCTTCGCCAGGTCGAATCGCTGGTCAAGATACTTCACAAATGCCAGGTTGCCAATCCGAGGCTCCCCAAACGTGGTGATTCTCGGATGCCAGCCTCTGGCTTTGAAGTCCAGGCCTGCCAGTGCAGCAACTGCGCCTCCAAGACTGTGGCCTATGAGAGTAAGCTCGTAGTCCGGGTGGTGCAGGACTTGCTCTTGCACACTCTCGAGGATTTTGTCGCGGGTGTTCATCCAAGAGCGATGGAAGCCCCAGTGCACAGTGCAATTGAGGCATTTCGGCTCGCTGGCGGGCGCAACATCACGCGGCGAGACTCCTTTCACGGCGTCTATGATCTTCTTTGAGACGCCGTTGCCGCCTTCTTTGTCGCCTTCGCCGGGATACGGGACATACTTCTGTGGAACCGTGCTCAAGTCCACGATAGTGTTGGCGATGCTGTAAGTTCCTCTGAAGGCTACAATGATCCGGGCCTTGCTATGATCCAAAGCAATGTAGCCGCAAGAGTCGGATAGCAGCGGTCCCGTGTTCCAAGTCTCGACCAGCTCAAACTGCGGAAAGTCGGCGCATCGTGACAGGCAGCGAAATGGTTTGTTGATTCCAAAACTAGTAGAGCCAACGCAATAGGAGATGTCGACGATACGGGCGAGTTCTTCCAGTTCAGTAAACAGGGCTACTGAGACATTACGGCCGTCTGAGCGTCCATGGCGGAGAAACGGAGCTTGCGCGGAGCCGAGGACGAGGCCAAGGCGGAGAAGCAGCGTCAAGGTGAGATGGAAGGACAGGCGCATTGCTTGTTGTTAAAAGACGGTTCGGCGCGGGCAGCCGATTACATGGCCGACGTGATGTTGGCCTGATGTGAGGTTCCAGAAGGTCGGCAAGGATGATCTCGCGAGCAGCCGGCGTGAGGATGCGGACGGCGGAGGATGAGGGCGGAGTCCTGCACGTAAGCACAGGGTCAACAACAGGCAGGTGGCAGGATTGGAATAATAAACAAATGCGCACACTAGCGCTGAAATTGATGGGAGTGCGTAGCAAATATTAATGGAACGGCGCCGAAAGGGAGAAAGGTGGAAAGGCTGGGCGGTTCTTACACGTTGCTTGGTGAGCGAGATGCGTCGTGCCAAGGCTGCTGATGTCAGTGGAATGCGCCAACGTCAAACGCCTCCCGCCGCGTGCGTATCGGCAGAAGATTGATGGAAGCTTCACCACCAAACCTGCACCGCTGCCATCGGCTGACCGCGGATTCGTCTCATTCACCACGACGACACTCCCGCCTTCACTCTTCACCGTCTTGGATATCTCCCGGCCGTCGCTTCCTGTTCTGGATCAGTCCTCCTCGAGAGCGCATTGCAGTCTACAGTCGGGAGAAGCTTCGATGCTGTCACCAACAAGCACTTGATCCTGCTTGCCAAGGGGCCTTAAAACTCCCGGTCTATCTTTGCACGTAGACTTGGACCCTCAACTATTTTTCGATAAAGCAAACCACCACAATCATGGAGGAAGACCCGAAGCAGCACGACTTCGACCAGCGCCACGATGGCCCCTTCGATCCCGTGGGCCGTCCATCTCTGCAGATTCAGCCGCCACAGATCCCTACCGAACCACAACGGCAGGACTCGTCGAAATCAGAACCGATGCAAGAGAAGAGGGTCATGAGTGGCAATGGTCCGGGGGAGACGCCGACGAAGGCGCGAAAGAGCGTTCAGTTACCCAGGGAAGACTCGGATCCATCAGGTCCGCCAGGGCGAAAAAGCACACAGATGTCGCGAGAAGGGCCGAGACCGAGCAGAGACTTTGACATCCGTCGAGATGGGCCGTACGGGCGACCGTCACTGGCCATGTCACGGCGGCGGTCGTCGGCTGTTGGACTTGGGCGACCGTCAATGGCTGCGGGTGAAGAGGCCGATGGGGATCCTGTAGCACCAACAATGGCCGAGATTGCAGCTGCAGAGGAACAACTTGGATTCGAGCCCGAACCGCCAGCCCTGAACTACAGTCTATGGGATCGCAAATGGTACATCGCATTGTTTTGGGGGTTGATCCTGATCGATGTCATCGCGCAACCCATCGCACTATATTTCGGTTTGTGGTATGGCACAGACCTATCACCCAATGTCGTATTCTCCATCATCACCGCAGCGCTTGGAGGTGTCAGTATCTTCGAGTACTTTATACGCTTCTGGAGACTATGGAAGAAGAACAGCACCTGTCGGGTCATCGGAGCGCGTAGGATGTATCTCGATTGGTTCCATTGGAACTTCAGTCTCGGCTGGATCATTATCATGATCGAGCTCATCGTGTAAGTCTGCCCATCTCCAAACCTCGCAACACCTCACTAACACCTCACAGCGGCACCGTCCCCGAACACCCACCCATTCGCCTCCTCGCCATGCCTCTGGCCAGTATGCTCTACGCCTTCGGCACCGAACTCCTCATCGTCGACGCCCTCCGCTACTTCGAAGTCCCCGCCCCTGTCCGCATCTCCTCCATCCCGAAGGGCGCTCAACTACGCCCCGCAATCTACTCCATCATCGAAGACATCGTAGCCGTCGACGGCAGCGGCGGCACCGCCTTCCGCGAAGCGCTCAACAAGCGCTATGAAGCCTCACACGTCTTCCGCGCCATGCTGCGCCGCCTCGGCGCATTCTGGGCGTTCGGCTGCGAAGCCATGGCCGTGCTGACGACCATCCTCGTCTTCACCATCCAGCACGAAGCCGCCTACTGCGTCGGCTGGAGCATCCCCTTCATCTGGGCCGCCGTGTGGACATTGGTGACGTATTTCTACGTCAAGAGAAAGCTCAGAGAGGAGCAGAAGGCCTGGGCGGACGAGATCGCCGAGAAGCAGGGGGCGATTGCGCTGCAGAACACCGCTTCGGAGTAGGACTCCAAGACGGAGAGTGTTCGCAGCTGAAAGCGGAGTTGACTTTGTGTGCGGCGTAGAGCGTATTCTTATTAATTTTGTTATGAGAGACCCCCGGGATCGTTTGAGAGATGGGAAAGTCGGATGGATGGATGAATGGATACCATGGCAGCGAAAGCTTGAATCCCACTGCGATTTGAGCACACATTGCGTTTTTGGTGGCTTTTTTTGTACAGATATGGGAAATGAGTATGATACACCCTTGTTAGGAAGAGAAGAAGAGAAAGAAAATAGAACCATACAACGTATCTGATTTTCGTCTAATAAGTCACAAGCACGAGATTGAAATCTGAGGTGTGGCGCGAATTTGCATGTGAAAGTGAAGGAGGGAAGGAACGTTCACATTCGGGCCGAATCTAGCTTTGCGTGGGACCACACCTCTCGAACCTTCAAGAATGCCGACAACAACATATATGCGTCTTTGACCAGAGTCAAACAAAGGATCGATTTCATTCCGAACGTCTGGAAAAGCTGGGAGGACTAGGCTGTTTCATGTCTCATCAGTCCACTGCAGGGACCTGTCGTCGACATTCCGGACAATTCTGATGCTGGTGAAGCCAAGCCGCGATACACGCTTCATGGAAGAAATGCACGCACGGAAGGACGACGACCTCGTCGCTGTCCGTATAGCTCTCGCTCAAGCATATGCTGCAGCTGCTGTTGTTGATTGAATCCTTCAGTTCGGCGAAGCTTCGTCTTGGGAGATTGTGGGTCGGGGAGTGGTGGGTGCCTTCGTCGACTGTGGCATCATCTTCTTGAACGCCCCACCAGTCGTGCATAGGTAGAGTGTTATTCACTCCATCGCCAGTTCTCAATGCAGCCATGTATTCGCGCCAGCGGCCTGGCCGTCGAGCCATCCAAGATGATCGGCGACGTCCATTGATGAGCCAGACGATGTCCGGGCAGAATCTGATCTTGGGGTAACCTGCTTCGAGTCTTCTCTCATTCAGACGTCTCTCGTTGAGGCGTAGAGCGTCGAGCTCGTCGTTGGTCACTCGGCCCCCTGAATCTAGGCGACGGGCGACGAGGATTTGCTTCTCGTTCTCGACAACCACGTCTTTGGGTAGGCAGGCCGGGCACGCCATTGGAGTATCTCCCCTATCCTCCTGCAAGGCAGAGTGTGAGAGGCCATATCGGCGATATATTTCCTCTCGCGCACTCGCTGCCAGAAGCCCCCGTTGGCACTCTTCGTTTGGACATACCTCGCCCAGCAGCACCTTCCTCACCGCCTCATCCGAAGGCCTCAAGAAGAACATGTTCTGACGGCCAAGGTGCGAAGTCAAAGGGGCAGCTCGCGCGAAAAGGTGCTCATTTCTAGGATCGTAGAATTCGGGCTCCGCCGCTCGTCTGAAAATCGCCACAGCGTCCTCTGCGCTGTCGGCTTCGGCTATTCGGCGCCCCAAGTTGGTTTCGAGAAATCGCGCGCTGGGTATGTATGGTGCCATGGTGTTGACGTCGACGACCCGCACGTTGGTGGGCGCGGCTCGTCGTCGATTGTACGGCGCCTCGCAGATCAAGAGGAGCTTGTTATGGCAACCGAGTCCAGTGATAGAATCGCGGCCGACGAGGATGAAGTCACCCTTTTGAGGGAGGGGCTGGACAGTGTTGGATGGCATTGTGGCCAGAGGGGTTGTGTATGGGAGTTGCTGGTCTTGGTCGACGAAACATACTGGAAGGCGCAGGAGCTGGCATTTTGTAAGCGTCAACTGGATTATGGTGAATGAGGAAGGGCTATCGCTGGGGCTCTTGGGCTCTTGAATGGCGCTTTGGGTTCTTCACGAAGACTGTTGCGTTGAGTAGCTCCTGTCCGTATGCAGAAGGATGTTCGGTCCATGTTGTGCTCCTGAATCATCAAGCGTGGTTGCTGGCGCCGGAGTGTTGTTGATTTGGCGGTTGTGTCGTGATGCAATGTGTGAATATCACAAAGGTGTCTGTTCATGTCAACCTGGCAGGAGGATTGAGTCTTGAGCCAAGCTGAAATCGAAGTCGTACCTGCCTTTCGTGCGAGACCCACTTTCATGTGATGTTAAGGAAGGAGCGTGCCTGCCCCATCCCGACTTCTCTCAATATTCTTCTCAATCCTCGACCTGCTCGGCACCCTGCACCAACACCCCAGCTTCGCAATCCTCGATCATGGCGGACATGGCTGAATCCACGGTACCCACACATCCATGTCGACCTTCGGGCTCTGTTACTGACACCAAGTAGCAAGATCAGTCATCCGCCGCCCACCGCACCTTCCAGGTCCCCGAGCTCTTAGAGATGATCTTCCTCAAAGCCAGCATCACAGACCTCCTCACCAAGATGCCGCGAGTCTGCAAACACTGGAAAGCCACCATCGAAGGCTCCATCAAGCTGCAGCGAGCACTCTTCTTCAAGCCCTCGGCCGACGTCCTCCTCCACCAAGACGAAGAAAGCCTCGAGAATATGAGTCTGGGTGAGGTCTACATCCAAGGAACCGAAGACACGTGGAACTACCCAGTGATCGCCAATCCGTTCCTGTTCCAACTTACCAATGACTATCTCATCAGCTGGAGCGACGCCTCTCACATGCCGAAGGGTGTCGAGCGTCCAGAGGCCTCCTGGCGCCGTATGCTGGTTACTCAACCTCCGATGGCTCAGCTCGACGTCCATTCGCAGTGGTGCGGCTGTCAAAATTTTGCTCTAGATCTTGAGTGCTGGACCAAGACTTCCATCCAGGGTAAGGAGGCTGCAAAACTTGGGCAGGTGGTGCGGGAGGGAGCGACGCCGATGTCCACGAGCAGGTGGGAAAAGATGCATGCGGAATCGGCGGGACGCATGGTGACCATTCTCGAAGTCGCCTTGGAGTACGACTTGATATGGACGCTCGAACACGGAGGGGCAATTGCACAGTCTGATTATTTGCTCGATCGGTGGGCTTAAAGACCTACCGGTGTGGTACACTTACCACGTTGCTCATAGAAACGATGGAAGAATGAGAAGCAGACAGCAATGAGGCAGCGATCAATGGTTATACGGCTATGTCACATCTGAGGTGAAGCCTCCATTGTAGTGATCTTGCTCATGCGTGAAGAAGCTCCGATAGGCCATGTTTGTTTCGTTATCTCGGAAACTGCAAGCCCTTGCTCTTTGCGCCAGATCCATGCTCCACAAGCTCTCCCAGACTCAAGACAACCATCATCCAAACGTAGTCGACATTTACCGCACGATACCCTCGAATCGGTTCTTGTACCACTTGATGGTCTCGGCCTGGTTGATGCGGTGGGAGGCACCAATGCGGGACTGCGCGCGTCTCCGCTTGGCGACACGCTCACCTGGGCGGGTCCTGTTTGTTGTCAGCATCTCCATTTCCTTCATTCGTCCATCCTCTTGCACTCACATGCAGCAGTAGAAGTCCATGCCGTAGATACCGATCGCTGGGTCGTACTTGATGCCCAAATCGATGTGCTCAGAGATACCGAAGCCGAAGTTGCCAGTCTCGGAGAAGTTGCGCTTGCGGAGCTCGTACTCCTTGACCTTGAGACCACGCTCGATGATCTCCTCTGCCTTGGGGCCACGGACGGTGACGTGGACGGCGATCTTCTCGTTACGGCGGATACCGAAGGTACGGACGGTGTAGCGGGCCTTGCCTGAAAGTCCATCATGTCAGCCTCCTCATCTTCATGGCATATCCGATTCTCTCTGCTCTTTCTTGCGGATCGTACGTACTGTAGACTGGGGTCTGACCAGACAGCTGCTCGAGCACCTTGGCAGCACGGGTCAATCTGTCACCAGACTCGCCGACGGAGATGTTGAGGACGAGCTTTTGGATGCGAAGCTCGCGCATTGGGTTGGCCGACTTGTCCTTTGCGCCCTGGGTCTGGACGTTTTGGCCATCGGCCTGCTGGGTTGAGTTCTGACCGCGGGCCTGCGTCGCAATGTTGTCAGTATTCGAGTCCTTCATATGCTCATCCGGTCGCGGTGATTTCGTTTCGTTTCGAGTTTGTGGTGTAGAGAGAGTTGTGTAGACTCACCATTGTGCTAGTGAGATCTCACGTCCTGGCGGTGGCTGTGGGATGGGTGCAAGTCCTGCGTGAAGAGACAGACGAAGTTGAACGGCCGAGCGACGATTTGGCAAGTCGAGTCTTGGCATGTGCGGCGCTAGCGCGGGTAGTCCCGCGTCGAACTTCGAGCTTTGAGGTTTTCCAGCAGCTCGTGTGACCGCGACATCTTCACTCGACAGCGACCACACTCTCCGCCCATACTCTCAACACTGCCAACACCTTCGTCGCAAGCCGTATAACCAAATTGAACGCGCCAAAGTCGTGCTCCGGCACGCCAACCACCCATCATGAGCATGCAAAAGCAGGGCAAGATGGTAAGTCACGACCCACTCCAAACCACAAGGAGTCCTGCGTTGACAGAGACAGACCGCTGATATGTGCAATAGCAAGCCTTCGTGAGTACAGCCCTCAATCGCCGACTCGTGGCTCCCACTTACACCATATCTAGGTCAACTACCGAATGCGCGCGACTCTTCACGATGGCCGGCAGCTTGTCGGTCAGATGCTCGCATTTGACAAGGTACGCTGTGATACCTTCTGAATATTTATTTAACGCTTCGCTGACATTGTTAAGCACATGAACCTCGTTCTCGCCGACTGCGAAGAGTTCCGGAGAGTGAAGCGCAAGACGAAGCAGGGAGGCGCACCAGGCGCACAATCAGGCGGACAAACTGTTGAGACGGAGGAGAAGAGATCGCTGGGACTGGCAATTGTTCGAGGTGCCAACATCGTCTCCTGCTCCGTCGACGGCCCACCACCAGCAGATCCAGCTGCACGACTCGGACAGAGCGCACCCGGTGGAGGATCAGTCGCGCCAGCAGTGCAAGCGGGCCCAGGCACCGCGAAACCAGCAGGAAGAGGAGCAGGCATTGGCCTTCAAGGACCAGCAGCTGGTGTTGGAGGACCAGGTTTCCCGGGCGCCGGATTCCCAGGTGGACCGCCAGGCGGCTTCGCTGGCCGTGGTGGACCCCCTGGTGGATTTCCTGCTGGGTTCCCGCCCGGTGGTGGTCCGCCAGGCTTCCCACCTGCTGGTTTCCAACCTCCTGGCGGTCGTGGCTTTCAGCCTCCGTCCGGTGGATTCCCAGGCCGGTAGAAGAGCTTCAAGCAGTTCTATCAGCATCACAATTCTCCCGCCATCCATGACCTCACGAAGATCGAGTGCATCAGCGCGCCGCTGCTGGCCTTCAAAATCGCCCATCACAATGGAGCGGAAATGTAACTACATAAAAAGCTTTGGAGGTGGATACCAAAACAACCTAGCATTAGCGACGGCGTTGGTGGTGCTTCAGGTATGAAACAAAATGCAGCAGACATCGATACTATTCCGAGACCCTCGTGCTGATACCGTATCCAAAATGCTAATGCTCATTTCAAGTGCTATCGCCGTTTCATGCTCATGTCTTGTCTTTCGTCAAATCATTACACATTCATTCAATCCAAGCTCGTCTCCGCAGGAAGGGTATCATAGCGCTTCAACGCATCAAGAATGGAAATCTCATCTTCTCACAGCAACACCAGGCCCATCAATCCACCAAGCACCGCCCCAGCCAACGGCACTCCAGTCGCAGCAGCACCCGCCTGACTACTGCTACTGCTCGAGCTCGCCGCAGCTGCTGTCCCACTCTGGCTACCACTCGCCGCCCCGCTGCTCGTGCTGGCCGCAGTACTCGCCGAAGTCGTCGACACGGCCGTACTCGACGTACTCGTAATACTCAAGAACGTAATCGCCTGACCATTCGCAAGGAACCCTCCCGACGCAACCGTGACATCGCCATTCCCGACCAGAGCATCCGCTCCTCCGGCTGAGAGCGTATGGCCTGCGACGATTACGTATCCGGATTCAGAGGTGACTTCGTAGAGGCCGCCGTCGACGCCGGTGAATTCGCCCGTGAGGGTTGCGGTGGGGGCGGAGGTGGTGGTGTTGGATTGTTGGCGGATTTGGAGGGTTGGAGCGGGTGTTGGGAGGGGGAAGGGGTTTGGAGCTGGGAGGATGCGTTAGGATCTCGATGAGGTGTTGAAACTTGAGGTGTGTGGAGAGCTTACCAGCGCCGACGGCTTGCAGGAGCAGAGCGGCGAGGGAGGCGTGGATGAACTGCATCGTCACCAGCGATGGTAGGTAAGTCAGTATGTAGCGACTGTTCAAGCAAGCACACAGCAAACGTGCAGATGGCAGTGGAGCAACGAGAGGAGCTGTAGAGCTGCAGAAAAGCAGGGCACAGGTTAAAGCTTTATGAAACCACCACCCCAATGGCTTGCGAGCTTACATACATCCGCCTCGGTGGTCTGCCGTGGCCGCGCACGCAAGCGAACTTTACTTTCCCTTTGATGTCCTAGTAGATGCCGAACTCGTGGGGTAAGTGAGGTGTTTGCGTGATAGGCGATGTTGAAGGAGCTGGAGGCTGGCAAGCTTCATGCGGGCTTGCCGTTTGCCGATGTAGGTTCTTGATAAGATAGACTGTTTGTCCTGGTGTGGAGAGGGGACACCAGTAAAGGAGAGAGGGACGGGTGTACGAGAGAGGGACGGTGATACATGTATGCGAACTGTACCTGCGTTTCCAAGTATCGTTGTATCGTTGTACTTCTTCGCGATCGTTTGTGTGGGACAAGGTGAGGTGATGTGGCAGCTTTCCGCGTGCTTTGGCCAAGCGGCAAGCGGATGGTTGGCTGGTTGGTGAAAGTTTAGCCGTTTGATGTGGAGCCTCGATTTGGACCTCACTCCTTCTCTGTTCGCGCTTTTGTCCCCGGTTTGATGGTGTTGAATGCTCTGCTGGTGCTTTTTTCCGCTGCTTGGTCGTGAGCGGTGGAATGGGGATGGATTGTGGTTTTCTAGGGTGATTTTGCTGGCATGTGAGGTGTTGAGTGATGGGATAGGTGAGTAAGGGAGGAGGTATATGACGGATTGCTTTCATGCATTGCGGCAGGTGTTTGTAAGGGCGTGTGAGGGACTGACTGATGGATGGAGTGAAGTGCTAACTTATGGAGTAAGTAATGTGATGAGCGAAGAACAAAGTGACGGACCAAAAACAGTGTGTGGCTACTTACATCCCTTCACTGCCGCAACATCTAATGGCATATGACATGCTAACCAATGTACAGAGTGAGGCACGGTAAACTGCATATAACCACTCACAATTCCTTCTTTGCAGCAGCGATCTATCAAGGCCTGTACATTCTATACGCACATGCTTCCATGCGCTCCTCAAAACTTCGAAAGCACGCTCGACCTTCTTCCACTGGCTGTTGCCCCCCACCCCAGCCAACCCAAATCCATCCTTGAAGATATTCACCTAGGATAACAATTGCTTTGGCCTCTTCGTGCTGATTGCAGGAGAAGTGATGTGTTGACTGAAGGACGAGTGAAGGATAAGTGATGTACTAACTGAGCGTGAAGTGAAGTGCCGGCTGAAGGAAAAGTAATGTGCTAACTAGAGGGTAAGAGAGGTGTTGACTAAAGGGAAAGGTGATGGACTGACTAAAGGAAAAGGTGACGGCGAGTGAATGGAAAGCATATGACGGCCTGCATTCCTTCAATACAGCAAATTTCTGTTGGCATCTGCTTTCTACACGCAGCTTCATCCACTCCCCAACACCTCAAAAGCAAACTCCACCCTCTTCCACAGACTCCCCCCCTCAACCCCAACAAACCCCACATCCGACCGAAAAGCCTTCAACCAAAACTCCCCTCTCTCCCTCTCCCTCAACAACTCCCGACTATCCAACCTCAAACCCCCATCCCCACATCTCAGCACCGCATCCCCCGCCCGAACCACACTACCCCTTTCAAAAACGCGCTCCGCAACCGGCGGCTGACAAACCAACATCCCCCTCCACGACGCCTCCGGGCGCGCAAACTTCCTCAAATCCTCCCTGCGGACCCGCCCGGCGCAGTACCCCAAGAACCGCGTGTAGAACGGGTTGACGGAGATGATGTGCGTGTGCCTGTCGTTTTCGTGCGCGATCCATTTTGGGCGGAGGGAGGGGTGGCTGGAGAGGTAGAGGGGCCCGCCGGGGAGGGGGGAGAGGAAGAGGGCTTGCTGCAGTTTTGAGGATCCTTCGATCGTGTCGCGCCACTGTCTGCACACGAGTGGGATCGGGAAAATCAGGTCGCAGATGCGGAGGTTGAGGAGGATTTGTTCGAGGATTTCGGGGATGGAGAGGGCTTTGGCTTTGGCGCGGTTGGAGGGGTGCTGGTGGTGGTTAGTGATCTGCTTGAAGGATGGGGACGTGGGACTTACCGTAGATGGATCGCCATCCTCGGAGTCGTCATCGCTGCTGGATGCGACTGGCTCTTCTGGCTCGATTGGAGTGGGCGTTGTAGGGAATTTCTTCGACGATGGCTGATATGAGTGAGCATGCAGTCTCGATCACGAGTCCCATATCACTGACCGTATCTGAGGCAGCGTCGCCGCTGGCTACAACCGAAGCCATCGCGAAAATGACTTTCTCCAGAAAGATTGCGTGAGTGCGTGGCGTCCGGACGGTTATATCAAGGTTCGAACTCCGGAAAATCTTCGTGAACTTGCAAGAGTAATTTGACTCGAACCTCGCACCTTCCACATCGGGCGTTTGTACTTCTGAAGTCCGTGCGTCGTTAGCGTGGTTTGAGACTGGGTCACGTGGTCTGCTGCCAAGGCAACGGTCGTCCCCAAATCTGAGGGATGTTCAAACAGCTTACTACATGTCTGCATAGCTTGGAAGCCAGGGATTGAGCGGGAATAAGTATCACCAGTAGTGGTATCCGCAAAGAATACATGGCGAGACTTGGGCGGGAGACGAACTTCCATCTCAACGAAGAAGTTTCACCGTAGAAGAGAACAGAAGAGAAGAGAGGTCCGAAACGAAAATGTCGTGACATGTTTCATTTCTCCAAGGCAGTGGGCGTTTAACAATCAACTTTTTCATCATGTCCCATTCGTAGCAGCTCTATGGCCAAGCTCATGTATGTCCCCGAGGACCGGCGCGTCGTCAACAAAAGAAAAAAAAAACCAGGGTATCTAGCGTCTATTCTAGATGAAGTACGCTTTCTTTTTCTCGGAATGGAATCCAAGGAGAAACTCGTGACAGCACTCCAAGTGTTGAAGTCCAGTCGTTCGCAAAGGCTGATATCCAAGCCCGAGAGCGCTTCGTCTAGTTGTCAACACCGATATGCACATTCTTCTCACCCGGTGGGAGAATCTGCTCTTCCTTCTGACCCCTCAGCGACGGCAGCTCCTTGACAGCTTCAGCGATGATGTTCAGCGCAGTCTTGATCTGTTCCTCGCTAATGACAAGCGGTGGGGCCAAGCGGATGATGTTCTGATGCGTCGGCTTGGCGAGGAGACCCTTCTGCTTCATCAGCATGCACAGATCCCAGGCGCTGTGTCCATTCGTCTTGGATTCATCTATCACGATGGCGTTGAGCAGGCCCTTGCCGCGAATGAGGGTGATCATGGAGTCGTTGGCTTGGATCTCACGCAGGCCTTGGCGGAAGATCTCGCCGAGGTGGTCGGCGCGTTCAGTGAGTTGTTCTTCTTCGACGATTTCGAGGGCTTTGATGGCGATGGCGGAGCCGAGCGGGTTGCCGCCGTAGGTGCTGCCGTGCGTGCCGGGTTCGATGGTGAGCATGATCTCCTTGGAGGCGAGGACGCACGATACGGGGTACATGCCGCCACTGATGGCTTTGCCGAGGAGGACCATGTCGGGCTTGATTCCGCTCCATTCGTGGCAAAGCATGCGGCCTGTGCGTGCGATGCCGGTCTGGATCTCGTCGCAGATCAGGAGGACGTTGTGCTTTGTGCAGAGCTCGCGCACTCTCTGCAGGTAGCTCTCGTCTGGGACCACGATACCAGCCTCACCCTGGATTGGCTCAACCAAGAACGCCGCAGTCTCCTTGCCGTGCTGCTCGAAAAGCTCCTCCACAGCCTTCGCATTGCCGAATGGGATTGGCTTGCCCGTGGTAGGGTTGCTGGAGCCTACGTTTGGAAGGTATGGGCCGTAATTGTCTCTGCTCTCAGGGTCCGTAGACATCGTAATCGCCGCAAATGTCCTGCCGTGAAAGTTCTCCTGCACGCTGAACACCCACGCCTTGTCCGTTGGAATGCCCTTGACCTTATATCCCCACTTCCTCGCAACCTTGACCGCAGTCTCCACCGCTTCAGCACCCGTGTTCATTGGCAGCACCATGTCAAAGCCCATCATCTTGGTGATCTTCTCCGCAAACTTGGGGAACACATCGTTGTAGAAGGCTCTGCTGGAGAGAGTCAGTCGGCTCGCTTGCTCGACCAGCGCTTGGATCAGTTTCGGGTGGCAGTGTCCTTGGTTCACGGCTGAGTATGCGGAGAGGAAGTCGAGATAGTGTTTGCCCTCTGGATCCCAGACCGAGCAGCCCTCTGCCTTGGCGAAGACGACGGGAAGCGGGTGGTAGTTGTGTGCGGCGTAGGCTGCCTCGGACGACATTGCCTGCTGGGAGGAGGCGGCATGGTAGGTAGAGGTCTCGCTGGAGGGCGTGAAAGATGCTGCTTTGGCGTTGAGGGTGCCATTCGCATGGCCGTTGGTCGGCTCGTGGACCGCGCTTGGTGCCATGGTGGGAGTCGATGTCGGTGGAGTTTATGTTCAGTTGGTCCAGGTGGAATAGGTGGTATAACAAGAGAAACCGGGCCGTTTGTGTAGAAAATGGGATTTCTAGGAACAACGAGAGAGGAAGTCGTTACTTAGACTTTTTCACATTCCAGGGATGACTGGGCGTGCGGCTCTCGAGCAAACGTCGTGGTTGTCGTCGGGTTATACGATAAGTTGCGGGCGCGGGCGCTGTTGTTTGCGGTATGCTGCCCCACTGCGTTCCCCTATGCGCAGGTCGTGTCGAAGGTGAAGGCTGGACCTGTACTTAGGAGCTTAGTCCACTGCCTGAACCACGCCCGCCGCATCATGTGCGCACCCGGGTATCCGCGGCGGTAATCAGTATTACCTAATGAGATTAACCACAATTTGACCGCTTCTGACTGGCCGCTCGGCTGAGCACAAGCCGGCGGCATGAGCGTATCGCTGACGCTGCCAAGATCACCAGGGTCACCTAGAAACATTCACTTACCACCCTTTGATGAGAGCCGTAAAAATGCCGATTCAGAGCGATGCGAGCAGGAAGCGAAAGGCACATACAAAGTCGCGCCAGGGCTGCGGGAACTGCAAGCTGCGAAGAGTCAAGGTAGCGATGGTTGTTTCCCTTCTTGCATACCACAGCTGATGGTCTACGTAGTGCGATGAGACCCGTCCAAAATGCAAGAAATGTTCGTATCGTCGATAGTGCTTCATCGATACAGCTGTTCTGATTCATCTCAGGCACGGCCTTTGGCGTATCGTGCGACTACGACTCGAAAGCTTCCGACCTCTCATTCTCAGGCGTTGGATCCTTCCAAGTAGACATCCCCAAACCTCCAACGCCTCCAGAATCGCCCCCAGAGGGCGGTAATGAAGACATTGAGGCCGTAATCGATGGCATGATGAATGCCCCGCTATATCTCCACGTCGACGATGGGGCTCCAGGACCCGAAGTCTGCTACATCGATAAGCCGCATTTGGATCTCCTTCGAAAGTTTTACAACCGTACCGTTTTGTCAATAGGCACAGCAGGAACCAAACACATCTACCGCGGCGTGATGACCAGAATGGCAGCCCAACACTCCTTCGTCCTGCACGCCATCTTGCGCTTCACTCTAATCCACGATCGTTACTTGTACGACCCGATTGGAACCAAACCATCAACAGCCGAAGCCTTCCACGGCTACCACGCAGCAGCACTCTTCGGCAAAAAGCTCCAAGGCCCAGTGCCTGAAGAAGAAAAAGACGCCCTCTGGGGCACCGCCGCAATCCTTGGCGCCAGCGCCTTCGCCAGCATCGAGGCCTCCAAAGCCGAAGAAGCCTGGCCGCTGAAAGACCCCGAATTCGCAGACCTCGACTGGCTCAAGATGAGCGACGGGAAGAAGGAGGTGTGGAAAATCGCCGATCCCCTGCGTCCTACGAGTGTCTTCCGCAATGCGATCGAGTACGAGAACAGCAGGAAAGCGGAGATGCTGCACCGGCCGACGGATCCTGAGTTGGACTCCTTGTTTCCCTGGGTGACAAAGCTATTCCATTTGGATGCTCCTCGATCAGAAGACGATCCGAAAGATCCCTACTTTGAGGCTGCGTCGATTATCGAGCGGCTGGTGCCCATCGAGTGTAACCACAACACAGTCATGTGGTTCTTGTCATTCCTGGGCCATATGAATCCCGAATATCGTCGACTGCTTGAAGCGAAAGATACGCCTGCCATGTTGCTGCTCTCGTGGTGGTATGCCAAACTGATCAACTACGATCAGTGGTGGCTCAGACGGCGAGTCCTATTCGAGTGTCAAGCCATCTGCATATACTTGGATGGAGAACTCGCCGAATATGATGAGATGCGGAAGTTGCTGGACTTCCCCAAGAGCAGATGCGGTCTGGATAGAGGAGACCTGGGGAGGAAAGACTTTCCTGCCCATAAGCGCAGCGAGGACTTTCCTTGGGCACGGAACTTCTAGACGAAAGAACTTCAGTCGAACGTCCTCGAGTTTATGGCTGATGTTTTGCGGCCTTGGGTGAGGAATAGGAGGTCGAGGTCAATCGGGAGCAACAGGACGAATCCAGGTGGTCGAATTTCCATCATCACGTACAGGACCCACAAAAAGAAGACGAACATCTCTATACCGCTCAGGGCAAGCCAGCCTATCGTAGGGGCTTTAATCATGACCACGAACTTCACTTCTTGGGACACCATGCTATTCATGTACTCTGCAAAACTTTTAAGGGTGAGGGTCAATAAAATGCACATACGGTCTCGTCCTTTGCTCTTCCTCACCCAACAGCACTTTTACTCACCCTGCACCGCACTGCGCAGTCACGAGTCAGACGTCACACAACCTATCTCCCACAACAATAGCTTCACAAGCAAAAATGCTCTCCCAAGCGTACGCCCTCCCCACCCCCCTACCCCATAAAAACTCCACTAACAACCCACCAGCCCCCAACCCCCCAAAACAACCTCACCCACCCGCTCCTTCCCCAAATCCTACCCAACCCTCGACGAAATCCTCTCAGACTTCAGCGACGACAACGAAGAGCTCGACTTCCTCTCCACCGCGCACGAACTCCACCGGCGCATAAACCAGGCGCTCGACAGGTGCTCTCGAATCTCCGCCTCCGCACAAGAAGCTCTCTCCAGCGCTCGCCGCCCGTTCTCCGTCGAGACGACCCTGTTGGAGAGACGCCTGCTGTTGCGAGCCGCTCAGCCCAGGGTGTCCTTCGCGGGAGATATACACGAAGATAAAGAATCTTATCGTCTGCGCGAGTGCAAACGCACGGACCTTGTCGCTAGCGCTTGGGGCAAGGAAGTGAATGAAACCGCGTACGCTCCACGGGGTCGAAGAGCCCGGCTGTCGAGGGCGAAGCTTGAAGCGCATTATCCCCTTCCACCGGATAAGTCTCTGCATTTTAGGATTTGGCTTGAGACGTTTCCTGAGGATCCGAGCTTTCGAGCACCGACTGGGCCTGAGTACCACCACCACCGCTACCACCACCCACCGCAGAAGCACCACCACCCACCGCAGAAGCACCACCACCCACCGCAGAAGCAGCGTACCGACACCACCCTCCCCCTCCCACCCCACCAAAACCAAAACCAAACCCAAACCCAAACCAGATCTCTCAAACGACAATCCTTCACCTCAGCCTACGAGGACTGGATTGTTCGAAGAGATCCCAAGGGTCCGAGATTGGGACCGGTGAGGAAGGAGGAGAATCCGGAGGGGGAGATGGTAAAATCTTTGTTTGGGTAGGGGCTGGACTGGATGAGATGGGGAGAGGGGGAGAGGGGGATGTTCGAGGAATTTTTTTGGTTGTGAGATGGGGAATGGTGATCTGTAACGAGCATGTAGGATGTAGGAGGCGGATGCCTCTGCTTACTAGCGTTCTTCATCAATTTCGCGAGATGGGAAGGAGTTCTTCAGGAGGAGGCATGACCTCCCCGATGGGATGTGTTCGATCAATATGCACAATCTCTCCATTCGTTCGAGCTCTACAACAAGAAGAAGAAGAAGAGTTGCTCGAAATCCAAGAAACTTCATATCACCGCTCTCCAGCTATGATTCAAAAGACAACACAAACCAAGCATCGCAATTTTCCGTAACTCATCCATCCCTCCTGTTCCCTCTCTGTCGCAATGCAAAATCAGGAAAAAGCAGTTAAACTCCTCGCTCTTTGGGGAAAAAGGGGGATTCGCAAAAGTGTCACAATCCATTGAGGCAAGTCTTTTCTTTGGTCTGTCCAAGAATCTTCGTAGTAGGTAGGGACCCTGTCTGGCCTGGCCTTTTATCCTTCTGGTTCTCTCCTGCGGTGTGTATCGGTAGTAGACCACTTTCGAGGTTCTAGTCCAAGCGCGAGACACCGCTTTGTCATACTTCATCGGCAGGATAGAGATGCGTGGCGAGCAACTTGTTCATGGTGAACATGTGCACCTTGTCGCTTTTGAAGACCGCCCGCATCGCATCGTCGCACCGGATGTTGCGTTTGTCTGACGGGTCTTGCAAGTCGCGTGCCTTGACGTACTCCCATATCTTTTTGACCGTCTGCGGCCGAGAGAGCTGGCTTTCGCCCAGCATGGCTGATAGCGGTTCTGAAAGGTTCATAGGTTTCTGGGGAAAGTTGTCAGTACCTGCTCTTCGTGGTTTTGGAGTGCCCAACTTACGTGAAATCCGCCCTTCTTCTCCCTCTCCGGCTTCTCCTCGCCTTCCACCTCGCTATCGTCGTCCGATCCCACCTTCGCTTTGCTCTTCTTCTTGGTCTTCTTCTCCTTCTTGGCAACGGGCTTCCGCTTGGTCGTGCCGCCTCCACGTGTCGACCGCGGCTGAGCATTGAGCTCTGCTTGTAGTCTCGCCGCCATCTTCTCGTCCGACTCCACCGAGCCATTGGTCTTCTTGACCTTCTTAGGCGCCGGCGATGAATCCTCCACCTCACTCATATCCTCTTCCTCTTCATCCCTCTCTTTGCGCTTGTGGCTCGATGCCGGCGGTGATACGTCATCGTGTGCTATACCGTTCGCAGTTGGGACAGACTCTACAGATCCGACTGCTCCATTCTCCTGCTCCTTTGCTTGGGCCTTGTCGAATCGTTCCATAATCAATTCGGTGATGGGTTTCTGCGGGCGATTGTCAGTATCATAGATCCTTCCCGTGACTATTTAATATTCGGGATCGATTTGGTCATACCTTCAGAGGAGTCAGGTCAAAGTCGACTTTGTCTTGGAGGTCTTTGCGAATGCGCTTGGCGGAGATGGTGTTGAGGTCGGATTTGGCCAGGATGCCGTCGATGAGGGCGCCGTAGGTGGCATACTGCTCTGGCGCAACTGTGACAAGACAAGTTAGTCATCGCACCGACAACATGGCCTTACATGTGAAGATTCGCGCTTCGAAAGCGTTGTACATGGATCGCGGAGCGGACTTACGAGTGTCGGCCATGATGACGGATTCGGTTGGTTGCGCTTGGACGGATGTCGGGTATGTATGTTGTCGTCGAGGCAGTCAAGGAGTTTGACAAGACGAGGTCGTTTGCGCGAGGGACAATGCCTGTGCGCGTGATTGGGGAGGTAGTGTGAGAGTGAGTGAATGACAGGACGGGCAGACGTCTCGGTGGCTGGCAGATCAACTAAAGCCGAGTCCGAGAAGCAGCCGGTCCTCCCGTTGATATCGCAGCGACAGCCTGCTCGATCTGGGGATTGGGTATCGTGACAAGGCTGTAAGTGACTGCGATATCTCCTGTACACGAACAGGTCGGCGGTGGTTGTTGTTAGAGGTTTACAAACAGATCTAGTCCCCACTGTCGGATCTCGTTCCTGGAAGCCGATGGCGGCAGCGCCCGTCTTCACTTCTTGGCGTGGAGAGAGTGGACGTCACATGTTAACTTTGAAACTTCACACATCACTTGTCAAGAGCAACGGTCCGTTTTCCACACGCAGAGACCGAATCGCATGGAGACAGCCCAATGTTATGCACGCGACTATTCGCTGGACTTCGTTGTCTGCCGCATGGGCTTTCTTTTGAAATCGCGACCTCGACTTCCAGGATGCCTTCACGAAGGCAATGGCCTTCCACGTGCTCTTCGGACGACGCTGAACCATGGCTTGAACATGTCTCCAACATATGACACTTGATTGTAGAATAACTGGGGTAGACAGAGCAACAGCATCGGGTTGCTCGTGTGAGACACACGTATCACATGTTGAAGATACACCGCGCAGTACTAGCGGCGACAAGTGAATAGCGACAATAGCATGTGGACAATAGTAACTCGCCAACCGAATGGTGAAGACACCAGTGCTCGATGTTTATCTCTCTCTTTCTCTTCCTACTCTACACTCCCCATGCTTCAGCAGAGTCTTTCCAACATACAACCGCAGAGATGGCGGGACCATGGCTTACACAGTCTCCTAGAGGGCTCCTGGCCGAACACAACGCCTCACAGACCGCTCAGCAGCAACTACGACAGGGCGTCACTCCATACGGAGTCCTCACGATCCGAGTCTTCATCTTCTACGAAGCTGACCTCTTACTCAAGAGGGAGGCGGATACATGGACGGTGCCTACCTTGCAATACACAGGTACACTCTACACTCCACGGATTGACATGACGGTACTAACATGCCCACTTCTCCTCCAGCCAGTGACAACGACAACACTGCACATGGCATAGGAAAAGCCATCTTCTGCCGCATCATCGCCGACCTAGACAAGACCAACACCCCCGAAAGCCTCCTCCACGAACTGCAATTCACAGATCTCCGCCTCGCCAGCCCATCGATCGCCTTCCGCCCCTCCAACCAACCCAACATCCCCAGCAAAATCATCATCGACACAGTCCTCACGACATCCTACCAAGCCCACAGACAGAACGTCGCACCCCGCGACGACCTCACAGTCCCCGAAGCTACGACCTTCCGCTGGGTCGACCCCGACAACATGCACACCATCAACCTCTCCACCAACCTCACAACCAAATCCATCAACCAAGCCAAATACCGCCACGCCAGCTGCACCGGCGCCCCCTTCCTCGACAACCTGCGCCGCTACCCCGGCCTCCTCCCCCAAATCATCAACATCACGCTCGCCAGCATCCTCCAAACCCGCGCGATCCTCAAAGGCCACGACTCGATAGGTTTCGGCCTCATCCTCGTCGACGGGGTGCGCGGGAGGGCGAATGTCGCGTTCACGGGAGCGTCGAGGGACGTGTATGCGCAGACGCCGATGCTTATGACGCGGAAGTATGGGAATGGGGAGGCGGTGGTTGTGGGGAAGTGGTGTCCCGAGAGGGTGGAGGGGGTGGAGGCGTTCGGGGGGTGGGTGGAGGTTTTTGATTGGTTTGGGAGGGTGAGGGAGAATATGGGGAGGGATAGGGTGTGAGGTGGAAAGCTATAGCGCGAGGGGGATTGTTTGGGCTAAGAAAGGTGTGTCTACTCTTCTCCGCTGATATCCCCATTTCTCGTCCGCTGTCTCAGCATCCGAAGCATCATTCAGGGCACCGTCAATCTGAATTTCAGGTGACGATCATCCCATCAAGGAGAGCAACAAAGATCTACACCTCTCCCACCCTCGACCCCCTCCTCGACCCCCTCCCACTATCAACCGGACTCCCTCCCACCCAGAAAGCCCCCTCCGCCCCACCCTCCTCCCCCACCAACCTCGCCGCCTCACGCAACCCCTCCATCTGCACCCACCACCTCTTCCGCAAATCCGGCATCGTCTTCGCAACAGCCTTCTTCGACTCCTCCTCCTCCTCACAAGCCTCCTTACACAAGGCGCGGAGTTGGTGCATGACGAACTCGGTGTCCAGGAGGGCTTGTTGGATTCGCTGCTCGGCGGAGCGCGCGAGGTGGAGGAGGTGGTTTAGAGACTCCTGCTGTGGGGGTGTTGGTTCGGGGTCGGCGGGGCTTGGTATGAGGTTCAGGTCTTTTAGGGCGGTTTGTAGGGGGACGGAGGCGGAGATGGCCATGCCGGGGAGGGAGAGGTCTTGACCGACCGGGCTTTTCAGGAGAGATTGTTTCAGCGAGGTCAATTCCTCACACCCCTTGATCACATCCCGCGGTTCGGACACGAGGATCTTCTCCCCCTGCCTCCAAGCCTCCGGACAAACATCCCTCCCTCCCATCGAATCAAATCCACTATCCCTCCTTTCCCCATCCCCC